TGGCCATATCAATAATTATAAAAGTCCAACTTTGATTTTTGTTTTTTTTACTTCCGTGGTACTTCGGACATAAGAACGAAAGAGCAACAGGTCTCGGGAGTGCGTCATCGAGGCCTACATCGTTGCGATTGGATGACACTTGCCAAAACAGATTATTGTTCATGTTCCTACAATTGGAACAGAACCCTGGAGAACGTTTCTTGAATCAGAAGAACGTTTCTTAAAGTGAAAAAAGAAACCAAGATAGTTACTTAATTGACAGATTCTAACAAAAAAAATGAAACTCTCTGCTTTGTCAACAATTGGGAGTTGGGACTGAGGTTGTGGGAGGCATAATGCAAATTGCGGCTCCTTCCTATATTCTTGTTTTCGAGAAGACAGTCCCGAAACTGATTTAAAGTGGGTGTTTGTTATGAGTTCGTCTGTCGTGTGTTGACTAAAAAAGCGCTATGTGCGGTCGCCCCAATATCCTTGGAAAGTTAAAAAATAGAAGCGTAATAAGGTAACCGACATTCGGCTTTACATGCCGTAGAGTTCAGCTCAGTTGAACAAATAAAAAATATTTGCTTTCAGAAATACCAATTGCAATTTTTGGGGGTAGTGTGTTTGTCTGTCGTGCTTGTATGCCGCCTTCGTGTCTTGCCTCGTGTAAAATGTCTGTATGTAACAAACTTCATTTTGCTAATAAATCGCAGGAACCAACTTGAATTATCTGCAATCTTCGGAGTGCCGTGCCGGCGCTTTACGTAACATTACTCCGCCATTCTGGTTCTGATTTTGGTGGAATACAACTCACCGCCACTAAAAGGAGCAAAACAAGTAGGGAGGTGCAGCTTCATGGTTGCTGTTTATTGATTGGTTACTTGTTGTAGTGCTTGTTAGCGGCTGCTTTGAACTTGTCCTTGTCTTCTATTTCCGTAATGAATTGCGGCAGAGTATTCCAGTCGATGATAGTTCTTGGCACGAAGGACAACTTCAGACAGTCTTTGTTGGTTGCTAGTTGAGTGTATGTGCTGTGGCTTGATGATCGCTGGACCAGACGTGGGATCTTTTGCGTGGGTATGACGAGCCGACCAGACATGGTTTGTTGGAATATGGAGATCCTTTTCACTCTTCTGCGGACTTTTAACAATTCTCATCCTGACAATCCATTTATCCTTGTGTTGGCCGTGTCCCAATTTGACGCCCATTGTCCGCGGAGCGATAATCAGAACACGCAGCCCTACTCGTTCTTAGAGGATGGCTGTCCGGTTTTAGATAACTAAAAACACCCCGAGACACTTCATTTACGGATGCAGGTTACTGTAACGAAATTATTTCTCTAAGTTTTGTCAGTGTATTTTATTCCAGGGAGGTAGGAGCGCAAGGGTATCAAATGACGCGACTGTGTTTGAGACCTAGGATAGCTGCGTACGGCGCGGCATCCCTATTTGGTCTTACACGCCATAATATGGTTAAAAGGTTTAACCCAAGGGGTCGTTTGGTGGCGTGTTTGGACAAGACAGCTCTTTTAAGTGGTCGTGAAACCCTCCGCTTGTTGTCGTTCGGCTGGTAGCCAGCCTTTAAACGTGACGGTTGCCGATTGTTTATGTTTTCCCGTGTTCGCCTGGGGATGATGGCGTGTACAAAAAACATAGCCCATCCCCGCTCGAGTTAGACTGATGGAGAACGGCATTTTTATGGTAAGCAAATTGCCGCAGACACCAATGGTACAACCCTCAATTCGATTCTCTGGAAAACTAGCCACAACTATCCAAGGTGTTCAACGCACACTTTATCAAAGTTCAAATTACAAGGTATTTTTTTAATGAGGGTAATCCAATGGCTTTTGAGCGATATTTCTCTACAAAAAGATGAAAATCTCCCCAAGGTATCGAAAATAGGTGCATTTGGGAGACATTCCCATAGACTTGTGCACAGAAAAATCCTAACTTTAATGACCCCTATAATCATAACTGAACCTTATTCTTCCCTATCTCCAAACTTTATAAAACTGGGTTTTGCATCACGAGTGATCGATTGAGCCTATTTGAGACATTAGAATTTTGCCTACAGAAGTTAAGACATTAGGAAGACATCTACCTTGCCTCTCTTAGGTATAACTTTTGGCGATAATTTGTCTCCCTAAGGGTACATAAAGAGAAAATGAAATATTCACGAATAATAATAATAAAAATAATAATTATTACCCTGGATTGGACATTTGGGAGACATCCCATAGACTTGTGCACAAATTTTTTCAAACTTCAATGTGCCCTAACCCAATATTCCCTTGCCCTTTTTCCACGAATTTCGGTATGTTTACTAATTAGACCACGAGCAACAAATATAACCTAATTGCGACGGTAAAATTGTGCCTCTAAAGGGGGGCTGTGACATTAGGGAGACCTGAAAATGATGACCGATGTCTCCCATCGTGCGAAGAAATTGCGATAACGTATCTCCTTAGTGGTACCTTTACACGTACAATAATGATAATGTGGTGCTTTTATATAGCGCTTTATACCAAAGGTCTCTAAGCGCTTTACAATTATAACCCCTGTTCATCAGGCCATGAAACCACTTTTGCAGCAGCTCGAGATCAGCGCATTCTGGTCTCTACCTTTACAGGTACCCATTTGTACTCCTGGGTGGAGAGAAGCAACTGTGGTAAAGTGTCTTGCCCAAGAACACAAGTACCATGTTTCCCGTCAGGATTCGAACCCACGTACCATGGCACGAGTCGAACACCGAAGGCCGTCTCCTTTTTTGTAAAGGAGAAAAGTTTTCCCTCCACTCTTGCTAAAAAAAATATGCGACTTGTCGTATCACGTCCGGTTTCATCAAAAAAAATTAGAATCATATAATACTGTTCACAGCTGGGACCCTTCGTTTGTTTTTACAAACTCTCATGAGAGTGGCGACAAAGCCTGCAATTGACAAAATATGAGAGCATGCACATCATTATGTGGTCTGCGTGGGCACCTTAAGGCCCATTCGCTGGTCTCCGACCTCATATCCAAGGGGATTTTCTGTCGAGACGATTTTAAGAGCGGCAAACCGTACGTGACAACTTACAAAATGAGTTTCCATCAGGGAGCTTCCCAGACCCAAACTCCAAACTTGGATGCAAGGGAACTGGATACTCACTCAACGTAAGTGGCTTTCAAGACTAAGTTCGTCTTGGAAGAGGATGCTTTGTGGGGTGAAGTTTCCCGAGGTCATTTCCCTGCCGTACGTGAACCCACTTTGTATTGTCCTACAAGAAGTGTGAAGGACTGAAAACATTTTGAAGCTGCGTAGGCTAAATTTCTCTCGTCAAATTTTACATTTTGGTATTCTGCTCTGCTGTTTTGACAATCCGGTCAGTGACTGTAACGTTCCACTAATTTTAAGATGTGAGTTATGATTCCAATCTTTTCTAGTGAGTTTCGTTTGTGTAACTGCTCTTGCAACTGAGAGCCACTGATCGCGGCAAACACAGCACGTGTGTTTTACTCCAACAGGAACAAACGTAACCTGAGCCGAACTCTGTCAAGGCCCGTGTCAGTGGTCATTCGTTGTGCTGCCACCTAGAGGCTAATTTTGTCTAATTCAAGAGATACTGTATCGAGTCAAGTGCTTTCTGTGAGTGCAACATCTTCCGACCCACTCTTCTTTCAAGTGGGCTTTATCCAATTTGACGTTTATGAATCCCTTTGGCTGTATTAACCTATTTTAGGGGTTATTTGATGGGGAGTATAGGCGTCAAGATTAGGCCCCTAAAAGTGGGAGTCCAGATCCGTTCGATAAATAGTGGCAAACAATCCGCCGGTTTACACATTAATGACAGCCTACAATTTTAAGTCCGTCTAGACACTTTTCTTGACGGAGGATGGAAAGACTGAGCGTGCACAACGTGAAACAAACTCGGAGATTGCACACGGCGTGTTAGCCTCAATGAGGAGGATTAACGGGGGATATGAGCCGGGACCCCGGCGGGACTTCAGCTAGCAATCACCGCGCCGCTTGGGGCGGCCCGCTGCCGGCTTAAGACGTCGCACGGTGTTTCCCCCGCGACTTGAGCCGCGCACTGTCATGTTTACACGATCAACACAATTCAATCAATTTTTTTTTCTAAGACCGGGAACATTTTAGCTTTTAATGTCATGCCTCGTATTCGTCACTAATCCACCGGGTGGCTTTTTCAACCAAGTGTTTGGATATGCTCGGCTCGCATTCACTACATTTTGTGAGATATTATGATCTTATTTTTGTAATGCGAAGCTTGGGACGATCACACGGCGCCTTTAGGTCGTGTTGGAGCCCAATGTTCCGCTCTTCACTCCCTGCTGTAATATCACCGTAACATTTCTCTTGAGGGCGTGAAGGGGCTTACAGAGCCGTGCTATTAATGCAATGCGTAAACAATTCTCGGTTTTCTTGCGTCGAGGCAAACCATTAATTTGACTAAACGACATTCCTGAATCGGTCCTACAGGAAAATACCGGCGGTGAATGTGTGTATTTAGTCTGGTTGAGAGCAGTGTCGTTGCCCCGGTTTATGTTTTAGGCAAAGGCGGTCTTTCGAAAACCCGAGAAGGATTTAAAGTTTCTGATCACTTATAGTGATACTTTGGGGTAGTTGAACCATTGGCGTCGCCAGGATTTTTTTCTAGAGGGGGCAAACCACATCATTTCCCCAAATCCTTGTACTTTCTCTAACATATTCTCAATTTGTCATTTTTCGAGGTTGGGCGGGGACATTTGCCCACCCCACCCCTCATTGACACCCCTGCGGACGCCCATGTTGTTAAATGTGCGTTAAATTCAAAGCAATACTGCTCCGCACCTCGTCTGTTTTTGTGTTGTTTTTTTCCCTCCTTTTTTTTGTTTTTTGTTCTTTGCTTTTTTGCTTTTCGGGGCGAGGGGGAACCGCCCCCTCTCGCGACGACACGTCCGCTGCAACGGGACACCAAAAACCGCATCAACATACATGTACTTAGGCCTGCTAACTAAGCATGTGTTTTTGTGCGTTACCAGGTGACTGCCCAAGCGACATGTGCCACGCTGACAGCGATGAGTATCGACCGTTATTACGCCATCACCGACCCGCTGAAATCACTCAAGACTCGGACGCCACGAGTCGCCATCGTCGTCAGCGTTGTGATCTGGACAGGTGAGTCAGATCATTCCTTTTAACCCTACTCCAAATATGGATGGCCAAAACTAGCTTATCAATCCAACAGAACAGAGACAGAACTTTGGCGGTTTTGAGACATCATCTTTCATTGAAAAAAAAACGTTTTCATTTTGCCGACGCGCATGGCTACGGCGACGCGTGCGCATACCAGAAACCGGAGACTTATTTTTTTTGGGCCTTATCCACATATAGCCTGAGGATCAGACGTTCACGTGTATGCAAATTTTACGAGACCCCGCGCGCCACATAATCGTAGCCGCCTTGAGAAGTTGTGACGTCATTTAGAGTAGAAATTCTGCCAAAGGTGTTGATTGGTCAATTTGCTGCCATGTTTTGTAATACAACAACGGGTTACCGAAGAACCGATAGGCGTCGTCCACTGAATGGTCAGAATCTGGAGGTCTGGGACGTAGTGCTATTTTGAATAATCTGCACACATATCATAGGCGCTTGCATACAGACAACACCTGCTAACGTTGACATCGCTTAATTGATTGAGTGACATATGTTTTGTTTTGTTTCTGTACAGGTTCAGCTCTGCTTGCTATACCCGTCGCCGTCTACTTCAACGACGTGGAATTCGCAGATGGCAACGAGACCTACCAATTCTGCCGAGCGACCTGGCCTTACCCGATCTTCTACCCTGGCTACGCCGTGTACTGCTTCGTCATGCTCTACGTCATCCCGCTGTCCATCATCGCCGTGTGTTACACCATCGTCCTGAACCGTCTCTGGAAGACCGTTGCCCCAACAGAGGAGTCCCACGCACCGGTCCACCTCCGGATACTGATGCAGAAGCGGCGCGTCACGCGCATGATCCTGGCCGTGGTCCTGGCCTTCGCCGCCTGCTGGATCGGCGTGCACGTCATGTCGCTCTGGCGTGGCATCGACCCGGATAACTTCCCGAAAACCAACATGGTCGTCTTTGTGTATCAGGTCTTCGCCCACCTCTTGTCCTACCTGAACTCCTGCGTCAATCCGTTCGTCTACGCTTTCATGGGCGGGAACTTCCGCAAGCAGATGGTCCGGGCCTTTCCGTTCATGAAGGGGAAGAAAAACTCCGCCACGGACGGCCCGTCCGGTAGTCTGATCAAATCTAAATCCACACAGGTCTAATAGCTTTTCATGTCTTATTATGGAATCGTGCTGCAGTTGGTACGACACAAAACTTCAAATCGAGAACGAACGGTTCATGGACCCCGTGCGCCCTCAACGGTTACAAAAGGAAAGTTGTGAGAGACCACTGTATGGGAGGGATTCTTGCGCCGTGCGCTCACGCGGTTTGTCCTTCCCACTGGAACGAGTGGTGACAAAGCGCCTCCTACTGTTCATGCACGGCATCCATTATGGCAGCAATTTCTCTGCATGACCCCCGAGTATTAGCACGTGATATGGGTCAAATCAAGAAAGCATTCCCCGTGGTGGCTGGTTGTAAAATACTTCGCTGCTGCAGTACGCAAACTCTGTGTTGGTGCATTCAACATAATTGCCGCGTGTTTCACGCCAGTTAGAGGGATCTATTGGGCGACCAATATTGCTGTCTCGCCTTCTTGAGAAGCTGACCTTTTGAGGTCCAATGCCTGGTATTCAGTTTACATACCATGGCAAACAGTGGTGTACGCACAAAACCAGTTAATTGCTTATGGTTGAGCGTACGAGTGCCTGTCCGTCGTTGGTCAATGCAGGACAGGTACCCAGTCGTCTTTGATTGGTTATGCAATGTTTACTGAAAATAGGCTGGTGCTGAGGATAAACAAAAGTGTCTGAATTTTAAGACCATAGCCCGGATGTTACCTATTCATTGATATAAACACTAAAATAAGTAAATTAAATTAGTTTAAGAGTTAATATAGTGGATATTGATAAAACAAATCTTAATATAAATTCGAATAATTTGTTTTTAAATTGTATTCATCATTTCGGGGTTCTGTTATAAGGTCTCAAAGTATTCCCATCATTTTATCCCTGTGGAAAATGTACACAAAGTTTTGAAGGAAACAAATGCATTCGACTATCTTATGGCATATGCTTGCTCGTGTAGTTGTTTTTGTTGACAAAAGGGCAAATTTTCTTTCACCGAAACTCCAATTTTGGTCACAAAACATGATTTTGGGCGAGACATTAATAACAATCCACAGAGTCCCATTCGATCGACAATGGAACACTGCAAAAACTGGAGTGTTAAATTTACACCATTGGAATCTATATAGGACCATCTGGTGTTAAATATTACTGGTGTTGTCCTATATAGATACCGAATGGTGTTAAATTAGCACTACAGTTTTTGCAGTGAAGTTGTATCGGTTGGTATTCAAAGCAACACTATTAAAAACAAATGGGTACAACTTAAAAAAATGTAATGCAGTAAAAAACATGTGATTGTTATTTTGTGACTGTTATTTTAATGCATTTCACTGCACAGTTGTGTTTAAATCACAGCACTTTAAAGTGAAAGGTACATGGGAGTATTTGCAATGTGTGCATTTCTTTTGTTTGAAGCAACAAAATTGCTCAAAATCTTAACAAGGTTGCTTTTTAATACTATAACTTGTTGAAGTTTCAGCTCAGTGGATAATTTTCATATTGTTTGTCGATTTTGTGTTTGAATAGTTTCGTTGATCGTAATTGATTTTCGTTCGGGAAATCGGAATAGGTTTAGGGTGGGATAGTGTGTATAGGGTAATCTGTGGAATAGCCGCTTGCACACAAGCGTCTGTGGTCATCGCAGATTGGGCGATTAATTATGCAAACACAAGACTACGTCTTGACCTCCAGATTCTGACCATTCAGCGGTCGCCTTTTATCGGGTCTTTTTGGTAACCCCGTTGTTGTATAACAAACACATGGCAACAAATTGACCAATCTATAGCTCATAGGCCGAATTTATGCTCGAAATGACGTCACAATTTCTAAAGTCAACTGCGATTGGCTGGCGCGCGGGGTAGCATAAAATTTGCATGCTCGGATATATCGGACGTTTGTAGTGTGGCTCTGCACACGTGAACACCTGATCCTCATAATAGGTACAGGGTCGAGGCGAAGCCAATATGGAAGGAACAAAGCACCCAGGCCGTTGGCACTACTATGCCCAGCCAAACAAAACCCAACCCATCCCACCAAACAGAACATATCTTCTGCGAAGGTGTATTTGGGGTTCCTTTTAGTCAAGCGTGATTTTTTGTACTATTCCAGGGACTTAAGTTTACATTGATAAACCTCATAAATTTTGCCGGGAATCGTAATATCTAGTAGAACGATTGAAGTGGTTTTCACAATTTTGTATCTGTATATATGAGAACAGAAATGCAAAGTATATATTTGAGTTGTTTATAGTGCAGTATTCGATTGATATTTAACAATTGTTGACTGTTGTGATGTGGGATATGACTTTTGAACACACGAGGGGCGCAAAGCACCTGAGGCGGAGCCGAGGGTTCTATGCGCCCTGAGGGTGTTAAAAACGTCATATATCCCCCATCACAGCAGTCAACAATTGTTTTGTTATACCTCTGTCTTGGATTTTTGGATTTTGATATAAAACTCACGAAAACAAACAGCAGTAAACGCAACAATCATGTCAATCAAACGTCGACTCACATGCATGTCGCGTGCTCGAAGCAGCTGATCGTCTGCTAGTTCGCTGCTCCCACCCATGCGTGAAAGCATGGTGAAAATAGTAGTGGGTACCAACGATACAAGCGTTTCACACTGTACGTACATGTACCGTATACGTACAAAGTCATAGCACGCTCCCTGTGGGATATCACGTATGTGATATCCCACAGGGAGTGTGACATGACTTTTTCTAAACTGAACACGTGATCGTTCTATAGGCCAACACGTGATAGTTCTATAGGCCAATGAAAATACAGTATTCAAGACAGAGGTATAACAAAATTATAGATGACCTGAAAGATGGTTTATTATCATGTATTATGTGTATAAATTAATGTTATTAATGAGGTGGTTCATGTGAGCGCTGATTCATATAAAAGTTCAAACTATTCAAAACTCTGAATAGGCATCCAGATCTCATTAACCCATTGCGCATGTCAGTGGCAATTTCACCAATAAGAGACCTTGGAATCACGTGTGGTTGCGATTCCATAAGGTAAAAGAGACCCTTATTTCACGAAGTCCATTATTGCATATAACACCTGCGTCTTAAAAATACATGAAAATATTTGTACGCTCTGGGCTTTTTTTCCCCTTATCACCTGGACTTGAATTACTTTCCACGATGGACTCTCCGTGCTCTGGGCAACAAGTTAATTATTTAAATAGTTCGTCTGAGACGTATAGGTCTCATGCCAAAGCTCTTGGCTCGTCTCCAGCACACAGGAGCTGCAGGTGCAATGCTTGAGTGATTGGATTGGATTTGACGCGTAAGAGGGACAGAGCTACCCACGGATATGGTTCTGTTTTGGGGATTAAGGGATGATTTGTGGAGAAGCGGGAAGGGCGACTGTGTAATGAGCGAAGGGTGAGAGAGAAAGTGTAACAGAGAGGTTTGGAAAAGAGTAACAATTCAAGAAAGAAGACACCAACGGTAGGCCCCAAAATGAGCCGCTTCCTTCCAAAATTATAGGTGGTTGTTTTCCAGTCACTACACTCTACACTGCCACTGCAAAGCACATACTTTGGCACATTGACTGTATGTTTCTAGATCCTCTTGCTGCAGGGCTCTGTTCGTAGAGGGCGTTCTAGGAGATGTTCTATTGTCTGAGGGCCTCTCTACAATCACATAGGTCATTGGTATCATTGTCGTAAACTTCACTTCCGCATTTAAGACTTTGCGTCTGCCAACTCAAACCCTTAGGTGACCAGTTTCAAAAAGATTTTTCGATACTAGCCTAAAACCTGTAAATAGAAATTACTGGCAGATTTTTCATTTTTTTAGTCGCACTGTCTGGCTTGAGCCCAACACGAGCAAGCTTCTTATATTTTTCCTCGCATGCTCTTGCATCGAAAGTAGATACAGGGCAAACCCCTATTGTGTCACAGTTATATTTATTTTGTTGTTTTCTTCGATTGAATGAGTTCTCTTCTTGATATTTATGTCGTGAAGGAGATAAGGATGATGAAAGGGAGGAATGAAAGACGAAAAGGAGAACAGAGTAAACCGGATGGTGTGAGAGTGCTAAGTGTATGTACTGTGAAAAAACGAAAGGATTTACTCAGAGGAGGCGAGAACAAAAAGATGAGTGATTTTTACTAAATGAGACTCGATATCATGCCTAGAAGCTACATTGGTAAATGTAGTGAGAAATCCTAGTAGGCTGTTACATCATTATGGGTTTCTGCCGCTATTCGGAGTTGAAGAAGATGCGTCGCTGGCAAGCTTCGGCCACTGGCATTATGATGCTTTTACGTAACAGCCAAGCAATCTGCATAGCAACGACGCCAAGTAGTGTTCCTTTAGCGAGTGAAGCCTCGCTTTGGTTTCCATAGGGCTATTCTGTGTAAGGCCTAGCAAAGACTCACGAAAGGAGGTCCTGTATTTTACAAGCAGATTTTATTCAAAATCTTAGCAAAAGACATAATGGTGGAACTTTTATTGCGCGTGTTTTTTTAGTATAATTACTTTGATGTGCTCGTTTGGTTATGTTAGTATATTCACTTACAATCACTAGAAAGCAGATCGGTATCTTTGAGTTGAAGCACCAGAAAAGGTTAAATATAATGAATTGGATCTACACATCTGTTAATTTTTGACGTCCATGTAAATCAACAAGTGTAAAGAACTGTAAGTTTTTGTGTATCAAAATCAGAACTTTAAAACAGCCTTTTAAAAAATAACATGGTGTTATTTTCTGTATATTAGTATATTTTTCCTCCCAATTACGTGTATTATAAGATTATTGTTGTGATGGAAAGGGAGTTGAAATAAATGATAAATGTATTGACCTCATCATTCGTCTGGAGAAGTTTAGAAAGTTTTGCGAGCCTTTGGAAATCCCTTTGTTCGTTTGTATGTTCCATCGCGTGGATACCAAATGAGCTTCATGAAAAGATTGAGGGCGCCCTTTGGGAAGAGCGGTTCGGTTTGGCATTCATCATGGCATTTTTTATCAAATTTTAATCGACCAAAATCCGCCTTTTACTTATACATCCAAGTTTCCTTTTGCCGATATCGTCCTTCAAACATTGTTTAACGTCAAGTAACTCTAGTTTTGGTGCTTTTTATTTTACTGCGCTCGACTTGTGATATTTGATGCTTCTTTTCATGTGCATTGCCAAAGTAGTCAAACCATCCTTCGAACGAAGTTTTGCAGCAACTGCACTGAGAGGCGATCCATTGTCTCATAATTGTTTTGCTTATTAACAGGTATTTGCCTCCACTTCCAGCACTTGTGTGCCGTCTAGAGAGCAACCATCTCATGTCAGATTGCACCAGTCCATGTTTCTGCCATGAACGTCTTCTTCGGCAATTACTTCCAAGACTATCAGTTTCGTTTTAAAGGATGATGATGCTCTTTTGGATTTATGATATCGTCCAAAAGCTGACTCCGGTAGGACTAGTTCGTCAAACGCGCGCGTATGAAACCATTATGCTCGCGCTACAAATAAAATGGTCTCCTCGCTTGTTATGCAAAACTGCCCCTCAAAAACACAAGTACCCCTCTCGCATTAACAAGATTGTGCACCTTTTCGAGATGGAAAACTACCTTTCGAAAGCACAAATACCCCTCTCGCGATAAAAGAAAAATGTGCCCCTCTACATGGAAAATTGGCCATCAAAAACAATAGTGCTCCTCTCGCGATAACTTTGGAAGGTTCCCCTTAATTTTCTGAGCAAGCGACCCTTTTTGGTGTTTCCAAAAGGTGTTTTGAAAAGCGTTCCGCAGCTCCTGTGGCCAGGCATGCACTTTGAGGCTCTTACGATTTCGCGCCCGGACCAACAATGACTGCCGTTGAATAAGAAGAATGCGCGTTGTACAAGTTTGTTCATTGCGACAATTTGTCTCATTGTGATCTGCCAACTTAATCGCTATGTGCTGTTGTTCCGTCGGGTCATACATAGTTTAAAAAAAAAAACGACATTCCGAGCACGTTATCAACTCACTCCATGAAGGGTGTGAGCATTGCGCCAGCTATTGCTCAGAAAATCCATAACGGGGCAGTTGCTTTGTATAATTGTACAAGAGCAGGCAAGATGCTTTCGCCATTGAAGGTAGCCTTCGTGAATTACAGCGATAGAGCGTGGTCGGATTATGCACAGTGTTCCATAGACACGGACAGGAAAGGTATAACCGTGGATACTAGGCAGAAACGAGAATCTCATTAATACGTGGGTAAACGTTGAACCACTCTTTGCCGTGTGCTGGGGGTACGCAGTCACTGATAACAACCATGCTGATGCATATTCAACAGTATCTTGATTAAAGGTAAGCATTTACCGAGAACATTATTTGCAGTGAATGTTCATGACGATTTCCCGCCGTGATATTCGATCAGTGCAATCCTGCACTTAGATGGCCCAAAGCGCCACCAACGTTTGCGACAGGATAAGCTGTGTCAAGGGCAGCGACCATTTTATTGAATAGGTAGGTGCGGACATCCGGAGTTTTTTTTACATTTGCTCAATGGTTCTTGAGTCTGGAGTGCCGAATGGTTACACATAGCAACCGATGAAAACTGGCGTCACTCCGCCCCGATCTATCGTCGAACTTTTCCTCAAACGACGCTGTCGGCTCTCTCTCTCTTCGTGTTTCATATTCAGCTGAGATTACACCATTTAGAAGGTAGTTTATCTGGAATTATTCGTAGAAATGTAAAGCAAACAATCACATTGACTGGATTGAAAGAACAAAATAACAACGTCGGTTCTTACGGCTAGAGAGAGGGCGCCCTCACTGTATTCATGTGAGAGAGCCGTTTGAAAACACATGATCACCGTAAAAAGCAAATGGCGCCCTCATTTCCAACAACACTTTTTACCACTGCGAGGACATTTTGTTAAAGGGTTCGTGAGATGAATTTTTCTGAGGAACACATTTTGTGCAACTTTCTACTCCTCGTAAATGTATGGAAACTATTTGACATCCCGTTTTGGTTAATTTCATTGAAAAGTGCACTTCTTTAAACATTTAATACATTCCATGCTTTTCCGGACAACTGAGGGCGCTGTTGCTGTGATTCATTTCAGGAAGACACTGTTCAGTTTAGGGGCTTTCTTACTTACTCGGTACTTTCTTTCTTACTTTCTGTTCAAATTGTGAACCCAAAATTTGCTCTTCGAAAACAATTGTCAGAAAGGTTTGCTCATTGGCATTCTGCCATATACTGACACATCAACGAATAACCAAAGAATAGAAAATTTACGACAGCAAAATATCAAAAACGTGAGCAACTTTTTGGGCTGAAATAGCTGTAGCATTTAGGTTTCTGCCCGGAATGACATCACAGTTTTGCTCACAAATATGGGCATTAAAATAGAAATTAAAAAGGCAGCAAAATAGCCTTTAAAATGCCTGATGAAAATGGAAAATTAGTTAAAATGGGACACAGGTGCATTTTCAAGGATTGTATAAAAAAAATTACATAAATAAAAAGCCAGAACTCGACCACTATCATTGTAAATATCTTTCAGCGTTAGTAGTCAAAGTAGATGTTCGGCATGACACACAATTCAACGCTTGTCCACAAAATCGTGCATCTTTCAGCAAAAGATAACGAACAGCGCCATCTAGTTTCAGATGGTGTTCTTCCCGTCTGCGTAATTTTTATTCCTAGGAGGGTTAGGGGCAATGTCATGAATAATTCATGTTTATCCATGAGAACGGACAATGACATCAACAGCATTGTTGTTAGTTACTCAACTAGTTACAATACATTAAAGCATTTTAAAGAACGGTTGTCGTCGAGCTACCACACAGTAGCCTAGTGGATAGCGAGATGAGCTATGGATACAAAGATCCCTGGTTCGAATGGCACGTCGTCGCTGCTCATTTTCATCAGCTATTTTTCTTCTCCAAATTTATCACCGAGATAATTTTAAATTAAGGGGAAAATAGAACGAGAACCTAAGTCTTGCAATGATTCAAAGGAAAAACTGAATTATTCATGACATTGCCCCTAACCCTCCTAGGAAAAAAAATTACGCTTCCCGTCCCCATTGAATAGCGCCCCCTTTGCCTGAAAATTAGGGGTGGAACCAAGTAAATAAATTCCCATAAACACCGGTGATAAATCTCCATACTTCAAAATTCTTCTAAAAATACTTATAACTCTCACAGGTGCACAGAAAAATGATACTCAACATGTCGACTTTCATTTTCCTTTCAATTTTTGGTGGGTTGACCGATTACTGTTTGGAGAAATTCTCACCCACAGAAGACCACCCCTAAAACGAATGATATTTCCCAAACTGGAAAAGTTGCCATTTTGAAAAGGATTCCTCGATCGACAACATGTCTAACTTTCGGACCCACTTGCAGCCAAAATGCAGCCGAAATGGACCCAATTGCAGCCAAAAAGTTCATAATTAAAAGTTATACCCTCAAAATGTTATATATTAAAGTGTTCTGAGAGCCATAAAATTGGGTAATTGAAGAGATATGGTAATGAACCTCTGGCATGGACTTCGGGTTTCCAATTCTTGACATTTTGGATGCAATTGGACTCGAAAGTGGCGCTATTTTGCCATGTTGTGGAGGGATCGTTTTTTAAGATGGCTACTTTTCCGCTTTGGGAAAAAAAAGGGGTCGTCTTCTTTGGGTGAGAATTTCTCGAAAATTCAAGGGTCAACCTACCAAAAATGAAAAGAAAATGAAAGATGATATATTGATCATCATTTTTCTGTGCAACTTAGGCCTAAATACCTGTGAGAGTTTTGAGTATTTTAAAAAGAATTTTGAAGTATGGGTATTTAGCACTGGTGTGTAATTTGAATGTATAACAATAATTATTCATTATCAATCCCTATTCATGAGATCAGCGGACAGCTTTTTGACATATTTACTTGATTGCACCCGTAGCTCCCCTACCCCTTTCAAATTAGTCTGGCGACTCCCGTGGCTGTATTGCGTAATGCTTCGCCCATGAACAAGAACATTCTGATTCTGATTGTGTTGAGCGGGCTCATAAGAGGATTCTTGGAACCTTTCGCTATTGAAGAATGATCAGTATAGCGCTCTCAATCGACCTCATACTGTACTCCAGTATAATTGCAAAGTAAATTCACACAAAACGAGTCTCACAATCTTCTTTTAACCTTTATTAACGTAATTTGAGATTCATTGTGTGCAGCCTGAAGAAAATGTCACGTCAATAACACTGCAGCAAAATCAAACTCGCATCGAGTGCGACACAATTTCAACACGGGCATGTAAAGGCAACTTTCTGAAAAGTTTTCAGGGCAAAACCTTTCTATTTCTTAGACGTCACAGTAAAAAACGAGAACTTTTTCGCTACACCATTGGATTTTATAGAACAGTAGGCATTCACCTTATCATAAAGATACTGCAGTCAATTGAAGAATGGTTTCTTAATGCCTCTAACAAAGTGCTGACTCCTCAAACTGCAGACCATTATTCAAATGTCGCATTAAATGTCATTCTTTGCAGAGTTCATGAAGACTCTTATTTTATGAAAAATATGATTTTTTTTTATTTCACATTGTTTTATAATGCTGCCTGGTCTATGGGCGCCATGTTGTTGTTTACGTTCATTTGAACGTCCATCCTCGGAGCCAGGACCGTCACCCTCGTACCCCCGTCCTCGGTCCCGCGTCTCTGCAGCCTCCGTGTGGAGTTCCGGGCCCCGATCTGCCGCCGGAAGCAGCAAGGAAATGCCTTCCTGAAGCTGGCCCGGAAGTTGTTGCCCATGAAGGCGTAGACGAACGGGTTCACGCACGAGTTGGAGTAAGCTAAACTGTACGCAATGATGCGTAAGTAGTACACGGCGTTGATGTGGTATGGCACCCCGCCAGGGACGTACCGGTCCCAGCAATTGAAAACGTGCGTGGGCAGCCAGAAGAGGAAGAACAGGAACACGACCACCAGGAGCATGCGCGTTGTGCGCTTCTTCTGCTGGAGGTTCTTGCGGGCGCGGAAGCTGGTGTTGGCCGTGAGTTGCTTGGTCCACATCGCGTGGAGCAGGAGCGAGTAGCAGGCGCAGATGATGACCAGCGGAAGGATGTACGTCGTGACAAAGACGTACGTGTAGTACACGGATTTAGTGGCGTGGGTGTCGAACGTCTCCACGCAGGAGTATTTGTAGTCCACGTAGTACCAGTGACTTCTGACCCCGACAAAGATGGCGGCCGGCGCGGCCATGATGTAAGACACTGGAATAAATGTTACAAATAAAAGTCCAACAATTATTACCATTACGGTCCAGTTCAGATGACAAAAAGAGAAGTTGAAATTAGTACGGCCAGAAATATGTGAAATATGAAAATATTGTACAGCTCTTTACTCCTATCAAGAAAGAGACACAAAAGTTATTTTCACATGCCGTTTTTTTTTATCTAATGAGCAATTTCGCCTTGAACGTACATGTCAGACACTTTAATGAGCAGCTGTTGGAAAAGTCAATGTGATACATTATTGTGTGACATTTAATTACTAGTAGAAAATAAAAAAGTACAGACCAAAACTATATGGTACCATCGCCTTAACGACCTTGTATATCATATGGTAGGACACACGCAGAGGACTTTACGAAATTGCCCTAATTCTAACATGAAGTCACCATGAAGTTTGGTAATTTTATTTTTTTTATTAACCAGAACGGCCTAGATTTTAATTTGTTTGTTTACCAACGAATCATCTCTTTCTTCATGTTACCTTTTACAAAAGAGGGCGCTGTTGGTTGCCTTAAGACCTGAACGTTTCTTCTTCATAGCACTCGTTTTAAAAGCCGTCAATCCCAGTTTTAAAATAATGTCATCTGATTCCGTTTTCATCCTCTTCCTAAAAGGTCGGGCAAAAGGGCGCCCTCTGTCGGCAGATATTACTTACATATCCAGACTCCGAGGTTGAGGACGAGCGACAGTCGTCTGGTTCTGTATCTCATGGATTTGATCGGGTACACGATGGCGAAGTAGCGATCTGCGCTCATAACGGTCAACGTCATGCAGGTAGCGTGGACAGACGCCTAGGAACCAGACAAAAAGGTAATGTTATTCATTTTGTATTAATCTAAGGCCATATCCGAATTCGCGCGCGCGTTTCACAATGCAGTGCGCCACCAAGAGTTTACCACGGAGAGTTCATTTTCCAAGTGCAGTGTGGGACATTTTACGGTCAATAGTTTCGCAGGCGAATGATTCGAGGATCTATTTGCCCTTTACTTTTCTTTTTATCAATATGATGTTTTTTATAAGGCGGCAGAATGCTATGCTCCAATCTATAACATATTAGCTCAAGTTTCTACTGACACTCATTTCAAATGGGCCATGTTTTGTCGACCATAAACTTGAAAAATTGATTCTCCGCGGCAAACTCTTGGTGGCGAACTGCATTGTGAATCGCCCGAATTACTTGGCTACGGCTTGAATTACACTCATGTCTGTGGCAGCGGCTGCAGCCTCTTCTCATAGACTAACACATGCCTCTATGGAAGCCGCTTCAATAGGTGCATGTGGTATTGGCAGCCGTATAGCCAATGAATTCAGAAGAAGCCATACTTTAATGACAGTTCTGGTTCTGTTCTGGTGGTTACTGCGCAAACTCCTCATAAGTAGTTATCTCGCACAGGTCGGAGTGGTTGGCGCAGTGAACTAAATTTTAAAGTGGGCCTTATTAACTATAAAGCTGAGGAGATATAGGTTCTCAATTCCCTCTTTGAAAGCTTTGACATTGGGAGCAGAGCGAATGTTGGGTGGTAGCAGGTTCCATTCCCTTGTAGTTTTTGGGTATAGAGTGAATATTGATAGCACAGTTTGTTGAAATTTGGCGGGACAATGATGTGAGGACCGAAGTTCTGTCTTGTTGTATGATTGTTGTTACTCTGGCTTGACGGCAAGTTTGATGGTGTGATATTGTGGACTTCCTTGTAGATTGTTGTCAGTCGTAGTCGGATTCTGCGGAGTCTAGTTCCAAGCTTCAATTTTGAAGCACCTTTTGGAGATAAGTGGTCCTCAGCATCTCAGAGTCTCAGAATTGGTAACCGATACAAGGCGCCCCCTGAATGGTCAGAATCTCGGGGTCAAGACGCAGTCTTGGTTTGCAGAATTAATAGCTGAATCTGCTCGCAGTAGACCTTAGCTGCTCGCAGTAGACCCTATAGCTGCTCAAACGTCTAGTCCATAGTAGATTAGTCCTTTGCCTCACGTAGTAAGAAATAATGTTCCTAGCGCGCCCACGTGTTTATTAATGTTCTTCGGGCCTGGTCAACATTGACTTGACTAGAATCATAGGATTCTTAAAAACAAAATCAGGGCAAAGTTGAAAAAGAGAGTGCAGCTCTTGACAGATGTACACTTTGTTTGCACAGCTGCGGGAGCGCAAAGTGCAGAGTTCATGTAAACTGCTGAAAGGACCTAGGTTAAGTTGGGCAAGTTTCGATGCTGCTTGGCCAAGTTGGGGCAATTCTCGATGCTGCTTGGTCAAGTATTACAACCCCCTAAAACATTTGTATCTTGTCATTTTCATGAAAATAAAATGTTGATTACTCATTAATAATTTGTGAAACACTGTGACCTGAATTTCGTTGACAAAGTAAGCCTACTTTAAATGTTGTGATGACACCTCTACTCAGGTAGCAGGAAAAACCCTAACCGAAGCTCGTCGGGTGCGTGGAAGAAGTTCATAAGGGCAAAAAATGCGTCAAAAGGTCATATTCTATTTTTTTTTCGGGTTGTCGATAGAGCATGGAAATATCTGTCATTTGATATACTCTCTGTCTCAAGGGGCTACGTCATTCTGACGTAATTAACAGTATGAAAAAGACGGAAGGAGGTTTTTCATTAACTTGTTCCCGGCATAAGGACGTTAGCGTGTAATTCTAATGTAACAAAATACGTTCAAAGTGCGCTAATAAACGTCCCACTGGGTACGCAAAGCCAAGCTTGCCGCTTAAGCGCACGTTTAAGGCAGGGGGAGATCCCGGTAAAAGGTCATTAGCATAAACCTACCTAAACATGTGAATAACTTCAAAATTAAGTACTATATTCAAATAAAAATGAACAACATTACTTTAATTATTAACGAATTTATGAGCTGAAATTTCAGCCTTATGTGATTTTTGATTTAGAAATGGGAGCACGTAACCTTTCAACTTGATTATCTCCAAAAGTGCTTTTTGCGTGCCTGGGCTGAGCGACCTTTTTCCTTGGCGCATGACACGTCGGCTGCTCTGGTCGTGACCAGTTTTCCCAGGAGGAAATTCAGGAACAGATAAAATTTGATGCTGCACGTTACACAGCAGATTTGATAGCCTAGCACGGAACATTACTGTGTAATAGACCCATCCGAGCAAGCTATCAATTGTATCACGGAGGCCTCCTACAATGGCGAGAGCATTGTGCTAGCTATTGTCCAGATAATCCGTCACGGGGCAATTGCTTTGTACAATAGCATGTACAATGGTTTCTCCATTAAAGGGGGCCTCGTACAGCGGTAACTGAATTCGTCTATAGCTGCAAGGACTATGGATTTGTCGAAAAATCGGGTACGTCTGAAATACGGCTTCATGAGTTATAGACGTGGGGTCTATACTCCGTTGTCTTGAATGATTCACAGGTTTCGTAAAAGACCACTGATGGACGAAACAACTCCTTACCAATCCCTTTAATAACCAACCAGGAAGAGCATAAGTTACCTGTTGAACGTACACCATGAATCGGCATATGCCCTCCGTCAGAAACCCGTAGAGAGTAAAGGTCAAGGTGGTGAAGGGCACACAGAACAGCAAGAAGGTGATGTCGGTCAGAGCTAAGTTCACGATGTAGTAGTTGGTGACCGTGGACATCTTCATCTGGAACAGCACCACGTAGACCACGAGGCAGTTGGTGATGACACCGACGCCGATGATGAGGGACCAGAGTACGGGGACGAAGATGGTCTCCGGGCCCGGTTCGCTGGTGTAGTAGTAATCGTACGAGGAAGAAGAGGAGTTGAGCGGGTCGGTGGTGGCTGGCTCCAGGGAAGTCATGCTGGTGGGCTTTAGCTTTGAGACCTGCTGCTAGCGGAAGAAAAAAAAAAGAAGGACTACTTTATGAGAGTTTATCCTGTTTCTAAGAGCCAAACCTAAATCAAAATATTCAGCTAGGTTGTAGTTAAGTTCACAAGTAAAACTGTAAATCCATCAGAAATCAGAAATCAAGACCATCGCAAGTCATATCACAAGGCTATCACAGGTCAAAACTCATGTCTGTCACAAGTCAAAATCACAAGTCCACCACAAGTCAAAACAAGTTCACCTCATGTCAAATCACAAGTCCATTACAAGTCAAAACACGTCCATCACAAGTCAAATTACAAGTCCATCACAAGTCTATCACAAGTCACATCACAAGTCCGTCACAAGTCAAATCACAAGTCCATCACAAGTCAAATCAGAAGTCCGTCACAAGTCAAATCACAAGTCAGATCACAAGTCCATCACAGGTCAAATCACAAGTCACAATGCACAAGTCAATGCACAAGTCAATCACAAGTTAAATCACAAGTCAACCAAAAGTCAAATCACAAGTCAATCACAAGTCAAATCACAGATCCGTCACAATTAAGGTTACATTTTATTTAGTGTAGTGTTGTAGTTAAGTGTAAATCATAAGCCCGTCACGAGTAAAATTACATGCAAGTCGCAAGTCAATCATAAATCCATCACACCATAAAGTGTGGTCACAGCAACGGAAAGACCATCGCCATATTTCATTCCAATACCTTGTTGTGACTTCAGACCAAAATGACATGCGATTGACTTGTGATTGGCTTGAGATGACGTATACGGACTAGGTAAAATCGCCACCCAAGCCTTCGTTACGATTAGACGTGATTTGAGGCTGCGATTTCTTTTCGGTGGAGGGGGGATTGGTGGGGTCATGGCCTTGGGGATTTTCTGGCTGCTCCCGTCTCCTGCGATCAACGAGAGACTGTGACGTCTTGAAATAGGGTTTGAATATATCTTTGCGCATGCGCGTCCAACGACACGAATATGATTTTTTTTTCACTGGAAATATAATGGACACTAACAATTTGTAACTCTCTCTAACCCACAACTTCAACCAGGCTGGAGAAGATAATTATAATCATGATTTTTTTTTCACAAACGAGCTCTATTATTTTGATACTTGAAAGGGATCAATTTATGGCAAATTCTCCAAAGAATCGGCAGATGTGTATATGTACATTTATTACAAACGTATGTGACAAAGCGGGAATAAACAAAGGCAGACATGTAGCGTCAGATCAGTCTCAACCTAACCGACAACTCCATCATCCGGAATGACGCTTTTTCGTGTCTGTCTGCGTGCTATTAACTGTCATCCGGTGATCACTTTCCAAGCGGGCGAACGAGCCTCGAGGCCCGCCGGGTTTGATTGCAATTAGCCCCCGGCACGTCACCGCGCGTGCGTTGCACGCTGACAGTCACACCTTCACAACATTAATGTGTGTCGAAAAGCTAGCGATTCATTTGTCATCGGAGAACTGCCTAAACATCGCTTGCGCGAAGCGAAATTTTGTTTTTGACATTTTCCCCCGTCAAGCTTGAATTCTAGATCCCAAATGGTGATCCCGAACTATTCCAATGTATGTCACTACAACGTGTCTCCAAGAAAAATGTAGCAGTCAAACAACATTTTTTTTCTGAGGAAACTTAATCTTTTTTTGGTAACAAAAAAATGCCATGTGATGATCAGTTTTTTTCTTACACTTGTCAGGATTTTTGTTCCGTGTGATTTGGACCTTTTGCTTAAAAGTTACGGCAAAACTTGTGAAGAGTGTCAAAATCTGTTTGGGCCACTTTTCAGATTATCTGGTATCTAATGAAAGGCATTCACACACCTTCTTGGTATGTGGATGCCTTTCATTAAACCAGATAATCTGAAAAGTGGCCCAGCTTGGAATTCAAGTCCTTTCATTTAATTGGCTGTATCTCTGGGCTGGGGTGTCCAAATGAGATGGGATCAAGACCATTGTGAAGAGTACTGACTGACCGGCTGACTCGTGACTAAGACTGGTTGTTGACTGGTGAAAGATCCGGGCAGTGCTATCATATATGATTACCCCGTAATGCCAATGAATGGGCTAAATCCAGCCCACAGTGTAGACCACATGCATGCAACGACTTCCAGTGTAAAGCCATTCTAAATCAATTGAAGAGAATCCGTCCGCTATGGGACCACTGTTACTGCGCCTGTCTTGTCTTGTTGATAAAGTTCGAGCTTAAAAGATGTTGAAAGGTGCCTGCAGGATGTGACGCCTGGGTGTTGTTTTTCTTCTCTATCTTTCAATTACGGACGTTCTGCCACCAAGCACTTGTCAGTGAAGGCTCGCGAGAATCATTTTAATCAGAAGCTGTGAACGGATCTCACCATTGCAGTCAGAGGAATCATTGATTAGGCCTACAGGTTTTTAACCTTGTTCTTTTGTCGGAACAGTCTCATTTTTTTTCATACCATGTCATTTCGCCCTCAACTTCCCTCAACTAACATTTATCTTCCGGTACCCCCGAAAGTAAAGGACAAGTGAATTCGCTCCTACGAACCAAACGTTCCTTGATGATTGACCTCTAGCCTACATTTATATCAAAGCAAAAAAACTATGAATGTAATACATTATAGTTTATTTGGTTTAATAGATTTCAATGAATTTGGGAGTCAGGTTGGCGTGGCGGTACTTTCCCCGCCTTGTGAACTGGGTTCGAATCCCGCCTGGGCCAAAATGTGTGGATTGGGTTTTCAGTCCCTTTTTATTGAAAATTTCCCATTATTCGCTTTTGATTCGATGCCTGATAACGTCATCATGACGTCACAGTAAAAGGCACACATCGGGATCAGGGTCGATGAATGAAGGAACAAATGGTTTCATTTCACATCATCGTTGACACAAGGAACCAATACCAACTTATTATGCTTCTACGCTTTTATGCGGAGATCGTCTCTTTGCTTTTATCAGTTGACGATTAAAGTCACCCTTAATTTTACGTAGCCTTTGCAATAATTTTCTCCAAAATTGTTTCATTTGCTGGAACTGTCAACCCTTTGGATAATGGTCAGGAGGGACATACAGTTTGACAAACAAACTTAATTGCGGTACCAGAATTCTTCAAAGTGGGTAGCTGCATATGAGATGTTGAACTCAGTGTGTATATTTGGAGGTGTGAAGCAATGGGCCGAGTTTTGCACAACCCATTTCGAGAAGGGGTGTACATTATATACTTCTGAATCGTTTGAGGGTTTGAAACTGCCCCATATTCTTGTCAAGTTTGAAAATCATGTACATCTTGATAACATTTGGTGAGCGTGGTTATTCGCTAAATATTTTGCAACATCAAGTGATATCAGTATTTTCTCTCTGCAGACTCGACTCATCTTGTAGCCTTGTAATTTTTCCTTAATTTCCCTTGTTTTGCCGGGACTCATTTGGTACATAATCCTCAAAATATTCAAATGTACATCAGACACACACACATACGGAATCGTTTTTGTTTGTTTCAATTGAATGAACAATCTTGTGAGCTATACTTTACAAAATGTATGTTTCCAACCGGGCGTTTTGTCACCTGCTATCGTCAGCTTGGTTAGGCCTACATAGTGTTTTCTAGCAATATGATTATGTAAACTTAACATTGGTCGGACAGCAATACGGTCGTACGTCGAGTAGGTTCACTTAAAACCCAGTAGATATTCAAAGTGTGCCAGCTATGAAAAAAAAATGCTGTGTAAGTTGAAATCAATTATAAGGCCAAAAAAAAATAAGTCGGTCTCTGGTCAGCGCGCGCGTCGATTTTAATGATGCGCGTCAACCTTTTTTTTTCCAAAATGTTCCGCGGTAGCTCCAACAGCGCCCTCTATTGCCGCACCTCCTCAACTTCTTTTTACCAAAGAGCACCAAGGAATGGGAAATTGCACCAAGGCAAATGATCGAGGGCACCAAGGCAAATTATGGAGGACACCAATGAGGTCACCCAAAAAAGCAAAATAGTACCCCACCTTGTCTGTACAATCCAAGCTTTAAAAAAAAAAAAAAAGCAGAAAAAAAAAAAAAGCCGCGTCGCCGCATCATTTCCGGAACTTTGGCCTGACCAGAGACCGAGTATTTTTTTTTTTTGGCCTAAACTTTCTTTTTGCCATTAGGCCTACACCCTAGCTTATAACATAAAGTGCACTTTCGGGGAAACATGACCGCGAACCTTCTTAGATGTAAACGTTGCTTCCAATGTGACATATCGCCACTGACCGTTAACATTCCTTCGAGGCTAACGCATTCTTAGGAAGGATTTGAATGGAGCATAAATCATGTGCCCTGCTTTTTCCGAGAACTTAACGAGAACTTAAGTTGTTTGTACAGATGTTTATTTTTCATTATGCGTGTCAACATTTCTGAATCACGCGATAATAAAATGTGTGTAAAAAAGAAGTTATGTAAAAAAATGTGTCCCCTTAATTGGCAATATACCGGTACCACACTGAAACGTTTGTTGTTTTTTCATTAAAATCCAACATCATGAAAATGCCACGTTTATTTTCCAGATTATTATCGCCAGATTATGTCGCATCGAGGAAATGTTTTGTCTCATACATTATATTCTCATACCTGAATGTTTCGTAAACTTCGGATAAACTACAGCTATTGTTGTGTATCAGTTAAGCCCTGCGAATGAGAATGAATTGATGACGTCAACAGACACATTCACGAAGCAGTTTTACAGAAGATGGACACATTTTTAAACTTCGACGAATTTTGGACGTGATTCGGTTTTTTTATGGTTCGCATTTGCATTGGGGCATTTATTATGTACCGGGTTTTAATATGGACATTCAAACCGGTAAATTATTGCACGGTTTTTGAGCAAGACGAGGAAAAACGAGGAAATTATTTTATCGTCAACCCACAACGCAAAAAATAAAACAATACATGTACAATGAAATGGTGAAGGAAAATAATTAAATGTCATTAAAGAAAACGAAGTAGACGAAAAAGTAACAAACTCTGGTCACTAATCGAAATGAATCGAGCAAAGTAAAAACAAATAATTATTGAAATTACAAAAGAATAAATGTATTAAATGAGATATAAATCAATTTAAAAAAAAAATGAAACAACATAAGTAAGAAGATATCGAGGTTAGATAACAAGAATTCCATGTCCAATAAAAAATTACTTTAAAAAACATGTAAGTAACGAAGCATAAAAAAAACGAGTTCCAAATTTAAAAAGGAATTTGTCAGTTACTTGCACTTTTCATATTTACTTTTTTGATCAATAAGGAAAGTGACTCCTTGTTTATCTGATTGATTCACCGAAATGTTGGACCCCCAACCCCACCCCCAGAATTTGGTGGTGGACAAGCCGGGTGCCTTCCCCCGGCCTTAACAGAAATTGAACACACATTCGATTTTTGCGACAATCGTGTTCTTACAATGTTTAGCAACAAAGAATGACAGTGACACAACTTGTGTCACTTAAGTTTCTGTAGTGAATAAAAAAATAAAAAACAACTTCTATAAAAGACTTACCAAAATTGATTCCAAAAGTTTTCTGGGTTTCAAGACAAAAGAGGTGAAAATACGTGGATATCGGTAGGTATGGTTCGCTTCTCAAAGCCGATTGTCGGATCACATTATTCCGCACGGATCCGGCGCACCGAACGCAGCAAAGCCGGCACACGTACGCCAGTGCCACAGATAGATCCAAAATGCTCTCGGTAATAGGCAGGATGTTAGTTGGTCTACATCACCGAATCTCATGGGAAAAACCGCAGAGTGATGTTTAATGATAGCGAAAAATAACTCGGCTTCATGTGGCTCCGTTGGGAAGTCCAGCAACAATCAGTCCGCGATCGAGCGGAGTCTCAAAGCTTCTGGCACCCGGGGAGATGTGAGTCTAGCCCCCAGTCGCGTCTTCGTGTGGTCTCGCCTGGTTGAAAATAATGACAACGTAAGAGTGGAGGGCGGCCAAACATTGACAGCATTTGAAGAAAAATTGCCGCTCTGAGTTCGCTGTCTTTGCCATGGCAACCGAGCTCATGTTCGACTTCTGGTGTATGGTATTGACAACAGGAATGCCCCTCCTGACCCCAACGTTTCTGGGACACATTTGTTTTCTTGTTTTCCCCCTGGTTTAGAGGTGCCTCGCGTTGCCATGCCAACGATACCACAGAGACCATCCGTCATGTTACAGACTGTTTCGGCTTAAATCACGCAGCGCGGCTGAGCTTTACTTGAGTTCCAGCATTAGGTTTCAAATCATTTCCTCAATTTCCCCGAAGTATTCATATGTCTTCTAGTCTTTCTGTCCTTCTTGCCTTCAAAATTAGAAGATTTATGTCGGCTGCAAGATGTAACATCCCCGCGACAATTCACATTTCGAAAAATCTGGAACAAAAATCATAGGATTTCAGCTGTCGCCAGTGCTGTTAGGCCAATCAATAGCTGAAATGATATTTACAGCTTCGCTATGTTTCTTGGGCTATTTTCAGATCGGGGGCGGCCCGGCACCAGCAGAGCCAATTAAACAGCCATCGCATGAAGTGGTCTCGAAATGATTAAGTTCTTAAGAATTGATTTCACATACGCTGGTTCATGATGTCCAAGGACGCATCCCATAATGTCAGATTTCGTGCTTGGTTTTTACACCGTGTAGACTACTCACATTAATACATATGGAAATGTCTTTTACCTTGTCGTTCTCACTTTGACTTTTGATGGAATTTTCGGGAGGTTTAAAATGTAATTGGGTTATTGCACTTCACTGATTAATAACCATAACGCAATTCCTGTAAGGTATATCACTCAAAATAGTTGGGTAAAAGGGTCGGTATGTAGTCCACTGTTGGTTACGTCAAGTATACCAACTGCCTGCACTCTTGGGCAAATTCTTCCCAATAGTTGGTCGATTTTCACCCGAATTAACCAACAAAAAGGCAAATCCATGCCAATGTTCGGCAAACAACATTGCCATTTTTTTTTTAAGATTGATATTAACGCTGTGTAACATAGATACAATATATAAAGTAGGCCCTCTAGCGGTGGGATAAGACACTAGTGTTATTCAGGTCGGCTCTTCCCTGGTAACATCGATTCTAGGTTTCACACAAATTAATAGGCAAGAGGTGGGCGGGAACCAATGAAATTTTATCCAATGGCCGCTGCTCTTAGATGCTTGAAGCCAACCTCGTCCCCATGGCTTACTTTATTGTCAACCTCGTTTCCAATAGTTAGCCCTGAATAGGAAGCTTCCTATGGAAGTATCCTGATTCGATACCGCAATTGGCAAGTAATGGATTTATATCGTGTAGTTGGTGTTGTTGTTTCCAACGTGCATTTCGTGTTTACACGTTCATTTTAATTATTACGTCCACACATTCCCAAAAATAATCATTTCCTTTCCAATTTGCTCATATTAATGTGAAATGTGATAGGCCTACTGCATATTGGCTGGAGACGATTGTAACATTTGAACTTTGCAAAAAAAAAAATCGTGTTTATGTAACTAACGCCGCGACGATTTGATTCTTTTTTTTTTTACCCCAGACACCGCATACAAAAACAAACGACTATTCCTAATTGGCATACGTATCCAAAACAATTGGACATGCAAATGATCCAATACCAGGGTGGGAGAGCAGGTAGTGGTGGGCGCGTACTTCATGCTCGACACCCTGGGAGCGAGGTCGGCTTGAAGCGCACAGACCCAAAGATTGACTGCAAATGAACCGCCCCATCGTCTCACTAAGGCCGAAAAAAAAGTCTCCGGTTTCTGGTATGCGCGCGCGTCGCCGTCGGCAAAATGAAAAAAGTTTTTTTTCAATGAAAGATGATGTCTGAAAACCGCCAAACTCACTGGTCTGACTGGAATCCTGCTGCTGCACAATTTTAACGTGTTTTTAGATTGGGTTATGGTCGAGAATAAGCTTTATGTGGCCTCTCTGGACTCCCATATAATTTGCACTAAGTTTAGTCGGGCACCATTTGCAGTCATCAGCCGACATTTGAAGAAAAAAAATCAGGTAAAAAAAGAAAAAGGCGCGACGCCGCACCACTTTTTGGGCAAGCTCCATACCAGAAACCGGAGACTTTTTTTTTGGCCTAAGACAGCCGAAAAGGTATTACTGTAAATTGTATGAATTTTCCTTCGAGTTGGTCTCGTAAAATTTGTTTCGATTTGGCCTACTTTGATTTGTATTTCATCACTAGCAACACCGAAATTGGCACGGCCGCGTGGATTATTATTGACGTGAAATAAACATGTCTGATATTAATTTATTGGACCGCTGGACTGTCCCGTACGGGAACGTGTCAAATTTCACAACGAAGGTTTGGTAGAATTCCAATCCTGATTACAGTAGCATAAATTCCCCTGCATTTTTGGTCGCAATCCTGCAGGTCATTTATGAAGCGTAGGCTTGAGCTTCGGCGCTGACTCAGGCTTAAGCGTCATTTTGAATGAGGAAACGTGTTCAACGTGAGGCTGGCTGCATGCACTGCTCATAAGAGACCAAGCAAGATGTAACCGAAGTCTCATTATAGTTCGAGTTTTGTGTAAAAGCCGTAGATAAAACCGTACGGGTGATAACAGTTCAATGACCAAAGTTGAACAGCGGTGGTTTGTCCAATTTTGCAATAATCATTTCTCAAACATATTAATCCAATAATAAAAGATCCTACGCTGTCTGTCTGTCTGTCCGATGTCTGTCTGATGTCTGTGTGTCACAGCTCTCATTGTTTTGTACATGAATTTCAATCGTGGACGTTCGGTCAATCGTGGACGTTCGGTCAATCGTGGACCCTTTGTTTGTGCCCTAACCCTTTTGTCCCTAGTCCACGATTGCCGGTGTTTACATACACATACATCCGCATACATTCATGTTTACGTTACAAACCTAGTGTGGGCATTCCTTTGTTGTCGTGTAGTTAAGAAAAACCTGTGAAAATAATCATTTTACTCACACAGTGAAACTCCATTTCAACACAATTATTTTAACTATGATCCCCTTAATTGTTTCTCTTCATTTTGCGACGGATAAACCTAACCCCAAAACGCCTCTAAACTTGTTTTCCAGAGAGGGGGAACTTTGTGCGGACGTGGGCAAGTCCACACAACGTGTCCGAAAACTGGTTGATGTGGACATGTTTTGTTCAGAAGTCCACACAGTGAATGTAATCCTTGTACAAAGAAATCGCACGTAGAAAACTGTGCCAACGGACACATTTTCTAAAACCAACTTTAACCATTTTTCTCTACTTAATTTGACGGGATATATTTGGTACCATAATCTTGTTGAGCAAAATTTCTCGTAAAATTGGTATGTGTATAGTCCGGGTGATTGTACATATTTCCACGTGCCTCTAAGCTCAGTGAAGCACGGAAACGCGCAACAATGGACCGATCCAGTAAGCACCGCCCGATGGTATTCTGACCAATCACAGCCGTGATTTATGTCCGACGTGCGTGCACAAACGTCCGACATGGGTGTACGTACGCGCGTATGATGCGCGCGGCAGGAAAATGCAGTTTGGCATTGGAGAGGGGCACGTGTTAATTTGCCCACGTGCGCAGTGGGCGGGGCTTACTGCTCGGTCCATTATCTTTCTCCAGTTGCCCCCCCCCCCCACACACACACACATACCTTAAGCTATTTGAATGTGCATGGAGTTATTAATGTGTATCACATGCACGCAATGTTTAATAAGCAAACTTATTTTGGCGTGGCTTCCAACTGCAGCATACGTCATTACATTACAAACCACATTAGTACCCGTCCATAACTCTTCCAAGTCGCTTAAACATTTCGCTGTCGTCCGCGCGTGTTTATTTAAATTTTTATCTGGCTTGCTCTTCACAGATTTCTACTTCTCTTCAAAATAAGAAAACACTAGAGCTACTGGTACTTTGGATTATAGGGGGGGAAATTAAAGTGGTGCCGTACTTAATTTGTAAACAATCGTGAAATCTGCATCTCCGAACGCGGGGTTTGTGTCGCTTATATATCTGCATGCACAGCAAATTTAAAGCTGAAATGATATACAACCCCTGGCTGCCCATCTGACATGTAATCATAACATAGGTCCCGATCGGCCATCGTTCAGCGGAGAACTGAGCGCTTGCTACCGAGGTGAAGAGTCGCGATCCCCCCGATGAAGATTAATTCCTTACTCGGTCTTACGCTCCCGTTGGTGGATAATTGATGGGACCACTGGAAAAGCTCCAGTGATTATTTTTGGAGGAAAAAAACCGAAGCCCGAACTGATTTATACTGATATTACACCAAGGGAAACTTGGTTTAATAGGTATACTCAATAATTATTAGACGCATGCAGAGTATCACGGACATTCTACTTGAGCTGGTGTTCCGGTAGCGACCTTATCAAATTTTCCGCCAGTTAATCTTTCGTCAGTAACCCGATTTTGTCGTTGTTTTTATTTGTTTGGTTCGACTGAATTTCGAGTTGTTCAGACTCTGTGTCTGAGTGTACCCATCGATATGAAACATTTAAAGTTCTGGCCCTGTTCATTGGTTTCTTTGTTTACTTATTGAAAACCCATGCAGTTATGTAGGCCCACATAAGTTTGGCGTTCAGGGGCATAGTTGTGGGTGACAGCAAAAAAAAGTTGCCGCTGCTGCCACTGTTGTATGTAAATGATGTTGCTGTCTGTTGTTGTTGCTGCTGCTGCTATGTTGCCATTGGCGCTGATTACGATGCTGCTGCTGTTGCTGCTGCTATCGCTGATAAAGCTGTTACTCGGATGTTTTGGCTTCTGGATGCTGTTGTTGCTGCTGCTGCTGCTGCTGCTGCAAGAACTTAATGTCACTGCTGTTGCAACACTGTTGTTGCAACACTGTTGTTGCAACTACTGCTAATGCTAATACAGTGTACTCCATCATGGAACTGCTCATGCTGCTGTCGTGGCTGTTGCTATCGCCGCTGCAGTTGGCGCAACTTTTTATTGGTGCTGCTGTTGCTGCTGCATTCACTTACACTTAATCTGCTGCTGCAACTTCTGCTCTCTGCTGCTGCTGCAATAACAGCGTTGCTGCACTTACTGCTGCTGAAATTTCTGCAGCTATATCGCTGCTGCTATTATTTTGTTGCTGCAACTGCTAAGTTCGGGTCGCTGAATTCGCAGCCGTTATACACGTACCTGTTATTTGCTACAACTGCGCTGCTGCTATACTGAATTAAGCTACTGCAGCTGCCGCTATACTATACAGTTGATGTTGCTGCAACTAATGCTGCTGAGGTTGCGGCGACTATTGATGATGCTCTATGTCGCTATGTTGCTGCAACTGCTGCTGCTGTCAATATTGTTATCGCTGATGTTGCTGCTACATGTCGCTGCTAGTTCTGCTGCTGCATGTCGCTGCTATAGTTCTGCAGCAAGTGATGCGGTCGCGTCTACACTGCATGCATCACCTCAATGTTGCATGAACCTTTGGGCATGATGCCGCATGTGGCATCGTCTTCAACCAACCTACATCTGAGAAATTACTCATCCTCCTCAACATGACTAAAAATGCCCTGCCCAGCTCATCATTTCATATGGAGCCAGACCCGTAAATCATCTTCCCCTTCGAAGCTAGCTCATTAATCCCGCAGTCACATCGTTCCGTGCTTCACATCATTCATGTCGACATCAGCTGTTTAACCTCTTCACACCAAAAAAAAAAAATGAGTTTCTGGGGGTTGGATTCATGTTGGCCAAAAAGACAGTAAACACTGTCACTCCCGTCTAAACAAACGCGTCTGAGGCGGGGATAACTTAATGGCACGCAAGGAGAAATCGCACCTTTCAACAGCAAGACAATTTGTCACGCGTCTTCAGCCTGCGGGTTCTGAAATTGTTTCCTCCCACGCAGCGCGCATGCGCATACATACCGCAATCGGTTACGCGCATGCGCAGCTATAACCCGAGTAATCTCAGCACGGAGGTAACCGAGCACGCGCCACTCGATTCAGAAGTTGTAGTTGCATTTTTTTTCTGGTGTTTTCCTCACGTACTTGGTAAACTAAATATTACCGACGGCAGACCGAAGGCGAACATGTGGCGCTACGTGCGGCTACCCAGGGGGTGCTCACGATGTGAAAGGCCAAAGGGAAATATTTGGTGTCATCTTTAGTGTGTGATTATTTATGAGGTGAAGAGTTTAACAAAGTAGACTTTAAATCATTATTTAGACGCTGCATAGTACACTAGGGGTCACAGTGTAAGGCTGTATCACGGTTTGAAGTGGTTTAAATTAACAGGACATTGACACCGATACACGAAGACGCTCTTTGGCAAATATTTTTTTCGCCATATCCCGGTAAAGTCATTGACGTAATACGCATGTGTGAAACATCTCACGTGAACAACTAGAGTTCTTTTGGTTGCAGACCAGTAAGTAAACTTCCATAGACCCCAATAAATGCTCCCACTTCAGAAATTCGGGAAAAATACTCACAACTCTTCAAGGTGTTCGAGACACACATGAAATTAAAGCTTATTTCATCATCTTTCATTTTCTTTTCAATTTTTGGGGGGTCAACTAATGACATTTAGGAGAAATTTCCATCCGAAGATGATCACACCTGAAAGTAGTCCTGAAGCCCATCGCCATTTAGAAAAACGATGCCTACAATTCATTGCAAAATAAATCACTTTAAGGGCCCCAATTTCACCCAAATTGAACGGAACTTCAAGCTCACAGTCCTGTGCACGGCTTCCACCCATACTTTTTACAAACCCTCTAGTTCATGGCCCACAGCATGCTCAAATACTGAAGATTTTGAGGGCATGCAAATCGTGATTTGGCCGGCGTAGGCAATTTCGGACCGATTTACTGGTCTGCAACCTTATAGCTTATAATTATTTCACGGCGGTCAGCGTGGTTTCGGTATAGCCTGCATGCCGCGTTGAATCGCTGGTCTGAAAGCCGTGGATGCCAGGTTCGAGTCACGGAGGAAATTTTACATTTTTATTTTTCCCTAAAATTAAATTTTCTTACCGAAATTGTGCTTAATCAAGTAATGATGACCAAAAAAAATATCACCCGTTTCTTCTCATTCATGGCTAGGCTCTGTAGGATTGCTTTAAAAAAAAAGGGAAGTCAAGTTCGATAGCCCTACAATCCCGTAGCCTTGATTCAAGTCGCCTGAAAATGGGTACCCTACACTATTGTGTAAATACAAATTTCGCTTCCATGACGCGGTGTCCCTTTACCAAAACTTTATTGCATGACATTTCAGCATTCCCGCTTGATGGCAGTCAAGCATAGTGTTTTAGACGTTGAATTGACGCCTCTAGTTAATTTAGAACCACCTTTATTTCAGAGAATGTCATCTCACATAGCGTTTCCACAAACTACACACGAGTGTTTTAAATTTCTTGTAGGGAAAACAACTGCCCTCAAAAATTGCAGTGTCTGTCTTTGATTTATATTCCACTGTAACTTTTTGAGCGAAACCGCCATGATTATCGCAATAAATCAACGTCAGTCGTGTATTAATATGGCCTGGATTCTTCGCCGTGATGGGTATCATGGATGTTGTTAAGGGGCGTGCAGATGCCAATCGTGGTCGAATTATTTTTTTGCGGACTGGCAATTTCTTAACCCAATTTTGGAAATGAGTTAATTGTAATGTATAAAGTATAGCTGTAGCGGAAGAAAGTAATGTAGGCCTACAACAAATTTTAAAAAGATGTCATTTTTTTGAACGTCGTACTTGGCTGCTTGGCAATGGCATCATAACATTTTCCCCCCAAATTCTTTTGTCGTTTGTCCCCACTTCTGTCAAATCATTAGCCGTAAAAGTCATAAAAACGCCAATTTTGATATGGTTTTCACACATTGCATGGACTCTTAATCCCAGGGTCGTGGGTTCGAGCCCCACATCGGGCGCACTGAATTTTCTTTTGTCCATAAATTGAAATTCAGTATTATTTTACACTGACTCTGTTCGTGTGTATTACGCGTGTCATAGATACTTATTCGCTCCGTTCACAAGTACCCCCTCACCGGCAAAGAGAAGTACAGCTGGGGGTGACCGACCGATGCCATCTTGCCTGACTGCAATTTTGCCGCGACGCGCGGCCACCACTAGCACTGCGTGTACTACTGAATCCCCTGGTGTACGTGCGTCACACACAAGGAACGGTGCGCGTCAACCAGCGAAATGTCCCGCCCATGGGACGTCGTTGCTAGGTAAAAGGGCGCCCTCTTAGTTAGCGCACGGAGCCCATTGCAGAATATTAGGGCATTTTGTCATAACATTATGTATCAAAAGCCCTTCGATGAGTCATAGAAGTGTTTTGCCATAATTCCTTTTTTTTTTTTTTTAGGTTTGATTGGTCATAGGCATACGCACACTATTTTGGGGGGAAAATGTGTGACGGTTATCATAACGTCACTATAAAATGCAAGTTAGAGAAGGTCCGATCGTCATGAAACTTTCCGGGAGTGACTATGATGCAAAGTAGGAAGTGACGTCACAATGACGTCATTAATTGAGTTTTTCCCTGTGAAATTCTACAGATTTAATGACGTTTTCAAACATCAATTGGCATGATCGGTTCCAATTGTATAACCAACATCATTTTGTATCAAAAATAACTTGATCTGTATGGGAAGCAACTAAGGTCTCTAGAACCCCTTAAATAAAGATGACGAATTTAATCTTAACTCCCTCTCCTCTCCCCCACTTTAATCCACGAACCACATTTAAATGGACCGACATTTCGAGTCCCATGGAGCTATTAAGACAATTAAAAGCGAACTGGGCATGTTTGCTGGATTGTTTTTTTTAAGTACATGTAGTATACATTTACAATGTCAAATCACTGATTGAATTTATCTGTAAATAGCGCAAGCCCAGTAAGCTTAGTCGCTAGAGCACGGGACTCTTAATCCCAGGGTCGTGGGTTCGAGCCCCACATCGGGTGACGATATTGTTTTCCACCCCGGTTTTTTTTCTCTCCTAAGGCATAGGCAAAAATTGTATTATTCTCATTTCTTTGACAAAATAACATCATGAAGGCGATAGAGGGCGACATTATCTGACGTTGGTGAATGCTTCGCGCCCTGCAAACAGGGCGCTAGGAAGGGCAAATGAGCTACACAGAATCTTGTGAAGGAAAGGAGATGGCATTCTGGGTAATTTATCATGACCTATGTATAAAGCATCTGGCTGCAGCTGTAGACCGCGGTTAGCCAATGCGCGCAAATACTATCCGAAAAGTTTGCCATAGAAATGCATTAATGCATCGTGTTAATCTTCTTTTAATTTGTTCTCTTGTCAAAAAGGTATTGCGCCCTCTATTTAGGGGAAAAATGACCATTAATATTGAATAGCGCCACCTATCGTCAGTGCTTAGATAAAAAAAAATGGGCGGCCTTGAGTGACGTCATTTTAGTGCGCAAAATAGAAGTCAACACCGTCCGTACGCTGCTGCTGATCGTGATCGAATTAAATATTGAATTTGAACCAAACTTTGGGATTATTTTCAACATCGATGTGTAGGTAAGAATTTGGAATCTTTCAGGTACCTTCTGAACTAATTCTATGAGAATCATGTGATCCGATCGGAGAATTTATGCAAATTGTACTGACGTTAACGAAAATTTTAGCTGCAGTGCAGTGCTTGGGAACGCATTGAACATTGCATTGTACGTGTACATATGTACATGCCTGTAAATTATGTATACGGTACGCGTACGTACACTACAGTCACAGTCAGTATGCCTGCAGAAGTACAATTCATTTTATGTATCATAAATGTGTAATGCGTACGTTACGTATCAAATTTGTAATGATAATTACAAAGCTCACAGAAACATCCTCCAAAATCTTACTCCTAGAACTATGAGGCTCCGCGTGAGCGGAGCCTCATAGATCAAGAAGCCCGCAAAATTGCCTGCAGCACAAAACACTAATAAAGTACAAAAACGTCCATCAAAATGCAGCCATTTCACACAGAACCGCTGCACAGTTTGCCCCTATACTCCGTACTTTATCTCTTGACATACTCACGTATCTTGTGCGGAACTAACATGGGTGGATTCTGTCGGTTTTTAGGCCAAAATGATGAAAAATATGCCCTTTCCGCACTGAGCCAACCTGACACTTGAAACGTGCACGCATATGATCGAGCGATGATTTTCAGTTCGCTCGGAGCGCGCCGCGGGGGGTACGGTACATGCACTTGTACGCATGCACATACTATCATTTTGCTTGTACCGTACCCCCCGCGGCGCGCTCCGAGCGAACCGAAAATCATCGCTCGATCATATGCGTGCACGTTCCAAGTGTCAGGTTGGCTCAGTGCGAAAGGGGCATATTTTTCATCATTTTGGCCTAAAAACCGACAGAATCCACCCATGTTAGTTCCGCACAAGATACGTGAGTATGTCAAGAGATAAAGTACGGAGTATAGGGGCAAACTGTGCAGCGGTTCTGTGTGAAATGGCTGCATTTTGATGGACGTTTTTGTACTTTATTAGTGTTTTGTGCTGCAGGCAATTTTGCGGGCTTCTTGATCTATGAGGCTCCGCTCACGCGGAGCCTCATAGTTCTAGGAGTACCAAAATCTATGGTTTTTTTTGTAATGAAACATTAATTTATAAGCTTACTCATTGCCGTTGCTTCGCCATATCAAATTCAATTTATATTTGGATTTGGGAAGCTGTAAAATTAACACAACCGCACTAACAACCACAAAATGTGGTGTATTATTACATATTTGCAACACATTTGTAAACCTATACAATGAAAAGTTATGCTTGAAAAGTTGAAAGAAGATCCATGACCAGGATGTTAAATAAAACCTTAGACAATTGAATGTGATACCCCATCAGTCAGATGTCCTGGCTGGTGTTCGAAATTAGTATTATTTTTTTTTTTTAGTTTTGCCTCGTCCGAAAATATTGGACTCTCAATACTGTGTATGAGAGTCCCAAAACTTAGATATTGAAAACATGCAATACAAGAAAATAGACTGGCACATGAAACAATCAGTCCAACAACCCTTCAGTACTGCATCAATCATGTCCAAAAAAACCCATCTGGTACCTAGTCTCTTTCTACACATCTCTCCATAGTCTGCCACCAGACTACTGAAGGGTCAATCTTCTCAAAAAGTTGGACATGTACCAGTCTGGTCTTAGGCTTCAAATTTAAATCATTTGGCTTCGCTCTCAGGTGTGACATGTTATAAGAGAACCTCCTTTAAAATTTGAATTGAGACGTGAGACCTCAAACTTGGCTGGTGAAATACTGAGGACCTTGTCTTTGCCTCACAAGGCCAAATAAAAAAAAATAGTTCTGCTTCCGGTTTCCCTACCTACCCTATTCTGACAGCCCCTACCCTAAATTTTTTATGGAAAAAAATGAGGGGAAAAAAACGGAAAAACCATCAATTTCTTCCTTGTACCATTGACAACACGCAGACGCCTCCATATGATCGTGCACAAAAAAAAATTGGCCAAAAAAAAAAAAATTCCCAACCTACCTACCCTATTTTCAAATGCCATGTAATCGGAAGCAGAATTTTGTTTTGTTTTTGGCCTAAACATTTTTGGAGGATTTTGTCAGCTAAAGAGTGAGTAAACTTGGCATGATTTTGTTTTGCCTGTTTTTCAGCACGCAAGGTCTGGGTCAGGGTCACACATGTATGCTGGGTCACATGTGTACATGTTTGCTGGGTCACACATGTACATGCTGGGTCACAAGTTTCTTTGTCAAAATAGCTACCGTATATTGTATTGGTTTAATTCCCAAGATTGGTGGTTTTCGGAACGAAACAAAAAATGGTTTTATTTGTTCCCTGCTCTTTGGTTTTTTTTTTTAATCAGGATGTTTAACAACCCTGCTTGCATTACAAATGTATTACTTTTGAGCTTTCTGTACATCTGTGATCAAAATACATAAGGAATGTGGCAATTTCCGGCGATCATGTATCTACGGGCCCAGTTCCTATAGGAAACAAAATCCTCTTTTAAGTTTTTTGACCTACCAAACTAGTTAGCGACATTTAAGAACATACCGATACCTGTATATGTCATAAACAAAGGGCAGGGTTTTTAAATTTTTGAGGGAAGTTTTTGGGTAAACATGGTAAAAATGACGATGACAACGACAGAACGCAACACCAAAATAAAGATGGCGATCACCATTCGGTGTACCGTGAGCACGCAAGTCGCGCTGCACGGCACCAACCGGACCGTAAACAGCGTAGGAAAATCATAATTTCTACCCCAAGAAACTGTTCAAAAAATTACCAAAAAGGTGTTGTTGCATTGAGAGAAGTCTGCTTTAGGTTGGCAATGTCATTTTTTAGTAACAAAAAGTAAATATTGATTCTAATTTGATTGAAACAAAACAGGGGCCCTACACTACACGATCGCCGTCTTTCCTAGCGTACCCAAAAGGCCTTGGAATTTAAATAATCAACAATGCAACATTGCAATACATTTACAATTCTTTGTTAGCATGAAGGTGAGCCTATGCACACACAAATGTTTGATCGCGTTACGGAGACCTTCAAGTCCTTTTTTGTGATTCTTAGTGACCTCAAGATGTCTCATAGTCGTCTGCATCATTGTATTGACTATTGAATTTTTGTATGTGTGGAGAAAGAAGCTACAGAATGTTTGTCTTCGAACTGGTCGATGGGTCGGTCTGTCAGTTGGTTAGTCGGTCTGTTATTGTTAATTCATTTGCTGGATTGTGTTTATTTGTTTAGAGTGATATCTTATTCTTGTTTTGTGAGTGGTCGGTTAGTTGGCCAGCTGCTTTAAGATACTGGGTGATTTGCTTCTTTCACTATTATTTTGTTAATATTCACTTGCTTGCTTCATTCGACCTTGGGAGATGAAACACTGTTTAACAAAAAAACCCAGAATTTTTGGGTTGATTGGTCATTGGTGATCTGTTTATTGTTTTGTTACTAATTTTTTTTCCGAGTCATTTGTAATCTTGCAAAATTATTAGTGCCGGTGTTTCCCTTTCCTAGTTTGAAAATCATTTATTAATAACGAGACTTGCTACAGTGTGCCCATTAAATGAACGATATGTTAGTCTAAAATATCCGGGGCCCAATTTCATGCTTAGCACAAAAAAGTCTGGCTTATAAAAGCAGGTTACCAGCCAAAACTCCACGTGATTTTCACGCTATAGCAAACAACAGCTCAATACTTATCAAGAGCAGCCCATATACATCACATGGAGTTTTGGCTGGTAACCTGTTTTTATAAGCCAGACTTGTTTTATGCTAAGCAAATATTTGTGCTTAGCAGCGCCGTGAAATTGGCCCAGTGTGCTAGTAAAACCCTGTGGACTAGTAAAACACTTGGTTTACTAGCCCGGTGGGCTAGTTGAAAAAAAGCTTAAGGTCGAGGCCTGAGTATGCACATGATTAGAATGCCTACATGTACACATTGCACGTGAGACCAAGTACGGGGTACATGCACATTGGTTGTACGCGCATGAACAGTGAGTTTTAGGCAAACATTGTAAACAGTAGGTCAAGAGTGTGTTGACATGCATGCACAGTTGCATTTAAATAAGATACGCCACATGATCCCCATAAACACTGAAGTGCACAATAAACCATGAACATGCTCCAATAACCACACCACTATTGTGTCACATGAGCAATACTTGGCATCAAGTGTACACAATGCGTTGATCACGTATTGATCCCCTCTCAACCGATAACGATTCCCGGCCAAAGCAGGGCCACGGATCAAAGGGCATATTGACCAAGTGACCTCAGATTTTGTGCCTTTTTTTTCGGTGACCTTTCATCAGACTTAGACACACGTACATGTATTGAGTGGTACAAAAGTCACAGGTGATAATTGTTGGCACACAAACGGGCTTGTGCATGTGTGTGAATTTGTCACATGTTGCATTCCTGGAAACGACACTTTACGGAAAGTTTCGATGTGCGGTAGTGAAGACTTCAGAAAATGGATGATAATTGTACAACTAACTACTGAAATTGTGTACCGTTATGTGTAAGTACGGTATGTGTACATATCTAATGGATCTAATGCTTTTCAGTCCTCTTGAACGGACGTGCACTTTATTCCGTGGACTGTTTCACGGATACCGCCATCTTTGTGGTCACATTGTAATCTCGGGGGTGGGGGGGGGGGGCCTGAAGGGGGGGGGGGCATCTAATTAAAAACCCTCCCCTAATGCCATTTTATCCTAAGCATGATGGGACATGTTCCCAACAAGATTCCCTCCGAGATTATCACGTGACCCCAGAGATGGCGTAACCGTGAAAGAGTACGTGTGTATGAGCAGACATATTAAGTGGATTCGTTGTGACTGAATCAAAATAACAAAAACACACCACAAGCGTCAAAGATAGCTGCTGAATTCGTTCTCAGAGTCTGTTTTTTATTTTAGGATTGAGTAGTTACATTGTAAAAGCAAAACTAGAGCTGTACTGTTTTCACTTGGAAGGATAAGTTTTCAGTAATGGTTTTAGCACTAGCATGACTAAGGATTTATGGTTGGTTAGTTTGCACAGGTACGTGTACCCATAGCATGCATAGAGCAAGGATTTTTTAGGTAGTCTGAATTTCTGTAATGTGGGCAACCTTGAAATCACGAGGTGTTTGCGAATAGTAAATATGGCAAATACATGTGTGGGTTTGGAAGTAGGCTTGGACAATATGTCGTTAATGCCATACACATTGTACATACCCAGTACCGGTACATGTACATGTAGAAACAAAATGAAAATGGTGAAATTCTGTCAGAATAAGAGATCAAGATGTACACGTCTGACCCCTCCCCCTTTTTTTGGGGGGGGGGGGTTATTGTACCTTACATGTACATGTACATGTATTTCACAATTTCAACAAGAAATTGTTGATCAAGACATTTGTGTACTGAACGAAAACAGTTCTGGGGTCAGGAATGATAGATTTCCTAATATGAATTCTTACTTTTTCTACTGTTATTTCAATTTATTTACTCTATTTTCAGCATTCTACCGTACATATATGTATCATGTGTACAATGTACTGTACATATACATTATACCTTTAAGGATCTGCAGGGAACTTTTTCCTATTTTTCCTGAGGATCAAATATCATGCCTGGACAATACATTAATGTGTTATTACACGTGTTAATGTGTTATTATAAAAACGTGTGCATGTATATTGTTACTGGTTCAAAATGTACATGTGAATATACCGGTACATGTATTAATGATTACATGTATACACGTACATGTACGTACACGTATGTGTAGGCCCTACCGGTACATTGATCAGGGTGAATTTTTATACTAGGTTTTTCCTTTCACTGATTTACATTTTACGAGCAGTGCATGTATACTCAAGTTTCGCCTACATTGTAAGCAAGCTTGTAAACATTCATCTCAAAATTTCATGTATAATACTAAGTGTGGTCAGTGTTTAGAAAATTACATCTATAGGCAAAACCCACTTTCCAATTTTATGACACAAATGCTGAATGCTCCATCAACGTTTGTTCAAAACATTCAGTCTTATAGGGCAATGCCGAATATACCGGGGTACATGTACCAGATATCCGAATATTCAATCAAATCCAAGTTCAAATAGTTGAATATTAAATTATTCGGAAATGCACAGCACTACAGTCAAAGAAGACATTAGACCACGTACATGATGTTTACAAACACCGTACATGATGTATGTATTGCGTGTTGGACGGCAACTACATGTACCCAATGTTTAGCAAAATGTCATTTTATTTAAGAAAAAAAAAACCACTGGAGCAACTTGGTCTCCAAAATTGCCTTATTTTTACCCGATTGCCCCTGACAATGCGGCTCAAATGCTACGGCCAATTTTCTCTGATTGTCTGCCATTGGGGCTGACCTTTTTCCCGTTCTGAAGAAGGACGGGGGAGATGGGGGGGGGGGTAGGGGGAGTCTCTTCATAGGGAGCGTAAGATGTCGTTTCTGCCGCGCGTGCACGCGAATGTAAGCAAGCCTTGAGGCCGGCGTAATTAGTTTGCGTTATCTGTGCGACCGGGATGAAAGCGTTGACTGTCAGTGATGATTTAGGCCTGCGTTAATTCATTGGTTTATGCTCTGTTTGCCATATAAAATTACTGGTGCACGTTGATTGTACAATAAAAAGACTGCATACGTGTACATAGACTAAGGGTACACATATGAAAGTTGTTTCTCAATTTTGCATGACTTGCCTGTGGCCCTTATGTACCAGTATGTAGTAGTTCGAGATAAATGTATGCGTAGAAAATTTCCTTTTAAATATATTTCTGTGTACATAACATGTTTTGAAAAAAATTTAAACAAATTTGTAGATGGCTACCTGTATAGGATTACAGGATGTGAGTAGAGTTGTGTGGTGGTTCTTTCTTGTGCCACGAGGGTTTTTCTCTGGGCCCTCCGGTTTTCCTCCCTCCGAAAAAATCAAACACTTTCGATCTCAGGCTGTGCTCCGTGGTCATTTGTGGGTCGTACGGCTGTCTGCCAAAGGGGCCTTTGCGTGCCAGCGGCTCGACCACATTGTAGCCGCGTCCTTCACAATTCAGCTTCTCAGCTGCGAGTAAGGATGATTAGCCTCCCAGAATATTATTATCATGATTGAGAAGAAAAAAAACGAAGGAAAAAAAAATAGCATCAGACACCCCCCCCCAAAAAAAATTAATTGCAAATTACAATATCTTTGCGTTGTATTTTGTACACGTGAAAGTGTTCACTTACTGGTACATGACACTACATGTGCCGGAACTGTAGCAAAAAGTTAAAATCACCTGGCTTTTTAAAATCAAATCGAAGTAAATTGCTCGCAGATATCTGCGTGCAGTCCAAAAATAACAAGTGTTTTTTGCAGCATGCCACATATGAAATGCACACTGGCATGCGCGGGTAAACTTACTGCCTCGAGTACTTTCACCAGTTCAGTGGCATTTTCATGGACTCATGAATGCATTTAATGACGGGGTAGTGTTTATCTTAAAAGTATTTACATGTAGGAGGAACACCCACTGAATGTTTGTTCAGTATATTTGTACACAGAACTATTTTCACGAGTGGCACATGTGTAATTTTATAATCATAATAATTACTGTATGGCATAACAGTTTGTTTATTCGTTTCTTAAAGCTTTCGGATGGTTGCAAGTGCCCAAAATATACAACTACATGTAAGAGGTACTTTTGTTAGCAATAAAATAAACAATTTAATATTTATTAAAAGAAAGTAATCTAATTTGTTGACGAGCAAGTTTGTTAAAGGGTTCATGAGTTGAATTTTTCTTAGAAACTCATTTTGTTCAACTAGAATATTGTCTTCTCGGAATGCAACATTCACTGAGCTAAAACTTCATCAGATTACCGGTAGTTGTTAAGCACCCGTCTTTAGATTTTGAGCACTTTTGTTGCTTCAGATAACGGAAAAGATGCAAAAATTACAAAATGGTCCACTCTGCCTTTAATTCTGTCAAATTAAGGCAGTTAATTCCGTAGTTAAGAGGTAAGCAAACAAACTAGTACCGGTACATGTACATTGTTGTTATGGCACAATCTAGAGAAAAAAAAGGGTGGGGTGCCTCCTTCATTAAAAAAAAGCATAGATGAGAGTTTATAATTTTTTTTTGCTTGGCCTTATATTCATAGTATTCGTACGTGTACACGTACCAGTATCTGTGAGTGAACTCAGCTCAGACGACGCAGCGCTGTCTGTCCCGATATTAGGCATTGAGAGAGCATGGTAATCCGATGGCTGATCAGTGGAAAGCCCCGCGTAATGAAATGGGATCCTAATTACTGACGAGTCATTACTCAGTGGCAATATGGCGGGCAAAGATCGTAATAATACAGTCATAATTTGCTGTGTGCTGCTCACCGTTACGTGAGCATGTAAAATGTACTGGTACATTTGTACATGTTGCTCTAAATATACATGTGTGTAGTACATGTACATGTATACTGTACGAGCGAGGCCTTATACACATGTACATGTACATGTATGTTGTACATGTATGTTGTACATGTACAATGTACGTTCAGTGTACATGTACATGTACATGTACGTGTGGCAGGGCTTTCATGGTTTTGTTCCTTCTAGGCTTGGACGAATCCAGCATTTTTGGAATCGCGATTCCGATTTCGTCTGGGAATCGCGATTCCATTCTGAATCGATTCCATAATTTTTGTAAAAAAATAATATAAAAAAAAAAATTCAAAAAAAAAAAAATATTCAAAAAAAAAAAATATTAAAAATCAGAAAAACCCAACAAAACAAACAAACACATTACAATAAAAATGCAAATAAGGAAGTCACTGTGGGTGTAATGGCTTTCTTATAGTCATTTAATTACAAAACGAAAGTCAAGTTTTGGGCAGGAAACACAATAAAATAAATGTTCGACTCCTTCTTTTTGCACTGGCTGTATTTTAACCTGGATATTCCAGACTGGGAATGGGGAACTTTTTTATCCTTGTTAACCATTTTGCGTCGGACGTGATAACACGCACTGGCTGTTTTTATGTACACAGGCAAAGCTGACGGGTTAAAACATCAAGATTGCCTCGACTCCTGAATTAATTTCCCTAATAAAACAAATTTGATTTGTTGTCTTTTTTCTGGGCAAACTTCCGATCCAATATATGCATGTGGTAGAATACACGTAGAGTATTAGTAACACATGCACATTTTGCTTGGATACGCACTGTACATGATGTGCCATTTGGAAAAAGATTGGGTAGATAAGATTTGAAGATTTTTTAGTAACAATAACATGTTCTTTGATGTTTTTCCCTTCACAGATACCAAGCTACGTTCAGTCACAATGACGTCCTGAATTCATCATATTCTCCAACTGCATCTCACATGATTAAATCGGATCTCCGTAATCAACATCACATGTGTTTTTGAACCTTCCGAGGAATTTGATTCGTTGGAGTCATCAGTTAACTGCCACACTTGGACGAGTATAAGGGGAACGGCCTTCAAGGTTTCCATCCACTATTATGACTGATCGCGAGGCGCTCAAAATGGCAGCAAATCCGGGCCTCGCGAACCCCGGCCCGGCCCCCCTCGCGGGGTCCGAGGCCCACGACCGACTGGGCCTGTTCGCCACGCTGCAGCACATACCGACGCTGCGGCGCATCCGGCGTCTGTCGGTCCACGACCGCTCCAACAGCGATTCCAACCTGGCCCACCCGGACCTGCAGCGCTGGTCAATGTCCAGTCTGATGGTCAACAAGCACGAGGTCACGCTGGAGCCGGACACCCAGCTCATCGTATACTGGGACATCAAGGATAGTGTCAGTGCGAGCGACTGGATCGGACTCTACCTTGAAGGTGGGTACTGCAGCGTTCACATTACAGCTTTGAAGGAATGTGATCTGACTTCGTCAACTGTAGTCTCGTTTCAAGTCTTTAGTTCGTCTTTTGATTTTTTGCTCCATTTTTTTTTTTTTTTTTTTTTTTAAATTTCATCCATGGTTGAAGGAAGCCTTGCAAGTATACCCTGTTTATAGATTTAGTCTTGGTTAAAGCCTTTATTTAAATTTCATTCCCTTATTGCAACCAATGCCTGGCACACATGCATCAGCTTGAATACAGTGCACATGAGGTATAAATGGAATTCCTCGGGTATATTTGCCAGGCCCCCCCCCCCACCCCCGCCCCATTCCCCATTTTGTTTTAAGCATCGATTTTTGTTTCTTTTATCTTGAATTTGGCATTTTTTTCTTCTTTTTATTTGTTTTCATCCACTGTTGAAGGGAGTTTTGCAAGTATGCAAATTTTAAATTACTTTCACTTGTTCCTCTGCCGTGTTTGTATGAAGCGCCGGACCCTTGCACTTGTAGTCGGCTGTGTTTGGTTGCTACAATCCCGGCCAAAATGGTTGGGACACTTCCTTAGCCTCCCACGGTCACCCACTCCCCTGCTCCCCCGGTCAATGTTGTTCTCTCCAGCTTTTGGAGAGTGGGGGCCAGGGGGTTGGGGCCCAGCAAGATTTGGCCGGGATTGTAGCATGAAAGGGTTCTGGAAATCTTCATATTTGACCCATGCTTGCTCCCATGCACTGCTTACTTGTGTTTTGGTTTGCTTGAATTGTCTTGACTAACAACTGCTGGCTTGCTGTCCGCTATTTTGTCGTGTATTTGCTTGTATCGTTGTGCAACAGCTGACGTCATCTATTATTGTCTTTTACTTCTCGCCACTGTACTCACAGAACCTTCAAACTGTAACATTTGGTTTCATAGTGCTTTGCTATAAAATACGGGGTAGGGCTGGATAGTTCAGTTAGTACCGTAGATTACCGGAGCAGCAATCCAGTGATCGCAGGTTCAAAACCCCTTTGTTCCACTTTAAAATTAAAGATTTACAGGGGACTTTACAAGAAAACCACAGTGTCCCAATTCTGTATCCATGATTTCAAAGTGTGATACATCATACATGTACATGTAGAGTGAGCAATTTCATTTTACAAAGCTGTCAAATGCAAGTTGCCTTTTAAATTGACATGTACAATTTATGTAATTGTTGTCCAAAAAAGAACCTTTGAATCTATGAATTTTTTTACAGCACCAAGCAAACATTTCCTCTCATTTCACAATGTAAATTGAAACCGACTTTGCAGCGCATTGTGTGCTGTTTGACATGCTTGACAAACCGTGGCGAGAAATTGTTCCAGTTGAGTTGAGCACACCCAACAGAAAGCGGTGCGAAATAACCACGTGCCTACATCTACTGTCCATGCTGTATAGCTACGGTACATGTACGGTACACAGTGCAAGTAAATACAGGCTTGGCGTCAAACGCATTCAGGTCAGCAGATAAGCATCAGAGTTAAGTGCAGAGCAGTACTGCAGCACTAAGCGTGGAATGACCGGGAAACCAAATTGCACTTTGTGATAAGAGGATATAGTTGTTTTAAATGGCATTTTTTTTTTCAAGTTTATACCAATCAATTTGAATTTTGAAGATTTTTTTTTATTGGGGATTGGGGAATCAGTACCGGTACATGCTTTCAATGTTCTTGGCAGCCAAATACAGGGCACTACCGTTTACAAAGTAATTATATGGCATAATTTTGGAATTAAAATTGGGGTTTTTTTTTGGTATTAAGAAATTTGCATCAGACAAAAAAGGTGAAGTTTGCAACACTCAAGAGGTATTTAAAAATTGAGTGATCCAAAAAACTTTTTTCAACTTTTCAAGTGATGACTTCAAATTGATGTATGTACATGTGTACAGTGTGCATTTTTCAACACTACATGTACCATACATGTACATGTACATACATGTACATGTATGTACATGTACATGTATACATACCGTGTACCTTAGTTCCTTGCCCTAGTTTAGCCTTGACAATACTGCAGACATTTTCAGACCTTTCTGACCACATATTGCTATGGTTGTACTGGAAGGCCAAAATGACCTTGGCCTTAAATGTGGCCAAATTCCAGGCCAACATAGTGTGTTGTGTTGCTTGCAGTGACCTTTGGTCTCACCAGGCAACCCCATGCTGACCGGAAAAACGGTGAATTTCCCCCTCTACCAGAAAAAAAAAACATGATGGTTTTATTATAATTTTTTTTTTTTTTTTTTTTTTAATAAACAAAAGAGGGGGATTGATGAACATGTACCGGTACATGTAGTTTATTTTTATCAATAACTGTCTAAAAATGGATAATTTTGTTATGGTCATTTTTAATGTACATGTACATGTACAGTACCTCGCTTTGAAACAAATCTGCCTGAGATCGCTAAAACGATTTGCTCCAATGTATTGAACTTTTGTGATACGGATATGATGCTGCATGCATCCTATTGATATTTCCAGAACTGCGAAGGAAGTTCAGTGATTCATCAAAATGATTTCCTTATTTTCCTTCTATTTCCACCTAATCCAAATTACCCTGCTTTGCATTCATCCTAACAAGCCACTCCAAAAATCATATCCAGTTGAACTTTACACTTGACAGTGGATCGAAAAGCAAACATGACACTCAGCCAATTTTCGTCGCTCAATATTTGAAGAAAATCTTGAAATTCTTTCAGAGTTCGGTCAATAGTATTTTTTTATCGAATTTCACAGCGGTAGTGTACAAAATGTACGTATCCAAAGAATTACACCGACGCAAGACTCATAAAATGTATCCTTATCAAGAGGATATCCTTAAATCAGTAAATAGAGTTCATTTCGATTCAGGCCTCTTCAACACAAAAATTTCAAGCCCGCATTACATGGAAAACATGGACTGACTACATATGTACCAGAAACCCCTCCCCCCAGTACGTGTACATGTGCACGTATAGAATGTAGCCCATACAGTGTACATGTACAAAGTTCATGTACTGTACATGTACATGTACATAATTATGTACAAATACATACATTGTACAATACAAATACATGTACACGTGCATACGTGTGTACACAAACAAATACATGTGCACCTGTTGTTCTTTTGTACACGCATATATGATCTTTGTACTGGGGTCCAAAGACCTTTCAAGATATTTAAGCGCCATTCACAATTTCTGGGCCGTGAATGATTCAGTGCAAGCCTAGACATTGTGTAAAATTGGCGCGTACGTGTTCGAGACAGACTTTGAGTGAACTGAACGCATGTATGAATTTCATGCATATTGTGATCTAGTAATACACGAAGGACGGTATGGAAAGTTATGCCTGCCAGTTCACATGTGGTAAGACTTCTGATTATGTACATGATCTACAATGTACATGTACATAAACTGATGTTCTTTTAAACATGTTCAGGTGTTGTCAATTGTACCTGTACATGTACAAATGTACATACAGTATATATCATGTTACATGTGTACATTGTACATTACATTGCATTCCACATGTAACATGCAGTGGTTAGAAAGTATTTTGCAGTCTACACATGTAGTGGGCAAAGCCAAAATTTGAAAAGAATGATTGATTCTTTTTGGTGTCTAGGTGAACTTGAATCTGTGTAAGTTCTGTAAATTCACTTGAACTCATTTTTTGTTGGTTCTATTTTATCTGTAAAACTTTTTTGTCCTGTCTTAGTATTAGCTGACTGTGCATTCACTGTAATACGACAGCAGGATTTTTAAATGCCATTTTCTCAAAAATTAGTTTTCATTATACAAGTTCTTCAATTTGGCAGTATATTTTTCCATTACTGAACTCATTACCCTCAAATACTATACCATAGAAAGCTGTTGTTCTGCAGAATTCTGCAAAAAAAAGATCTCAATTTGCGGTAATGGGTCTAATATACATTGTATGCACAAATTGTTTGCCTGTACATTTTGTGTGTTCACGACTTTACATGATGTACACGTTGTACCAGTTGCTTCATTATCTATTCGTTAGAATCCAAAAGTCCAGGAACGCCAACGTACATTTACGCCGCACAAACTGCGGACGGCTATACCTACATGTACACCGTCCCGTATGCATGAATACCGGTTGATGTAATCTCGCCCCCATTTCTCTGCTGCTTCTTGTCAGGGCAGTTCAAGCCAGATTCGTTGCGTTCACACAGGCGTGCACACCCCGACTTTTCCCCCGAATACATTACGGGGCCCGTGTGCATAATTTTCTGCCGAACCCTCATCCCTACTTCACGAAACTCACAGCTGAAGTGAAGTATACATTGAGCCTAAACGGAAAGTGATTCTCAGGTTGTTATTCTGAGCATTTGATGAGATTTTTATTACAATAAAGAGCTACCGGGTAAGAGCAGAGCCTGTGGATGTGTGTTATGAGATGTGCATTTTCGAATAGATTAGTATTCGATTGGATTTGATCGAATGTTCAAGTATTCGAACATTGTCATTGGGGTAAAAACTTCTTCTTTTTTTGCAGCATAGTATAAACGAGTCCTGTTTATTACGTCACGATTTACTATGTTTTGTTCGCTGTCCCAAACGACGACTTTTACACAAATTGCACGTTCGGGTCGAAACAGGACCTGAAAAACAGCTCTCAAAAGTACCTTTTTACTCATTTTATGACAGACACAATAGTCGTTTTTATTTCATCACACCTTAGGCTACATATACCCGAAAAATGACGGGAATGTCTTTGAGCATTCCACAACCTCTTTAACTATGATCTGATACAATCATATTGCCAGCATACAAAGTTACCAATCAGATTATGAGGATTTATTCAGGCGCTTTATAAATCAAAAAGGCCTAATAAGTGTTTCACATTTGTGCAATGGAAAATATAATTTCATTCGGTGACAGATGGAATGTTCCATTCCACTCGGCTTCGCCTCGTGGAATGCAACTTTACATATGTATAGGCCTACCTCATGTTACTGTTGCACTCACAAATATTGAATATTTGTGTATTGAACTATCAAACTTATAAAAAAATATACAGTGTTTGTCAAATCTGCCTAAATGAGTGCACATACATATTACATGCTCAAAATGACATCCTTTGAAAACATGTACACAGACATGTTTTGCTAAGTACTTTAACAGCTGTCGGACATGTAAACAAAAGGAAGTTTTAATTTAAATGCTGCTTAAAGTATAAAATAAATCCATGATCTTTGCTGTTAATAACTCAAAATCTACAACTGTCTACCTACAAATGTATACATGACATATCGGTACATAATACCTTTCACATCAATATCCTACAGTACAGAGTACTGTACCGGTAATTTGACCATGCATGTACATGAAAAGGGATAAGTGCTCACCTCGCAAACATACATTCTGTGCCAAGTTGTCCTTTCAGTCAAAAATCAATCGAGTGACTGTTTTTAACAGTTAAGAATTCCCAGCCAACACAAAGCAGGATTGACTGGCTGTGACTGTTTATAAAATGTACATGTAACTTGATACAGAGGGATTTGACTGTACATGTAGGTGATAGACTTGAGACAACTGTGCCTACTACTTGCCTAGCTGTCTTTGTCTGTTGACTGAATTTGACTGAATTTGACTAGTCACAGTGCTTGTTTATGAAATACGATCTAAAAGGCATGGCAGGAAAAGAAGATTGATATTTTGACTGTCTGCGACTGTTCAGATAGCAAGAGGGTTACAGTTTATGTACATGTAGTACATGTATGCACTTGTACACATGTCCACGTACGTGTACATGTGCACCCTCATAAAACAGGAATTCTCATTTGTAGCGCATGGTCATTTCCGCTCTAATCACAAAGCTTCGGCGAGGGACTAATTGAAAAGCAGCTACGTTCCCCGCTAAAAAAAAAAAATGCACAAAAGCCTCCTTTGGAACTCACATCAAGATGACTGTGACAGCATTCCACAGGAAGTTGCATTAAATCTTCCACTCTGCCTTTCGTTAGCGCGCTAACAAGAAACCCATAAGTAGGAACATCCTCTGCGAAAAGGGGACAGTGAATTTCAGAAGGGGAAAAACGACCCTTCCTAGGAAATAGTAAAAAGGGGGAAGGATGTACGAAAGCTCGATAGGACAATAGACAAAAATGGACCATCAGGCCGATCGGAAAAGGGTCTCCAAGCGAAGGTACAGGCGACGGGGCGAGAGGGAAGGTAGGGCATCGGTAGAATTTCCAAGGTTTTTGCCGTAATTTTTTTGGATCGATGTTATTTCTGGATACATCTCAGCGATGTGCTTATCCGTTCTGGCTTGCTTGCATGATTAGGATTGATCACAGGAATGTCTCAGTTACAGGAATGTGACTTCCTCCCGGAATGAAACAAAAATTGATGGAAGCATTTTTTTTTCTGTAAGCTCCGTAATGTTTGGTATTTATAGAATGTGTTGGTTTGTTGAGTGGAATGGATCGTCTGCCCAGCAAGCAGGCCAAACTGAAGTGTTTGCGTTTAAAAGTTTCTTGAGTACTATTGCATTGTAGTACTCATGCTTGCTTTCATGCATGTATTTGAGTACATGTATTTGAAGTGACTGCAAAGTTCCTTTACATACCAGTACTTGTCAAAATGCCCTCAACTCAACCAAAGGTTTTTTTTAACCTGAACATGTCTACAGTACATGTACATCTACATGTACATGTAAAGGTAAACACATACATATGGTGCAATCATGTACCCATGTACAATAGGGCTGAGTCAATTTGAATAATTGAATACTCAAATATTCGACCTTCCGTTCAATCAAATATTCAATTAAATACAGGAAGGCGGATTTTTGGTCATCCGATTTCTAGTTTAAATGCCGTCATGAAGACTTCTTGAAATACAGTTTACATCAGTATATCATTACAAAGAATGCTAACTTTGCACTTTCATGAATTTTATTCCTCAAAAATCAATTTCCACGTTCTTGGATGGATTATCTTTGTTGGGCATACACTGTACATGTACTCGTGCTTTAAGTGTCTGGCAATACTTTGAAATAAACTTTCAAAATACAGTTTTGTTATAAAAAAATCAGCTTTCCCCCACCCTTTTATTTTATTGCATTTCACCTTTGAATATTCGAATCGGAAAATAAATATTCAAATATTTGATAATCGATCGAATATTCAAATATAGGGATATTCAGCACAGCCCTAGTGTACAAGTTTAATAGTTACATGTACAGCAAGATCTACTGATACATGTATTATTCACTGTTTTCATGCATTAAAGTTAATGAGTTACATGTAAAGGGAGTTTTATTGTACATGTACATGTACCGGTACTCATAGTGAGTCATGCAAATACTCATTTAATGCTTACATGTTCGTACAACTTTACAAATTATAACAAGTCAAATATCGTTACTCATTGTACTCACGCAAGAGTTTCAGCTTTATGTACCACACTGCTGAAGAAGCACGTTTTTCGTGCATAAAACTTGCACCTACATGTATAAGCTACAATGTACATCCACAATGCATGCTCACTCGCTTTAAAGGATTAATACATGTCTTTCTTTCTCATCAGGAGAGAATTCACCGACCAATTTTCAGAGCTTCAAAAACAGAGGACTAAGCGCAACTCACAAGGGGCAGATCGTGTGGCACATGGACTCAGAAACGTGCTTCAGAAAACGTGAGTTCCTGTTTGGCACAAGTTTACGACCGTTGTGACTCAGAGTCGCGCCGAACCGTATTATTCCTAAGATTGGAATTAAGTTCGATGTTTGAAACAGGAGCTACTTCTCACACGGTCTGTTACAAGCAAGGTTGTAATCGAGTCCATCGCAAGTAAATCACAAATCCATTCACAAGTCCAGTCTAAAGTAACAGTGGATGCACAATAACAAAGGCATGCCTTCATCAAAGCTCATTTGAATAGCTTGTGAGTTGCATTGGGACTGGAGGACTTGTGATGGACTTGCAGGGACTTGTGATGGACTTGACTACATCCCAGATTGCGAGATCGACTGTTTCAGTCATCTAGAATGACCAGATTTTATACAACGCCTGAAAAAATCCCCGTCATCTGATTGGTGGGTCGTTGATCACATGTCATTGAATTATTCATCCTAGCGTGGCCACATGGCAAATATAGAAGTTCTATTCCACAGTAAATGGAAATTCCATTGAACGGTCAGACTTTTGGCGGTTCTGACCAATCAGATGACGAGGATTTATTCAGGTGTTACAAGTATATAAAACAAATAATGAATGTTTCACATTCGTGCAATGGAAAGAATAACTTTATTCGGTCACAGACGAAATGGAACATTCCATCTGTCACATCATGAAACTATTCTCACCATTGCACTCACAAACATTATTTGTATATACTAGTAAATGGAAATATAAACATAAAGATTGCTTGTTTGAAACCCAAATCTATTTGGACCAACTTGAATTGTTTTTTTAAACCGGATTCAGTGCAAGTCAAGAATGCCAGTTTGAAATGAATGTCGGAGCCGAAAAAAAAAGAGAGAAAGGCATCAATTAGAAAACTTTGCAGAAATTCTATAAGCAAAGTGCAACCTTGGCTACGGAATTATCTAAAAATTTGGCATGCTTAGTTAATAAGCAGCTGCACTTTATAACAAATCTCTTTTGTGAGCTTTTGTGGTTTTAATCAAAAGTGAAGAAACTCAAGGTTCAGACAGTATACTCTGGCAGTCGTCAGGAGACTGACTAGTTTAGTCTGAAAGATTTTTAAGTTGAAAAAGAAATGGCTTGGATCAACGATTGCCCAATTTGTTGTAGTTTTTCTCAAGTGCGATTTATTTCCGTGTTTGTAACGCCTCAATTTCGCCCTTGAACTTGTATGTACATGTCACACGAAAAACGTGACTTTGAAATCGACGTTATAATCTTTAAAAGTGAAATACGTGCTAATTAGCGAGGTCGGTATTTGTTTTTTGAAAGGGAAACCACAACAGGAATTGAAACTGAAGTCCCACAAGTCAAAATCAACATTGCTTCCCCCTCCCCCTCCCCCCTCCCCACCGTCCTTCCCCTAACTGTCCAACCTCAAAAATCCCCAGGGGAGGAACTTCTCGTTAGAAGGGAAACGCAAGAGACTCTGGACACAGGAATAAGACGGATTAACAATAATTAATCTCTCCTTGAACTTGATGGAGAGATACGACAGACTAGAAAGAGAAAAAAAAAAACGCCAAAAAAAAAAGAAAAGAAAAAGTTGAAAATTCCATAACAAGACGGAATTCCACTGTTGATCGGTGATCTTGAGTAATTGGCTTGTCAGCAGTAGCGAGATAAGACTTTACCCACACCCTAACCTCAAAAAAAGAGGGCAATTCTCACCCATATCTTTGCAAAGCTTTTCTGAAGCATCAAGGAAAAAGGTTGATGAGTACTGCCCTTGAACTTTAAAAGGAAACAACCTCAAATTAGTTCTTCACCGTTGTGTGCCAACTTGGCGTTGTAACACAACTTTGTGTTAGTTCCATCAATTTTAGAAAGAAGCCCTGCGCCATATTAAACTTAGGTAAACTCTTCATTTTTGGAACTTGCGAGTAGAAACGAAAGCAATGAAAGAAAAGTTCATGTCAAATTAATACCAGTCTGCTCTGATGAATAATTTAAATTTGTGGTTAAACATACCCTAATGTTTTAAGCCACATTTGAAAAAAAAAATTTGAAAGTGAGGCTTGGAACGCACTCCAATCATAAAATAGTCTGGCACCATACCATTCAACAGTTTGCAATTTATAAAAGAGATTCAGGGAACATGATCAAAAATGGCCTTCTCGTGAATAAGGTCTGTTAAGTGAAATACTTTTTGTCCAATTAATGATTTGAATTTTCGAATCTATCCAATCAGCTGTCACCAGAGTTTGTTTCAAGTATTACCACGGGACGACGGGGGAGCTCCGTGCTGTCACGCCGACGATAACGGTCCGGAACCCGAACGCTAGCGAGACAGAAGACTCCACCCCAGACAATGGACCACTCTTCAATATTTCCATCAGTGGTAGGTATTTTATTAACCACTTCGCGCCGGGATTATTTTTGCCGAAAATTTTGATTTTGGCAAAAGTCCATTTTTTTCCAGCCAACTTCTGATATACAGCCAAGCGCCACAGATACTGATTTGCAGAAGTAATTTCAGCAGTATTTGTACAATATTTCTTGCCGAAACCTCATATGTTTCAATACTCTGGGGTGTGCACTGGAGCACGACAATAGGCCGTGCCCAACGGCCAATTCAAGATCAACACACGGTGCGCCTCCACAGACTTTATGTGTGTGTACAAAAGGCACGAGGGATTAGCGTATTTAACGTCAACCTGTGGGAACGCTGTAATAACTCCGTCAGTCAGACAGTCAGCAAACAGTAGGCTGGCGCTTTGAGACCCGCAAAAGTCCCCCCCCCCCTTCCATACTTTTTCCACTCCCACTTTTTTTCTCCCCCTTTGCAAGTACCTGGAAATCTGGTTCATGAATTTGTTGCCTCATGGTTAACAGAGGGCGCTTTGGGCAATTTATATATAATCAACTCTGGCAGTCCACCAGTTGGCCATTTGGCAGATGTAATCCACTTTGGAAGCTGCCAGAAGCAGCCAGATATTAATAACAGAATGTATTAACTTCAGCTCTCCTAAATCCTGCGATATCCCCCTGGAGAATCGGGTGATTTTGGCAGGATTAAGGGCGGTTCACCCCCGCCACTTTGACTTTTGACTTAAGGCTTGATGGCCCTAGAAAGTTAAAGGGAATGTACATCATTGGCTTTTGCTGTAATTTTCAGAAATGAACTATTTGAGGGGTTAGTATAATAGATCAAATATTGTTACACTGACATTTTTGAAGTTTTGTGTTCGAAAATGCTTGAAAAACCAAGAAAAACACAACTGTTTATGTAGTCTGGTTCCCTGACTCCACTAAAGATAAAATGGATCAATTTATGGATGCCGGAAAATTGTAAGGTAGGGGAACCAGTCTAGCTGGCCTGCACCCGTTCATGAACATGTAACTAATAGCAGACAACAAAATTTGGACTGAAAAAAATGGTAAATTTGGAGCAGTAGTTGAAAACTAGTTAGGTTTTTCCAAGGGTGGTCGGCCGACCACCTTTGGAAATTTATACAAAAATACCACTTTTCTTGAAAATGACTTTACACCTGGTGCCACAATTTTACAGGATGCTTTAGACTGTCATTTACCAACATCCTAGTAAGGTATTTCGTAAAAAATTGGTAGTTTTGTTTTTCAATGTTTGCAAATGTTGTATATTCCCTTTAAAGGTACCTCAGTTCCAGTCATGTAATGTACATCATTTGCCATGTTTGCAAACATTGAAAAATGAAGTTACCCGGCACCAAATTGTTATGAAATACCTAATTCTTGACTGTAAGTAAATAATAGTTTTAAGCCATCTGTGAAATCATTGCGCCTTGTTTGCTGTCATTTTCAAGAATTTTTAACCGGAATTTGTATCATTTTTCAACAATGGTTTGGCCAGCCATCGTTAGAGAAAAAAAGGCTTAATTAAAAAACTAGCCCAAGTTTACCAAATTTAGCCGGTCCACATTCCCTTACGTCTGTAAATTGTCCCGTTTCGTCTGAACCGTTGGGTCAGGAAAACAGACTACAAGAACGGCAATTTTTTTGTGTATTTTCCGGCGGCAAACCACAAAACTTTAAACGGGTCTGTGTAACAAATATTTGCCATAAAGTACAAACCTATCAAATCCGTCCATTTCTGAAAATTGCAGCAGAAGGAAATGCGGTATACCTTTAATAGTACAGTGTATAAAAATGGACTGACATCGAGTACTGCACAATTGTCGATTTTGGAAGATTCATGAAGTTCCATTAAAAAAACAATAACAAATTTAGGGTAAACCAGGATTAACATTTTAAGTAGGTCTTGGATCTAGATTTTCTCTATGTAAGGTAGAGTTGGGACAGGGCAAACTTAAATTTATTTCTGCACTGTTTACAAATCTGGAAGATATGTGCAAACTAGATTGGGGCGGGGAAAATGAGAGATTTGGTGAGTTTCTGAAAATATAAAAGAAACGTCTCGGTTGAGCACTTGTAAGTACACAGGGAAAAGGAAAGTATTTCACAATTTCAAACTAAAGTAAGTTGTAACACACTTCAAATACTTCAACTATTTACTTACTCGCATTTAAACCTTCTAGAAAACCTGTGGTGTTTTTATCTTGGCGGAAGATCTTGGCGAAAGAAAATGAATCAAACAGCACGTCGCACACGTTGCGCACGTCGCGCTCCGTCAGATGCATCCCCTCACTAATTGAACCTGACAAGCCCCAGAAAAGGAAACTCCGCAGACCCGTGCGCCCCTGCAAACATCTGACGTAATTGTGACTCGTTCCCCGAGCCTCGCGCGCGCGGTCGGGTGCGGAAGGGGAAACGTTTCATTTGCCCCCTCCCCCTCTGTCAATCTGATGTTGGCAACAGGTGTGACAGAGTGAAAACTTCCGCCCGATTTTGTGATGTCGCCGTGGTTTGCATCACAGCGACAGCGTTACAAGTCATCGGCCTTGGGAGCGATGTTTACTGCAGTGCATTGCGGTCGTCAACCACATCAGACAACAATTGTTTACAAATTGTATAATCTTCTTGAGGCTGGGAGAAGTAACTAGTGGTATTACTACATAAGCCATTTTGGAAACAACAGGATTTGGGGGTTTGGGCATTAGTACATCTGTCATTGAATTTCTGTTGTGTTGGAATGTGCGTTCATCCATTTTTACATGTGCACGCCCCGGGTTGACTTCCCGCCTGGTACGTGCGTAGGCACTACATGCATGTACATGTACATGTATATAAATGTTTTTCAACTATGTTGCACACACAGTGGTTAAACTGATGAAATGATATCATGCCGATGATAACATTGGGAATGATCAATGTGAAATACGTGTAAGACAAAGAAGTACATGTACTATATTCCCTTGCACAGCAAGATTTGGCAATTAATTCTGCAAAACAAGACTGCGTCATGACCTCGAGATTCTGACCGTGCAACGGGTGCCTTCCAATCAGGTTTTCGGTAACCCGTTGTTGTATCACAAAAACATGGCAGCCAATGCACCAATCAACAGCTTATGCCGAAGTCCTGCTTGATTGGTTAGCTTGCGGTGTCGCATAAAATTTGCATTGCTCACATATATATCAGACGTTGTTTACGGAGAGGACTCCATTGGACAATGGGTGATACTCAGACTAGGAAAGAAGAGGCCAAAAGCCAGTATGGTACAGGCATGCAACTTTTCTTCGGATCTGCTGACTTCCTAGTTTTTTACTTCTCATGAATGCCATTACAAATTGAAAAATACTGTACAAAGTCTTGTGTGGTTTGGGATTTCCTCGTTTTTTTTCCAAATTCCTAGTTGCATGCCTGATGGTAATGTATATTTAACGCAAAGGTAACAGTATTAATTGGTATCAAGGTTTATATCTTAAAGAGTGCCCCTGGCGTCAAGTGGTGTCCAGGCCTGAACGTCCCCATGCCCAACATTTCTCGTCAAATTTTCTGCAGTCTGAAAAACTTTCCAGTGAACCGCTTTCACCTCAGAGAAAATCTGTCCTTTGTTACTGACTTTCAAGTGATTCGTCATGAAACGGCAGTTGACAGCCTAAAATTGCCACCTGCGTGCATTATGGGTATAGCCGGACTTTACCCGAATGGATGCAGTGCCGGATCGAATATCTGAGACATGAAATCAATACCGAGGTAAATGGCAACAGGATCGCAGGTGTCAAGATCTAGCAATGGTTTTAAAAAGAACCTCCCCCTCCTCCCCTACCTGTACCGCCCTTACCCCCCCCCCTTGAAAATGTCACAGAGGGAGTTAAATACAGAAACTGGATTTCCTGAGGTCAATGAAATTTTAGTCTAGGATTGTGGAATGTGTTAACAGCAAATTGATGCCGCATGATAACATCACATAACCTTTCCAGTGATAAGCTCAGTGAGTACACACTTTGCAAATGTTCTGTAGTCCTATCGACCTAAACCCCAAGACATAACACTCGTAGTGGCGTCTACCCAAATTGCCCATGTAGTGCTTGTGTTGTGCGCTGGTCTCAACCTGAAATCCACAGGGTATTCAATTTGCCAAAACCTTGAAAATTTGGGAGTCTAAAAAGGTTCTTGAAATGTGACAAATGCTGTACACCGCACTTTGTACGATGTGCTGGTACTTTCTTACATGCGTCCCAATCGAGAAGCATGCATGAGAGTTTGAACCATTTAAAAATGTTGAGTGAAAATTAAATTGAACATTTTGTTCAAATTTCAAACCTTTGTGTGACCTCGCTTGTTCAGTGTGGTCACAACATAGACAGGTTGTCGTAATTGGCAGGTTGCCAAAATTGACAGTTGGTCATTGTAGATAGTTGTCATTATGGACAGGTGGCCACAATAGACAGGTTGCACATGTCATAATTGGCAGTTTGCCAAAACTGAGATGTGGCCTCATTAGACAGGTTGTCGTTATGGACAATTTGGCATTTTTTTGAGCTGGCCAAATGCAAGCTAAACTAAAAACTTGGCTTCTCTAATTTTTTTTGGCAACAAAAAAGGAGGGAAAAAATTGGCCTTCATTCAAAAATGCCATTTGTACGAAAAGCAAACATTATGAGTCAGTCTGATCGTTAGCCAATGACACATTCCAATGTAGACATTAGATAATGTACATAACCCAATTGATAACCTACGCATTTCTGGAAAACGTTCCAGGATAACGTGATATCTCTTGGCACTTGTTCAAAGCTCATTTGTCTAACTCTTACAGACTAGAAGTTAACACTGGTAAATATCAAATCCAACGACTTTGGCACAAGATACAGAACTGTGAACTGTAGTCTTTTCCAAGCCTGAGTACTGGTATAATAGTCTAGGTCCAAGTACAACGTGAGTCCAAGTCATTTTCAGTGTGACACTAGTCTGCGTCTGATTAACCAAGCGTGTAGTCTGTGTACCCTTGCGAATGCTATACAAGCAGATTCGGATATTAATTATGCGTTTTCTATATTTGGTCTTGGGTTATTTACCCGTTGTCGCGTCAAAGACATCTATAAATAAAACCCAGACACTACATCTATTATTCTGTTATGTTGTAAATTGAGTAAACAATGGTCGCGGTCACGCGCTCATATGTTATCTGATGCGCCAAGCTTAGAGCCAACGTCATGTCTAGGTTTTATAGACCTCTATGCCCGCCCGGACGTTGTTGTATTACAAAAAAACTGCATCCGAATCGACCAATCAACGACTTAGTCCAGATTTTAGAATGAAATGACATCACGATTTAGTAATGTCAACTCCGATTGGCTGGCGTGCAGTGTCGCATAAAGTTACATGCTTAGATATATCATGCTTAGATGTTGGACCGGAGACGGGGCTCCGTGGCCATCTGGGGGTTAGGAAGTTTTCAAAGAATGGACTAAAGACCATTGTAACGTGTGATGTAATACCAAATGGAAATCGACAAGCAACCCAAACAGTTTTAAAAGCATCTTGTCCATGTGGTTTTGCCCACATTAAAAAGTCACCATTGCTGACCAGTCACATTTCAGAAATTAACATGCAGAGCGGAAGAAATAGTTTGCTGTGTGTGACCACAAATGTAATTTGTAAACAAATGTAACATGGTCTTGATTTATGTAGCCCATATACGAGAATTCAACCGTGAAATTATTCACTAAAAAAATTATGGTTGCCGTTATTGAAATTTGCCATTTTCCCTGTTCATTGCTGATTTCTAGATCTGAAAGGCATCGGGTTGAAGAAGGGTATGTTCTTCAACCCGGACCCCTACATCAAGTTCTCCATCCAGCCCGGCCGGAATCACAACCTGCCGCTGTCTGACAGTCATTACGATCAGGACCAGAGGACGTCCATCGCTGAGAAAACAGTCATGCCATCGTGGGATGATCAGGTATGGAACAGTAGAGGGCGCTTTGCGTCCACTCACCAGAGCTGCAGTGGGGGAGGTGGGGGAGATTCGTTAATATATTAGGTAGGGAGTGCTAATGAATAATCCGAATGCGCTCAAAACGAATGTTGTAGCCATCTCGGGTCGCAGTGTTGGTGACTCGCTCTCGATTCGCGGTCGCATCGGTTACAGACTCAGACTCGGACTAGAACTTGACCATTAAGACTCGGATTGGACACTAAGGCCACAAAAAAAAGTCTCCGGTTTCTGGTATGCACGCGCGTCGCCGTAGCCATGCGCGTCGGCAAAATAAAAAAGTTTTTTTTTCAATGAAAGATGATGTCTCAAAACCGCCAAACTCACTGGTTTGACTGGAATCCTGCTGCTGCACAGTTTTAACATGTTTTTAGATGGGGTTATGATCGAGAATAAGCTTTATGTGGACTCCCATATATTTTCACTATGTTTAGTCGGGCACCATTTGCAGTCATCAGCCGACATTTGAAGCAAAAAGTCAGGTAAAAAAAAAAAAAAAAGCCGCGTCGCCGCACCACTTTTTGGACAAGCTCCATACCAGAAACCGGAGACTTTTTTTTTTGGCCTAATGAATCGTGACGTGTAAAAATACCTTTTGAAAATTTATATTTTCTGAAAGTAACATTAACCCTTGATGACATGTGATCAAAGCCGACCAACCCGATGACAGGGATATATTTAGGCGTTATATAATGTGAGATGTATCGCGTGCACATACTGGTTTGCGTTCATATAACTTGGAGTATTCACGACCAATTTTCATCCGAATGTACACAAACATGTTGTACAAAAAATGTAGTTTACATGGACACCAGGCATTTAATAGGCATTCAAGATATGTTTGTACTTTGACCCTGTGATTGAATGGGCATGCTGTTGAACCGTTACACAATAATCGTCGCGTTAAAAGTGAAAGGGCGCGATGCCCGTGTATTTCATTACCCGAAAGGATACACAGATTACGGGAGGAATTCCAGACATTTAAGCGTACGCGCACCTGCTAAATTCAAGCGTCAAGCCCAACTGCCGCTTGATCAGTGACTTGCGCCGGCGCATCCGCCAGATTCAGGATCCTTCCCAGGGCGTGGAGAATTAAAAGCATCCGAGTTTATGGGAAGTTTCCTCTCCTATAGAGGATATGACTCCATCCAATACGGTTCACCTTTCTCTCATCTCCCCTAGCCTGTCAACCCCCCCCCCAGTTCTCACCCCCCTCCCCTCAACCTCCCCCTCAAACCCCCCTTCAACCCCCCCCCCCCCCCTCTCTCTCTCTCTCTCTCAGAAAAGCACAAAGGGGAAGTGAACACGGAAGCCAGAACATGCGAACGGCTGTAGACATCAATCAAGCTAAATTTCCCAGTTTTTGTTTGGCATTAACTTCACTTTTTTTCCCCCTGTATTTTAAGAAGGAAACTGTTTGACTTATTAAAAGGTCCTCCCTTTGGGACCCTGGAAATTCCTGACTCATTTTTTCAAAGCGGAAAGATTTCGGGGGGTGTCTGAATTAGTTCCAAAATTTCATTGCATGCGACAGGTGCAGGAAAACAGTGATCCGAGAAGGGGATGCAACATGGACGAAAAAAGCCGAAAATTGGCGAGGATTCAAGATTAATGAACCGTAATGTAGTTTGGGTCCCACAGGGTTTGAATACCGGGATGTAAATCTGCCAGACCGCACTGGATGGGAAGTACATGTAAATGGCACTTGACGTGATTAATTGAAAAATCTAAATCAGTTGACTGAGTATGGTTTACACAGAGAAGTGGCGATGTATTAAGAGTTGATCACAAGTCCTAAGAATTCGTCGCCAGGCCTCACACGTCAATCACAAGTCGTTCCGTCTCAAGTCACGTCACAAGCCATCCAATGGACTTTGATAAAGGCATTCTGTAGTCAAAGTTCTTGTGACTCGAGTTGTTAAAGGACTTATGATTTACTTGTGACAGGACTTGTGATGGATTTGTCTACAGCTGTCATGGCTGTGCGAAAGTAGTACCTTGGCCTTCTAAGAGCGATGCTTTGTGGTTTCCAGCCATGAGTACATCAAATGTGGCCTCTAATTCCGACCACTGTACCACCAGTTTAGCCACCAGTTTTGGCCTCCAATTTTGACCTCCAATTTTTGTGCCCAGTTTTGTCCACCAATTTCTGCCTTAATTTTTTTGCCACCTCTTTTTACAAATTGTTTGCCACAGTTTTTTTTTTTGGCCACCACTTGTCTTGCCAGCAGTTCTTCCCACCAATCGTGTCAATTGTTTCCAACAATAAGTTTTGCCACCAGTTTGGCCATCAACTTTTGCCAACAATTTTGACATTAGTTTTTGGGCCTCAAGTTCAGAATCAACTCTGCTCACCAGTTATTGGTTATGACCACGTTTTTTTGCCGGTAAAAGTTGCCACCAGATGTGGCTACCAGTTCAACCACTAATTCTAGCCATTGGTTCTGACCACGATTTTGGTCAGTTTTTTTCGCCAGCAAGTATTGCAAATAGTTTTGGCAACTATTCTGGCCACTAATTACCGGTACATGTATTGTTTACCGGTACATGTACCAATAGTTCTGGTCCTACGGACATACTATGAACATGTTCAAAGTTCTATCCACCAATTTTGGCCGGCATAATTTGTCACTAGATTTGGGCTACCAGTTCTGACCACCAATTCTAGCCATCTTACTTTTCTCATTCTTGCTACCCCACACCTTTGCTGTCACCGTTGAGGCTGCTAGTGCCCCCCAACTAAATATTTCCGTTGGAGTTATGACAGAGATTTTCCCTGTCTTAAGTTACACCTACAAATCCTTGACCTTGTCATTTTTTTTTTAGTCTGCACCTGAAAAGGGCAAGTAGTCTCAAGAAAGCCAAGCTAACAACTAACACACTTTTCAAAACAAGGAAGCAATTACTGAATAAACCTCAAAATATTTTGACATTTTCCTCAGATAAAAATAATCCACCTTTTGCAGTAAAATAAGGTGGAAAGAAATTTTGTTTTGTAAAAAAAAATTACATGAGTCACGAGTCAGTACCGTTAGGTCTGGTCATGTTTGCTGAGTCCAAGTTTGCTGATGTTAGGCGAGTCGAGTTCAAGCCACTGCAATTGCCATGTAAGACGGACTCGAAAAAGTGGCAAATTTAAAGAGTATGCGAGTGGAAATTGCTGCGTGGCAATGTTACACACCCCAAAACGAACAGCAGTGAATATCGATCGCACAGTGCGTATATGCATGCGAGCACTTGGCTTTTTCGCAAATTTGCGAAAAAGCCTTTACTTTTGTTCTAATTTTTTTTTTTTTTTTTGGGGGGGTGGTTTTGCTTACTTGTTTCGCCTCGCGTAATCTTTAAATTTGAAACATTTCAAACTGCGTCATTTTTCATAAACTGTTGTCAATCTTGACGATTTACAGTCTTTGGTAGCACATGGGATATATCTTACAACATTCCCCAAAGGTCTATATAAATGACGTCATCCTAAGACCATCAGATTCAAAATTATGACCCCTCCAATGAGTGTGGACTTCCTTTTTTGTGGTGTTTATGCCACTATGACAGCCAAAATCTAAATATGTCCTTAATTAAGATTACAGTTAGCTTGCAAGGCTCACCAACATGTAATATTTGGAGAACTTTTTAAAATTGGGCAGTTTCCAACTTGGGCATACATGTCTGACATAACGCCATTTGAGTTTTAACCAAATACGTGCCAGCTTGTGTGTAAAATAGAATTTAACGTTTTCACGATGCACATCTGTCGTATCATAATTAGTACAGTTTGCTTTTAATTATGCATATCCACTCCAAATGTCGAAACAGGTAGGGTGCACCCTAAAAGTGTCTCTGACAACCTGTCTTGCGAGTTTCGATTCCGCGCTCCTCCCCGACACCTGACACTTTTTTTTTTAAGACTTCACCCCGGCTTGCTCATAATCCGATTACCTCTTTCAATTAAGCACATCTCCTTAATTCTTGCCTTCCTTTTTCCTCCTCCTCCCGGGGCAGGAGTTTCACTTCAGAGCGGCCCGCACCGACGTCCTTGAGATGGAAGTAAAGGACAAGTTTGTGCGATCGCGGCCGATCATCAGTCGCTTTCTGGGTCGGTTGGCCATTCCCATCCAGCGCCTCCTGGAGAAAGCAGCTCTCGGGTGAGTCCTTGTCACGATGCACTTGCAGATGGCAGGTGTCGGGTTAGAATCCTGTCTGTAGATATTGTAAGTTAACATACCAACTGATTGGTCATTCCCATCTGCTGACCATTCCCATCCAGCGTCTCCTGGAGAAAGCAGTGATTGAGTGAGTTCTTGTCATGGTTCAACTCCACACTTGCAAATTGCTGGTGTTGGGTTAGAATCCTGTCTGTAGATATTGTAAGTTAACGTACCAACTGATTGGTCATTCCCATCTGCTGGCCATTCCCATCCAGCATCTCCTGGAAAAAGCAGCGCTCGGGTGAGTCCTTGTCATGGTGCAACTCCACACTTGCAAATTGCTGGTGTTGGGTTAGAATCCTGTCTGTAGATATTGTAAGTTAACGTACCGACTGATTGGGCATTCCCATCTGTGGCCATCCCCATCCAGCGTCTCCTGGAGAAAGTTGCACTCTGATGAGTCCTTGTCATGGTTCAACTCCACACTTGCAAATTGCAGGTGTCGGGTTAGAATCCTGTCTGTAGATATTGTAAGTTAATGTACCAACTGATTGGTCATTCCCATCTGCTGGCCTCCCCGTCCATCGTCTTTGTCGAGAAAGCACTTTGTTATGGCCGAACTCTACACTTGCAAATGGCTGGTGTTGGGTTAGAATCCTGTCTGTAGATATTGTAAGTTAACGTACCAACTGATTGGTCATTCCCATCTGCTGGCCATCCCCATCCAGCGTCTCCTGGAGAAAGTTGCACTCTGATGAGTCCTTGTCATGGTTCAACTTCACACTTGCAAATTGCAGGTGTCGGGTTAGAATCTTGTCTGTAGATATTGTAAGTTAATGTACCAACTGATTGGTCATTCCCATTTGCTGGCCTCCCCGTCCATCGTCTTTGTCGAGAAAGCACTTTGTTATGGCCGAACTCTACACTTGCAAATGGCTGGTGTTTGGTTAGAATCCTGTCTGTAGATATTGTAAGTTAACGTACCAACTGATTGGTCATTCCCATCTGCTGGCCATTCCCATCCATCGTCTTTGTCGAGAAGGCACTCCGTTGAGTCCGTGTTATGGCGGAACTCAACACTTGCAAATGGCTGGTGTTGGGTTAGAATCCTGTCTGTAGATATTGTAAGTTAACTTACCAACTGATTGGTCATTCCCATATGCTGGCCTTCCCATCCATCGTGTCGAGAAGGCACTCCGTTCTCCGTTGAGTCCGTGTTATGGCGGAACTCAACACTTGCAAATGGCTGGTGTTAGGTTAGAATCCTGCTTGAGGTATTCCAAAGCCCAGTTACCATATCGATGTAAGAAACGCAAGAGAAACGCAAACACTACCCAAACTGCAATGCAGACATTATGGAAACATTTTACCCAGAATTGTCACCGACGACCCAGACAGACGCAAACTACCTGGCAGACGATTCCGTGCACTGTCTGTGCAGTGTGTGTAGTCTGCGTAAGCTTAACGTCAATATGGAAACCAGGGGTGCGTTTTGGCGGTCATAACCAAGAATTTGTTCGGTGGTTTCTCTTTGGTTAATTGTTTTGGGGATTTGAGTACTACATGATCATGCGTAATTCTAACCCAATTAAAATTGCCGAAGAAATTCACCAACAAGAAACTACCGAACCAATTCTTGGTTATGACCGCCAAAACGCACCCCTGGCTTACTAGTTTTGCGCATGCCTTTCTGGGTTGGACGTTCCAGCAGATTTAGTGATATTAGTGCAGATCAGCACATGTACAGTATGTAAGTTGTTAGAGAGGTTTTGAACGATGAGTATGATTTGCTCATATTTATAGTGTTTTTTTTGGTTTTTATTTTCCAGAGAGCGGACAGTGACCTACAACTTGGCCAAACGGCATCCCTCCGACCATGTCAGTGGCTGCCTGACATTCACAGTGGAGATTGACCAGGAAGACAGCCCCGAGAGTAAGTAGGAATCCAATTGTCTGTGTACATGTAGGCCCAGAGAGTTAGCAGGTATTAAATCGTTTATCTGAGCCCAGAGACCAAGTAGTAATTCAAACGTGCTAATCCAATAATGGCCATTGCTATTTTTTTTCATAGGGAAGAGTAGGGCTGTGCCGTTTATACGGATATTCAAATATTCGTTCATGAACCAAATATCCGAATAGCTTTTTTTTTTTTATTCGAATATTCAAAAAGTATGAGAGGTCTCGAGGAAATTATGAAAAAAACATGTCCGATGTTCTCTTAAAGTAGAGTACATCATGTGTCATTTGTCCTTTTTGTTTGTTTGAAGTAACAAAAGTGCTCAAAATCTAAAGAAGGGTGCTTAACAACTAACATGATGAAGTTTTGTGATTGCTGTATAGTCTGAGAAAAACAATATTCTAGGATCTTGATTTGAATTCAAAAGTTGACCAGTCATGTTTTGAATTGCGCTCTAAAATCAGCGTCTGGGACACGTTCTCAATCAGCAGATTGCAGCTACGCGATGTCGCGCGTTGAACTGACGAATAATAGCAAGAGTGTGCGTCGTGTCAACGTTCCCACGCCCCAGTCCACGGCTTTGCCAAATTAAAAACGAACTACTCAGGGAAATTTCCAAAAATGTGTCTTTAGACGTATCATTGGAAATAAGCTTCTTTTATTGTTTTCTTAAAAATGACAGCATGCCGGAAAGAATAATTTCACAGGGAGTTTAGTGCCATTACTGTCTTTAAACCAAGTATGCTTTTCAACAATAATTTTGTCAGTTACTTTTTGGATAGCTGCAAATGATGGACTGTAGCTCTTATCCTGTGAGTTGAGTGTTTTTTATTGTTTGTCAAAAACAATGTGGCCTAATGGTTAGGGTTTGTGACTCATGATCAGAGGGTCAGTGGTTCGAATCCAGCTGCTGGTCATATGTTGTGTCCTTGGGCAAGCCACTTCACCCCCCCTTGCCTCTCTCGACGCAGAAGTATAAATGGGTACCATCATTAGCTGGGGAGTAACCTGCGATGGACTAGCATCCCATCCAGGGGGAATAGAAATATTCTCAGTCGTTTCATGCAACTGAAACTGGAGATAAACGCGTGCCTCATGGGCCACATTGGCTCATGACAGACTTAACTTTTTTACTACCCACAGTTTTGTCGAAGCCACTTTCATGCATGATTTGAGAGCTTCTCTGTCCAGCTGTCCGGTGAATATCCCTAGTCTTTTCTTCAGTGGGGCTTCTGATTTTGTGTACAAAAAGCTTGTCCGAGATTTAGAGATAATTATAGACATGTGTGTCCTTGGAAAAGCTCAACAGGCGGGATAGTTGTCTAATCTTACTCATCAGAGTTGACGCAGTTCTCGATGCAGCTGGATTAAAACCAGGAAATACTCATTATTCACTCTATTATCGGGCCGTAACTTCGTTAGCTCTTACATAAGGGCATTAAGACTTACCCACTTTTACGGATGACGCAATACCTTTCTGAGCGAAGCGAGTTTATTTCATTTACAGCCCCATGTACGTGTCTGTTTTTCTCAATCAAATTTGCAACATTGAAGTCGAACTCTGTGATGAATGTGCCTCACAAACTATTACATGACAAAAGAAAAATAACCTGTCCCACTTTTGATCATAAATAACTCTGTTGTTTACCAATGGAATTAAATCAAAATGTTAGATCAAGTAAACAGGCATGACAAATTTTGTGGAGCGAGTTGCATCAGCTTTGTGCAAGAGGGTGAGATTTAAACACAATATGAAAAAAAGTACTAGCATTCAGAATGTTGATACAGCGCTAGAGACGGTGGCGGAAGGCGCGTGCTGCTGCCGAAAGCTTCTGAAGGAATGCAGGATCACCCCTGATGTCATTGCACACCTCCTGGATCGTGTGTTGCGACAAACAATCGAGGAGGTACATGTGCAATGACATCCAGGGTGATCCTGCATTCATTCAGAAGCTTCGGCCCATGTCTCCAGCGCTGCATCGACATTGGAGGACGCCAAGTCGAAAGTGGCAGATTCTGAAAGTGAGGATTTTCTTCGTATGGTGTTTAAATCTCACCTTGTTGCACAAACCTGATGAAACTCGCTCCATTAAATTCGTCTTGTTCATTTTGTGATAGAAAACAAAGATTATTTCATCATTTAGTCAGTGAGGTATGCCTGTAGAGAGTTTCTTAAGTGCTAAAAAAAAAAAAAAAATACCTGAATATACTGGAAATTTATTTTTATTTGAATATCAAACAAGGTTTAATATTTTCTTGTTCAGATGAATCTGTTGCCAATGGTGATGAGGAGCACGTTGCAGATCATGTGACCCGGTCCGCATCAGTCCCCGCCATCGCAAGCCTACAGGAAGAGCTCGACTCCCGAAACCGGGCCGGCACTCTCCCTTCACCCACCCGCCCCTCGGCTGGTGCCCATCACGCGGCCGCGGACCGAACAATATCAGCGCCTTCCACCTTCCACCCGGGCAGTGTTATACGAGCGACCAATGGCAGAGCACCCGAGACGCCGACGGAGGACATAACGCATCCAATTACTCACGAGCAGCTGTCTGCTGCTGCACGGCAGACGAACACTCAATCTATCGGTGATATACAGAGTATACAGTGTTCTTTAATACTGCCGGACAAAGGCGCGTCAAACGATAACGATAGAGTTAGAGTGGGATCAGTGAGGCACACCTCGCCGAGTAGACCGACCGAACTCAAATTACTTATACCTGGGTCAAAGGGCACGACCTCGCAACCTGATGTCGTCGCGCCTGCGGTGGCCACCCAGACTTCCCCATCGCCGCAACCGACTAGCGATGCCCCAAAGGGGAGAACTATGCAAGCCACGAGATCTCATCAAGCTAAAGCGCAAACTCCCGATGTGGTGGAGGAAGCCATGTTTCCGTTAACGCTGGACGATTCCGAATTGGATCACGCTAGTGCAAGTAACGATACACGATCTGAGCTCTCGAACGATTTGGACGAAGTATCAGATCGGCGTGCGTCAGCGGATGGGAGTAGCCTATCGCGTCGGTCGCGCGAGCTCCAAAACACGGGCTTGAGTTCCTCTTTGCCTTCCAAGCCACATTCCACGTCGGCGTTGGCCGCAGATCGCCTGCTTAGTAACGAGAACCTCGTCGCTCGCGCCTTTCTCAGTTCCTCCCCGTTGAGAATTCACCAGTCCTCTTCCAACTCGCCCAGCACGTCGCCGCTTGGTTCTCCGGCAAGCAGGCGCCGCGCCATCAGCGACATTGCCCTCCAGAGAGAAATTGAGGAGGAAGTCAGCCGACTACGGATGCGTTCGTCGACAGCTATGCCCAACCGCGAGCCGGAAACGCCTACCAACACTCCAGTCGGTACCCCGCAAGTCGATTCCCACTTAACCGAGCACAGTGCTGTGGCGAATGTGAATCTGAAACAAGCCAGTGCAGACGTAACAGCTGTGCCCAAGAACAAGTCCACACAAGTGGTTAGACCGTCGGCAAATTTGGCTGAAAATACGGAAACTGTCGCTGCCGGTCCGAGGAACAATAACAACAGCCAGACGCAGCCAGCGAACAGCGCATCGGTGGAAACGGCGTCGGTTTCGAACGCCGCCGATCCGACGAGCATCGAGGGCGCCAGCACCACCTTAGTGACAATGAGCCAGAACAGTATTACCCAATCAGAGGCTGGGAGTGAAGCCTCCCCAGAGGGCACGGTGTCGTCCCACGGCGACGCCCGGTCCACCACGGAGTCGGAGAGCTTCGAGTCAGGAACGAGTCACTCTGCGGGATCAGAATCCTCGGATCTGAACGCAAGAGGAGGGGACTCAACCCATCCTGACGAACAGGCGTCAGCAAATGGGGCAGCCGGGAAAGGCGACAACGTCTGGCAACGTAGGAAAAAGTACAAGTCTTCTAGACCAAGTCTAAGAGGTTAGTTGAAGAATTTTTGCATTCACGTAAGTTGACCTCATAACAGCTTTCAACTGCAAAATTTATTTCTTCAGCACTCTGTGTATTTTATGTGTTAAATTCGTGGCAAAAATCGGAGTGCACAAATGTGATCGGCTCCACAAAAAAGGGCATTACATGTAAGTCGCGCTGTGCATTGTCGTGTAATGGCCTGCTCAACATTGAGAGGGTGAACGTTTTGTGAAAATGTGATTTTCAGTTTTTTGTCGTAAATGACATCTTTATTACCTACAGTTTCAGGTTTCATTCACAGAAATGTTGATTTTGATGAACAAAGTGGAAAAAACCTCAAAGCCTGTTTTCTCAGTTGTGTACGGTAATTTAAACTCCAAGGAAGTAATTCATATGCAAATACGCCATATCTCCAGAACAGTAGAGGCTATGGAGCTCTATTATACACCAAATGAAAGCTTACGTTGTGGCCTTTCCAACCATAAATATAACTCAATTTCACTTTTTTGTGGAGCTGGTCACAAATGCAAACATGTTGTGTCTGTTTGTCAACATCTACTTATGCAAATTTGTCTACTTTTGTGGGGCAGTAAACATCACGGGCGTTACCTCAGATAGCACCGACATCGATGCTGAGCGCACCCCCACCACACCCGTACTCACCCCTCAGCGCGTGACTTACCAACGCTATGAGCTACCAGTAGGCGAAGAACCCCTTCCTGAAAGTAAGTCAATTAATTACACAGTTATGCCATGATGTGGTCCATGGATTCTAGCACACCCGAGGAGGCAAACGGCAAAGTCGAAGGTGTCATTTTCCTTCAAGTGTGGGGAAAAACCCACAGACCACAACAGACAATTGATTCATAGAAGTTGAATAATTAACTCATTCACAGTTTTTAAATACATTTTCACGGCAAAAGTCAAAATTTGTACTTGATTCTTAACCCCTAAAAAGCACCGAATCCTCACATTATAATAAGGGAATAAATATTTGCTTGGCTGGTTTTAAACAAGAACGTTTAAAACCGGTTAGGGCCTGGACGTGGTTAATGGCCTTAGCCGAAGCAAAACAAGTAAACAAATTTAATTTCCAACGATGTTGTTCAACCGTTTTACTTCATGTTTTCGTAAAAAAAACTCTATCTAGGCCGAATTACTAACGGCAATTTTCAAAAATGCATCTTCAGATGCATCTTTGGACATGACCTTCTTTTAATGTTTTTTCAAAATGACAGCATGCCAGAAAGAAAAATTTAACTAAGAGTTTAGTGAGCTTACTACCTTTAAACCAAGTATGCTTTTCAACAATAATTTCGTCAGTTACGTTTTGGATAGCTGCAAATGATCTACTCTACCTTTTAAGCTTCAGCAGTTGTTAGAACAATATCATAAACTCCGCTTTAATCAACTAATTTGAAACGTTCTTCCTCAGATTGGGAGGCTCGTATTGACCAATACGGCCGCGTCTTTTACATCAACCACGTGCAGCGCACCACGACCTGGACCAAACCAAAGATCAGCAACGCTACCCAGCAGGAGCACCAAGACAGAGACTCCAGACAGAGCAGGCAGCAACTCGACAGAAGGTGGGATGGATGAAGATATAGTTAATGACATCGCTGTTGTACTATTAAGCAGCTAACATGTGTACAGGTTACGATAACGTTGTGCATCGGGTCTGGTTGACCAGGCCAAACCGACCCAAAACATTTTAGATAAAATCGAATCCAAACCGAAACCAATTTGAACTCCCTAAAACCGACCCTACCTGACCCGACAAAAATTCAAGGAAAACCGACCCGAACAGACCCAAAACCGAACCGACCAGAAAAAAACTGAATATCTGGCTGGGGCAACTGTGTCCGCTTTTTGTGCCTGTACTTACCCGCGTCGCTTGAAAATCGTCGTCTCTCAGTAACTGAATCATACCGTACGGTACGGTCAAGACTCATAACGTGATCTACTGGTAGGCCTACACATTATAGACTATGCGTGATAGACCGTAAACCACATGCACAATCGCGCAGTGGGTTGACGTTGGTCATACCAGGCACAATAACTCTGCGAAAATATTGCACAGCATGAATTTGCAAACTGTTTCAAAATAGATTATTTTTGACTGTCTGTGACTGCTCAGACATTAGGAGGGTTAATTTGTCTCTTGCTCAAATGGTCAACTACTTGGAACGTTTACTGGGGACAGTGTGGGACAGATTTTCACAAACCTCGCGATGGTTTAGATTAGAAAGTAGAAGTATTTGTCTTGAATGGATCAAATTTGGTTTTCATTTTCTACAGATACCAGAGCATCCACCGAACTCTGCAAAGACAAGACAACGTTTTAGAAGAGAGCTCGTCCGCTTCAAGTAGGTCATCAATTTTTTCATGTTTCCATGGCAACTCCAAATTGTTTATTTCCACAGACGGCTTTGATTTTTCATGTCTAAAATCCTGTCTTTTATTGTGAATTATAACGACAAAAAGTTAGAGTGGTTCTTTTTTTTTTTCCCGCGTAGCATCGACAGACAGCATTCCAGAGATTCAGTCCCCTAGAGGGCGCCATTCGTTCCTGGAGGCACCGGCCGTCAAGTTCATCACCAGACCGGACTTCTTCACTATCCTGCATTCTAATGCTGTGAGTAATAGAGTCTGGAATCCTGACCTCATGTATATAAACGACAACAGAAACGTCGTGCAGAAATTGTATTGGTCAATATGCGCCATGAATATTCAACATTCCCTGCATTCTGATTGGCCTAACCCCTCATGCATAAGCAAAATTCTATGCCTGTTAGTGTACATATACGTGTAGATATTTAAATTAAGTTGACCCTGCATCGAGGTCACAACAACAATTGTGCTTGTGGTTCTCTGACTCTACATCTGATTAAGCAAATGAGTTAGTATAAAAATAATTAGCAATTACGCTTTCTGTTGGCAACAATACTTTCTTATGAAACACAGCACCGCTGAACTCAGTTGATTTCCAGTCACTAAAAAGTTGGTGAAATCTGACATTTGTTTAATTTTTAGTTCAAAGAATATAAGGAGGCTGGTAAATGATAAATGTACTTGCAACTTAATCCTCTATTTGCAGGAGCAGGTTAAAAAAAAATTGTTTTGCAAGTACAGTGGAGGAAACTGTGCTTAAAATATCCGTAGCTGTTGTTTCCTAAAATCTGGGAATGAACTTAATTTGGCAGTTTTGCCACCCCCTGATTCCGTTTGTCAATGACCCTGAAATCAGTGGTTACATTTCATTTCCTACTCATTTTCCTCCATTGCATTCACGACCTTGGCCATCGCTAATTACTAGGAAGTTGAATTTCCATTCATGGTTTGATCGGGTTTCATTCACGAGTGGTGTCATTTATCCCAAAAACCTTGACACACTTTTTTTTTCTTCATACACTTGCATTTGTATTTGGGGGTACCTGTAAAAGACAGTTATATCAAAACTGAAGACGACAAAAAAACTGCGACCTGGTAAAATTCCCTCTTTTGTCAGGAACTCTAGTCCTTAACAAAACCTAATAGTGTGAATATTGGTGATGTCCGAAGGGCTTTACAAGCTTAGCGGTGTAAACGGCAACTTTCACAAGCATCATCTGTCGTGCTTTAAAATGCACATAAATGTGAAACCTGTTTTGGTTTTCCATGTAGCCTGGTTTTCATTTTGAAAATTCCTCACATTTTATTGTCTGAGAAGTTACTAAGTATTATGTAAAGTTGGTTACTGGTACCCGATCCCATAATCTGGAACTGGTTCCTGACATCAGCGGTCGGGTACTCGAGTACACCCCTCCAATGTACACCCCTAGTTCTGGTAATCAGGAACGAAGTAAAATCTTTAATCAGTTAATCACAGGGGGGAGATCTGTCAGTATTTTTCCTGATCTGAAAATGACCTTGAAATCTGAAATTTGTGAGACTTTACCATAAGGTCTCTGTACCTATGAAGGTCTATATCAAAGAAAAAAAAGGTATTTTAAGGGGTAAAGTTAAAAAAGTCTGTCATGAGCCAATATGGCCTATCAGGCCGGCGTTTATCTCTGGTTTGCTTGGCATGAAATGACTGAGAATATTTCCATTCCTCCTGGATGGGATGCTAGTCCATCGCAGGTTACTCCCCAGCTAATGCCACGTAAATAAAATGTCTTCTCTTGTTTTTAAATTTGTAGGAAGCCAAGCAGATGTTCCAGCGTAACACCTCGGTCAAGCACATGGTCAATCGCATCCGGCGAGACCCGGGCAAGTTCTCGGACTACCAGCACAACCGGGACCTGGTGGCGTTACTCAATCTGTTTGTGGAACAACAGGCCGAGTTGCCCAGGGGATGGGAGAGCAAGCACGACAAGTCTGGCAAGGTGAGGTCAAAGGTCAAGCGGTCAAATGTCAGATTTTGTCCATGAAACTATTGGAATGGCCCTTAGATTATTCAGTTGATTATAAAAAAAACATGTTAAGGCCACAGTTTGATCTTAAGTTTCACTCATTCAAAAGCTGTTTAAGTTTTAGTAGCTCGGGTTTCTGATTGTAGAATTTGAAGGCTCATTTACACACACTCAACTTTGTCACTTAACAATGTCGCATGTTTTTCTAAGTACGCACAAATCAGTGAGTTTGTTTCCGTTACAGAAGTCGTGCGACTTATCAAACAAATTGAAAATGATTTTATTGTGCGACACAAAATGTCACATACGTATTTCACCCGGAGCCTGTGCCTGAACAGATTGGTCGTAAAAGATGGACAAAACCATTGCATAACAATTTGCGTATTTGTGGACAAACGTGCGTCTGCAACATTGTCACGCGACAACGTCGTTGCGACAAAATCGTGTACTAGTATGTGAAAATAGGCCGTAATGGTTCAAAATCCCCAGTTTCTGTGTCTCTAAACAAAGCAAATCTGGGATTGGATGTAAGGAGAAGTTGATTTGAGACGCACTGCCACGAATAGATTAGGAGTTATAACTGGAGTTTGTTGCAGTTGATACAGTATAGAGTGGTTAGTCACAATACACAATATCGTTGGTGCTATTGTTGGTCTCTGAAATCTGGAGCTTCTGAAGAACTTAGTCAACAGAATAGACTTTTGAAAAGAGTTTAGTTTCAAATTTTAATTGGTACCATTTTGGTCAAAAGTGTTTTTCTTTTTTGAGAGCCATCCGTTGCAATAGAACAGTAGGCTGAAAGTCTGCATTACGCGAAACATTTCAACTCAATTTTGTTTCCTTTGGACAAAATGTCATTTTACCCCAATTCCAGGTGTTTTTCATCGACCACACGTCCCACTGTACCACCTTCATCGATCCCCGTCTTCCCTTAGAGGTGACTGATCCGACGGCCAGTCTGCTCCAAGCCCCTAGCAGGGGGCGGATGAGAAGCCGTAGTGAAGGGGAGGGCATCATCGATGCCGCTAACGAAGCAAACTCCGCAGCCGTGAGTTTTTGATCCGTGACTTATGCAGTACCAAATCGACCACTCTGGAAAAATTAGTCTGATGAGACTGGACTTATAGAATTATTTTTTTTCCCAGCCTATTCAGTATTCAATCTGCCCATGTGTACATCTGTTGGGTGGCCTATTGGTTAGGGTTAGTGACTCATGATCAGAGGGTCAGGGGTTCGAATCCAGCCGCTGGCCGTATGTTGTGTCCTTGGGCAAGGCACTTTATCCTCACTTACCTCTCTCCACCCAGGAGTATAAATGGGTACTGGCATTTGCTGGGGAGCAACGTGCGCGTGTGTGGATATCAAATGAGTGTGGATATCAAATGAGGAAAATTGACTGTTGGCCTTGGTGTCTGTTTTCAGGGAGCAGCGTCGGGTCTCACAAGGAACCAATCAGGTCCTCCGGTTCAGCCGCGGCCCGTGGAGACGCTACGGGGAGACCAGCCCACTAGAGGCAAGGATGAAGCTGTTCCAATGGGTAAGAAAATGAACTTTGGTTTGCTATTAACCTAACTCCCTAGGCTTATTTGCTACCTAGATGAAACCGCAATCCTGCAAAATCCTCCAACTACCTCCATGTAAAACTAGCACACAGCCTCAATCCTACAAAATCCTCCGTTATTTCTTGAATGTGGTCATTGGAGGGGTGACCACTGCCTCAAAACTGCAAAATCCTCCAGCAATCACTGTCAATTTGTTGAGGCAGAGCCAGTGACATCCTGGAGCAGTGCGGAGGATTTCGAGTATAACGTAGGCCTAAATTTGTGCATGGCTCAACATAAACAGCACAAGATCCACCCCAAGAACTTGACACACTTTTGCCATGTAACCTCAATCCTGCAAAATCCTCCATTTTGCAGAGGATTTTGGAGGATTTAAGGTTAGGATTAATAAATACCTTGGAGAGTTGATAGCTTCTGATTGGTTGAGACTCGATCACGAGGGGTTGTATAAACATGTGATATAAAGACCGGCTTCAAAGAACAAACGAATAAATGGCCCCTGAACCAGCATTGATCCAGCATCATGTAAGCAATGATTGGCCAAATATACAACAGTCCTACAGTAAGGATTCCAGTACCAGATTAAAAATTGACACCAAACTTTGGACACGTTTAAGTAAGCACCTCATATTGGTTTCAGAAGTTAGACTCCATTCCTTTTGTCAGTCAGACCATTGTAGGGTAAATTGTCTGCAAAAGAAAGTGGACATTTATAATTTCCTTGGTTTTTTTTTTCACTTCTTCAAAGCATATAATGAGAAGGTGGTGGCATTCCTACGGCAGCCCAACATCATGGATATCTTGAAGGAACGCAAGGGAGACCTCAGCACCAACCCTAAACTCAGGTGAGTTCCTGACTGGCCCGGAAGATGTACCAATCTTGTGTCTGTCATGTGATATACCAGGCATGCAACTTTTCCTCGGATCAGCCGATTTCCTCTTTTTTTATTCCAATTTCTGTCATTCAAAATAGAAAAACACTGTACAAAGTCTTCTGAATTTTGGGATTTCCTCTTTTTTTGGTGAATGTACAGTTGCATGCCTGATATACAGGGTGTTGCAAAAAGAAGGAAACTCACTTTTGACGGGAATGTTTGAAACCTACTTACTTAACTTCTTTAGTGTGAATATTACACACCTCTCCAGACAACAATTGGCTGTGGTACACCACCTCTTGACTTCACAGCGACCTCAGTAAAGTGAAAATATTTCTCATGGAATTTTGGAATTTTCTCAGGGAAATATCAAGGAAATTTGTTTGGGAAAAACGTACTGGGAACCCTGAAAATATTGTTTGGTATATTTGTGCATAACATTTTTGGAGTCAAAGCAGGGAATGTTCATTATATCTAAGTTGTTCAGCATAGTGATGTTCGTAATAGCGTATGTTTACCATATTCATGAATGTTTTGAGATTAATGGGAGTAACGCGGATGGTTTTCTCGTTGCAGAGACAAGCTACATCTCGTCAGGCAGGAGGGCATCGCGGCCCTGGAGAGACTCAGCAACGACGTGGAGCTCATCATTCTATTGAGGTAAAAGAACATCCAAATATCCCCTGATACCAGGACACAGAGACAACTCCAGTGAAAACTGGTATTTGACCCATCCCCCTGTTACAAATCTTTAATCTTACCATGCTATTGTTGATAGTTTGTTTGATCTTTTTTTTCTCCTGAACCAGTCTGTTCGAGGATGACGTCATGAGCTACACAACCACCGTGCCTCAGGCTGCCTCTCAGCTCCGCTCCTCCCTGGCCAACATCTCCCCACACAACACGCCCCAGCCGTCTCCTCACTCATCGCCAGGTAACAGTTAGGGTACAGAATACCTGCACTAGCCCCTTCTCTCCCCCCCCCCCCAACCACCCCCGATCAAGTCTATTCAAGGATCCCATCATGAGTTACAAGCCCACCGTGCCTCAGGCCGCCTCGTAGCTATACTCTTCTCCTGAAGATGACTAGAGCAGGCTAGTCGAAATGTTGAGACCATATACAATTTCTTTTGGAACTAAGCAGGACTTAGCAAAAGTTGATAATAAGTAGGACAAGTTCTTATCAGAACTAAAGGGCTACTGAGCGACAGTAGTTATTACTTCGTGGAGTGGAGTGTCATGGCCTAGCGGTTAAGAGCACCCGACTCATGCTCAGGTGATTCAGAGGCAATAGTGACATGGGTTCGAGCCCGGGTCTGGACACTTGTGCCCTTAAGCAAGGCAATTAACCATTATTGCTTCGTCCCTCGGATGGGACGTAAAGCCATAGGTCCCGGGTGTTGTGTAATGCAATGCACGTAAAAGAACCCAGTGACACTTATCGCTTAGAGAAGGGGTTTGCCCCGGTGTTTCTGGCCTCCTGTGTAAACTCCCACGCAGAGTATTTAGGAGAAGAACCAATCAAGAACAAAGAATAGTGTTACCGCAAACCGAAACATCTTGATTTATCCGTGACGTTATTGCAAATCTACCTTAATTTCTTAACTTGCATACAAAAACATGATGGAGAATGACTTTCACAAATTACATCTTTGTCTTGAATTTCCCCCCCCCCCCCCCCCCCCCCCCGTTGCATCCTAACAGTAGTGAGCCGGGCCAACGCAAGAGCCCCCGCACCGTATCGCAGAGACTTCGACGCCAAACTACGTGGGTTCTACCGGAAAATGGAGGCCAAGGGATTCGGGCAGGGACCGACCAAGTTGAAGTAAGTATCCTCAGATGAAAAAAAAATTGAATTTTCTTTTTCATTAAGTTAGCTTTAATCAGTGATCGTACTTGTTTCAATCCAAAGAAAAACTCTTCAATTCACGTATCCATATTGAAAGTACTGGCTAGTTTAGCATCTTGAGGTCCACGGTTCGAATCCGATTTCATTCATTTTGGTTTTGTCCGTCGAAAAACGGTCCAACAAGCGTCCCACAGTCATAGGAAGTCATGGAATTTCAAAGTTACATCATGAAAAGTCATGGAATCTTTTTGATGGTGTTTGACGCTGCGTAGACCTTTATTTCTCAGCATGATGATTGGCTGGTGTATTGTAACTAGGATCCTGAAATACTAAAGGAGCATAGGAATTTGTCATGAAAGCCCTAATTTTGTCCTGGAAATGGCAAGGAATTTCTTTTTGAGATTTCTTTGGTGAAACCCTGTCAAAAGTCCTGCACTGGAGTTTGTTTGGTATTTCAAGACAGTGTAAGATAAGATTTCTAAAGGAAAGGTTATGAGAATATAGCCTCGTTACGTTTGTTGCAGCGTTATTTTATCATTTCTCACGTGGCTCATACCATTTGTCTCCCGTATCTGCTCAGGCTTACGATAAGACGAGACCACCTTCTTGAAGACGCCTTCGGCAAGATCATGGCCATCAGCAGGAAGGACATCCAGAAATGCAAACTCTTCATCTGCTTCCCTGGAGAAGAAGGGTAAGAACGTCCGAGATGAACAGAGATTCTGATTCCTTGCTGTGTGCACTGCGCATTTTCCAGACGTAATCTAGCAAGACTAGTCTGGTCAAGCTGTGCCCGCAACAAGTTGGTCTGAATGGTCTAAGTAATCATCAGAGTCAATGTCTCATGCACAAGTGATAGTCAGATGACAGTCAGTGAGATAGGTAAAAAAGAATAAAACGATCTCATAGCCTGATGAACAGGGTGATATTTGTGTCCAGAGCGCTTTTGAAAAGAAAAAAAAAACAAAGTGATTAATATTATGTTTCACAATTCCTGTTTTTCAGGTTGGATTATGGCGGCCCGTCCCGAGAGTTCTTCTTCCTCTTATCCCGAGAGCTCTTCAACCCATACTACGGCCTGTTTGAATACTCCGCCATCGACACCTATACCGTACAGATCAGCCCCATGTCGGCCTTTGTGGACAACTACCTAGATTGGTGAGTTCTAAGCAAAATTGCTTAATATCCTTAAGTAAAATCAACAAGATCGGAAAAGCAAAGGTACGAATCCTCTAGATTTTAGCGTTTGGTCTACAATTTGTTCTCAGTACTACAAAAACCTGACCTAGCCATGTACCTGTACAAGGTAGAGGTATTTCTAATACCGTTCATTGACTGTAATACAACAGTGGAATTTTAAATTATATTCATAAATACCTAAGACAGTTTACCCATTCCTATTGGTCGAGAGCCCGTCACGTGGCTAGTTTGAAATGGTTGATAAAGACATGGCTGGCTGGTCTTAAACACTTTTCCAGTGTCACATGAAATTTGGACTCCTATGAAATCCAGTGCCTTTTACCATTTTTTATTGGTTGAATGTTCACAATCCTCGGTTAGGCATGCGCAATACTACAGTGAGTCAGTATTTCATAGTCCTAAATTCACAATACACTGGCACAGCTGTGTTCTGCGCCACATCGAGCAGTATGCACCAGTCTTCATATAAGGAGTTGTCCAGTTAAATGGCATGGGCAAAGAGGATATTGAGATACTATATGTATTTTTTTTTCAAATCAGGTTCCGTTTCTGCGGCCGCGTGATCGGCCTCGCCATCATCCACCATTTTCTCCTGGACGCGTTCTTCACCCGTCCCTTCTACAAGGCCCTCCTGCGATCAGCCAGCCACCTCTCGGACTTAGAGTCCCTGGACGCCGAGTTCTACCAGAGTCTACTCTGGACGAAGGATAACGACATCACAGATGTCTTGGACCTTGCGTTCACTGTCGATGAAGAGACTTTCGGCCAGGTGGGGAGTTTTGGTCCGTGGAAGTGCATGGGAGTGTAGTGTTTTGTAGCAGCAGCATTTTCCAACATGGCCTCCGACCAACTAGCTTGTAGCACAGTTCTTGGGTAGCGTAGGCACTTACCTGATTCCCCTGCCTTATCTACGGTCACAGGCCATGGCTGATTTGACGTCATGTTAGATCGATTATATTGAACCGTTAACCACGGGAGCAATCACATCCACCTGTGCCCAAATCACACACACACGGCGTGTCTATGCATCAATCTTTGCAATAAGCTATCCTCACTGGTTTGAGTTTTCTTCACCGTGGTTGTAAGAGAGAATAGTCCCCACCAGTGCCTTTAAATAATGCATTATGTACAAGCAAAATTGTCCATGCTGCTACATCAAAGTCAAACTGGCATCTTGTTATATTTATTTCTGGTAATGAAACCAAGGATTCCTCAAAAGCACCGTGTAGCGCTGTAGCTCGCAAGTCCGAAGAAACCTGCAGAGAGAAGACAATGAGAAGAAATCACAGTTTTAGAGGTGGGAGGAAAACCCCAGAAGAATATTCTAGGGGAAAACCCACGGAATCAGGTAGGGACTGAAACCCCAATCCACAGGTGGACCAGGCGGGAATCGAACCTGGGTCACAGTGGTGGAAGGCCAGAAGTACCGCTAAGCCGACCTGACTCCCCAACTTATTGTCAAGTGGTTAGACATCTGCAACATTAAACCGGAGGTTGTGAGTTCGATTCCTACCTTACCTCAGTGAATTTTTTTCCCGACAAACCCTGAACCCCTCGGGAATTTCAAACCTATTTTCTGAATAAAATAAACTCTGAGTAAAATAATCCACCAATGAACTTTACTCAGTATCCAAATGAAAAAAATTAGCAGTTGCTCAAACTTAGATTTGATTCTTTGCTACATTTATTACTTCTTGGGTTTTTTTTTTCAGTTGGTTGAGCGGGAACTCAAGCCCAACGGCAAGAACATCCCTGTGACAGAGAAGAATAAGAAGGAGTACATTGACAGGATGGTGAAGTGGAGGATAGAGCGAGGGGTGGTGGACCAGACCGATAGCCTGGTCAGAGGGTTCTATGAGGTAAGGAGAACGGACCATTGCTACTTGTCAATCAAACAGTGGACCAATCAGATCACGACGTGTGGTCAGGTGACTGTGGTAGCTCAGTCATGGTTGGTCACAAGCACTATGAAAAGTGTACACTAACCAAGGGTGGGCGGGCTTATGGACAAATACGGAATGTTACACAATGAAGTGTCTCACAGGAAACAGTGCCAGTTCTAATAGAAGCAGGTGTGTGTGTCCTTGAGCTGGACGCTCTACCGCAATAAGAAGGATTTACATCCCAAATCCTCCAAAATACAGAATGTTACACAATGAAGTATCTCACCGGAAACAGTGCCAGTTCTAATAGAAGCAGGTGTGTGTGTCCTTGAGCTGGACGCTCTACCGCAATAAGAAGGATTTACATCCCAAATCCTCCAAAATGCTTTTAGCAAATTGGAGGAATTCGCAGGATTGAGGTTACATGGCAAAAGTGCGTTGCTGATTTTGGAGGACGCACTGTGTCAAGGTCTTGGGCCGGACCTTGTGTTGTTTATGCTCAGCCGTGCATAAATTTAGTCCTTGATTATACTTGAAATCCTCCGCACTGCTGCAGGATGTCACTGCCTCTGCCTCAGCCTATTGACAGTCATAGCCGGAGGATTTTGCAGGATTCAGGCAGTGGTCACCTCTCCACGGACCATATTCAAGAAATAATGGAGGATTTTGCAGGATTGAGGCTACATCCTAGAAAAAAGGCCTAGGGAGTTAGGGTTAAGTTTGCCTCCAAGAGGTTACATCAGCGAGGCGATTCTGTCCATTGCATCATGGGAAATAATTCACATACAATTTAAGACGACGTCAAATCATTTTGTACTTGGCTACAAAGGACTTTGCAGTTTTCATTTTTCCTTTTTTTTTTTCTTCAGAACTTGCTTATTGAACTTGGAATTTGTTGATGATGTTTACTTTTTTCAGGTTGTGGACACCAGGTTGATCTCCGTCTTCGATGCCAGAGAACTGGAGCTGGTCATAGCTGGCACGGCAGAAATTGACATCCACGACTGGCGGAAACATACCGAGTACAGAGGAGGTAATACCAAAATGCTAGAAACGTTAGCAAAAGAGTTTTGACCCTCCGTCTACCCATTTTTGCTCGAAAATCAAGTCCAGTTTGCTTAATTTTTTAATTACTCCGACATTTTTCGGTCAAAACATTTCGTAATTCACAAGTTCCTCATTCAAACATAGCCAAACAAAGTGGGGAGAGCCTCTGTAAACCATAGTTGAACTACTGACCCTGAAAATACTAGCCAAACCCCAGCCCCCTGACAAGAACCATGTTTGTGTAATAACATCCTTATAGTGAGTCTGGCCGGCCTCGTTGCAGGGCATGAACTAGTCAGCAATGGACTAGCCAGCAAGCTCAAGCGACAGTTATTTGCTGTCGTCTGACCACTAAACAACCTAAATTTGATAGACTGAAAATAAAGGTGGAAGTTGTGTTGTTACAAATTGGGCTCAGTGTAAGAGCGTCAATCTAGTGATATTTTTGTTTCGTTCAGGTTACCAGGATAAGCACCATATCATCAATTGGTTCTGGACGGCGGTGGAGTGTTTTGACAACGAGCGGCGACTGCGGCTGCTGCAGTTCGTGACCGGCACGTCCAGCATCCCTTACGAAGGGTTCGCGGCTCTGAGGGGCAGCAACGGGCCGCGGAAATTCTGCATCGAGAAGTGGGGGAAAGTCACAAGCCTTCCAAGGTGGGTGTGACTTTGCAGAGTTATTACAGAGCCAGTCGCAAGTCAAAAGTCACAATTAAATCACAATTCGAAACACAAGTCTTACGAGTAGGTCATAAGTCTGGTTACAACTAAATCACAAGCCTGATCACAAGGTAGTCGCAAGTAAAATCATAAGCCTGGTCTGAGTCTGACTCGCATCACTATTTTTTTCGACTCGAGACTTGACTTGGAAAAAAATGGGTCACTAGTAAATTGTAAATCTGATCATAAGTAAATCATACATGTATGTCTGTTTACAAAGTCAATTTCTATAAAATGCCAAATTTACATTTGTTGTCCCTTTGTTTATCCATGTTGCAGGGCCCACACTCGCTTCAACCAGTGCCAAATTTACAATTGTTCCCTCTGTTTATCCATGTTGCAGGGCTCACACTTGCTTCAACCAATGACTAATTTACAATTGTTGTTCCCTTTGTTTATCCATGTTGCAGGGCCCACACTTGCTTCAACCAATGACTAATTTACAATTGTTGTTCCCTTTGTTTATCCATGTTGCAGGGCCCACACTTGCTTCAACCAATGACTAATTTACAATTGTTGTTCCCTTGTTTATCCATGTTGCAGGGCCCACACTTGCTTCAACCGACTGGACCTCCCTCCCTACACGTCCTATGCAATGCTGCTGGAAAAACTGGTCATTGCGGTGGAAGAAACGAGTACATTCGGAATAGACTAGACCCCAAATGTGTGATCACACGATTCTCCATGGACATACTGCACACCTTGAAGCTGTATCGTTTGTAAACACAGGCAAGATTGGCCTCCACTATACCCTGACCTCAAATTTTTTTTTTAGATATATAAGGCCAAAAAAAGTCGGTCTCTGGTCAGCGCGCGCGTTGATTTTAATCATGCGCGTCAATTTTTTTTTTTTTTCAAAATTTTCCGCGGTAGCTCCAACAGCGCCCTCTATTGCCGCACCTCCTCAATTTTTTTTTCCAAAGAGCACCAAGGAATGGGAAATTGCACCAAGGCAAATGAGCGAAAGCACCAAGGCAAATTATGGAGGACACCAAAGTACATGAGGACACCAAAAAAGCAAAATAGTACCCCACCTTGTCTGTACAATCCAAGCTTGAAGAAAAAAAAAAAAAGTCGCGTCGCCACGTCAATTCCGGAACTTTGGTCTGACCAGAGACCAAATTTTTTTTTTTTTTGGGCCTAATATAAAAACCACAAAAATTATCGACAAGCTTAATCCATAGTCCTGTATTTTGGATATCACAAGTTTTGTGAGTAAACTGAAAAGTTCGTTGAATCTGTTAAATGAAGTATATTGAAACCAGTGATGTGAACAAAATGACCAACATAAAGTTGTTTTTAACCAAATGCTTGGAGGCGCCCTCTGTTGGCAGATATCAACCGAATTCTGTAAAAAAAAAAAATAACATTTCGACCGAAAAGTTCTAAGCTTTAGCATTGCCGGGTTCCAAAAATTCAAATTTTGAAGATGTTAAAATATTCCACCATTTTTTGACCATCTGAATCGTTTTTTTGGGTAGACCAAATGCTTAGAGAGTGCCCTCTTGGGACAGGTATCCACCAAAGTTTAAAAAAAACACCTTTTTTTAGCCAAATGTGCCGAACATTAGCACTGCTACATTCCAAAATCAACATTTTGAAGATATGGCTTTCCCCATGACAGATGCCAAAAGAAATAGAGATTAGTCTTTCATATTGGTCTACTTTTTCCCATATTTTTGACTCCACGATTTCAACGTTTTGGCTTTTATTCTCTCCGAGTTACAACCGGGTCATATTTTTTTCACCACATTTCTATGATCTCATCGTGAACTCCACCTTGTACACACTATTTATATATTTATAGATAGAACTATGCATTTTTTGCATTTTTTCTATTTTTCTGTAAATTCTTTATAGATGGTGACCAGCGGTTCACTTATTTCTGTCTGATTTTTCTTCTTATTTGTTTGTTTTGGGGGTTTTTTGGGGCAGGGAATTATATTTTTCCTGTCAAAAAAGTGGTATACATAAGAAAAGAGGAATGAAATTGTGTATAAATTTGTTAATTTTTGAAAAGCAAATTTTGAATTTATATTTTTTTGCATAGGTCCTATATTGAAGACTCGGTGATAGTTTTTGATTTTCGTTTTGAACGACTTTTCCATTTCATTTTTTTTTGGGGGGGGGGTGAGTTTGTATATATTGGTTTTTCTTTGTGATTGGAACCCTGCTACAAAATGTATTGTCAATGTCATTAAATATATTGGAAAACAAGGTTTAATTTTGTAACATGTGAAAACGATAATTTTTGACATTTACTGAAAATTTTGCATGATTTATATATATTTCAGTGACGTATTTTTCTTCTTTTTTTTAGGTGAAGGTATTTTTTTGTAAAAAAAACCAAGAATTTGTACATCATTTTTCCTACTTGCATTTATTTAGTACAAATGTATGTATTTCCACAGGTATAATTTTTATATTAATTTGCTTGATATTTGGTTGTACAAACTATAAACGTATATATATTTACACAATTATAAAATGACAACAAATTGTGTGTATTAATTGTTTTGCTAAAACCTATACCATTGTATCAAACAAAAGTGTGTTCATATACTGCATGTAATTGCCAACGACGTGAAATTTTAACCACATATGTAATTTATAGCTAGAGTATGTTGTATAACAAACGTGAACAGATAGCGTTATGCAATTTGTGTAGGATATAATTTTTATACAATCGTGAAAACACATTTCCTGGCTTAAATTCTATTAATGCAAACCAATTTTGTTCCACTTTGAGTAATATAGAAAGTATAGTTCATTATCTATGCAAAATTATTTAGTAGAATTTGAGGTTCTTTTAAACATTGTGACTTGTAATACATCGTTTCAAAACTAACTGTCTGGACCTATGTTTCAGTCTTGCGGCCCCTTACCCTGTAATACCTTTGAAAGATTTTTGTATGGTGTCATATGAAATTTGAACTCCTATGAAATCTGTCTTCATTTCCTTATATGGACTCTTAACATCACACGTGACCTGGCACTGTCCAATTCATCTGCACTTGAGCATGCGCAAAACAACCAATGAATCCGTATTTCATCCAAATTTCACGCTACAAAGAACTGTTTTGCTGAAACAAATGCTTGTGTTCCGGAATCCAAAAAACATAGTGTGATATTGCAAACAGTCCAATTTGCCATTCAAGCTAATCTACAACATTTGCTTTTTCTGTAATTTTCAGAAATTGGTCATTGGTGGATTTGGGGACTAGTATTTAATAGCAAAAATTGTTGCACTTACCTCTTAAAGTTTTGTGTTCATGGATGCTGGAAAAACCAAGAAAAGAAAATGATGGGCTTGCCTTGTAGTGTGGTTCCCTGACCCTACTTCAGATGGAACAGAGCAATGTATAGATGTCAGGAATTGTCAGGTCAGGAAACTAGACTAGCTGGCTTGCACCCATTCACAGAGTTTTGATAAAAAAAATCCACTTTTTTGAAAATTACATCACACCACCTGCTATCATTTCACAGCATGCTTGAGACTATTATTCGCTTTAATACAGTCCAGTATGGTATTCCATAATAATTTGGTAGTTTTGTTTGTGTATGCAAATGTTGTATAACACCTTTAAATCGGAAAACATTTTCCAACTAGCCATAAACGTCTTAAGATTGAACTTTCTCTTAACTCAAACATCATTGCTTTCACTGAACTCTTGTTGGCATATTGAATTATGAACCCACTCCCACCCCACCCCGGAAGTGAACATTCCTTCAAAGGGAGAATTCCAAACTAATTCCCACACACACACACACAGTTTCAGGAGAAATATAAAGAACGAAAAAATGCACAACACCACCTTCAGCGAATCATATCCTATTTGTTTTGTGTTCATAGATTGTACATAAATTCTACATTTCGCATTTCTTCCATCACAATTCCCATTCTATTTTTGTGGTTATTTTGATATCCGATATGCTTTATAAATGATGAGTATCTATTGGAGTAGATATTGCTTTTATATGTATATGTATATACCAATGGCTGACGCACACGCGAAATAGAAACAGCTTGTACTTTTCTTTTCAATCTTACAAATTCCAATTGTCACTACGAAATAATTGATCACGAGTTTTCTATACATTATTTAAATTTATTCAGGTATATTATGTTGCAAAGAATATATTTAGGTATTGAATCAAATAAGTTTGCTGACTTCCAAGTTTAAGCTAGCTTTTCAATAAAGTTACTTTTGAAGGGCTTTAAGATAAGTGTTATTCTTTTATCAATTAATTCAAAAAGCAGACTATATTATTAGACTATTCTGGCCATGAAAATCAAATGTGCACCATTATTTTTGGCAACCCTAGTTATGCGGTCATGTTTTTAATGTGCATTAGGTATAACTTGTATCATACGAATCTTGAAACAAAATTTATTGAATAAAAAAAATCACCCTTGTTATTCATTATGGCAAGAAATTCCAATTGTTTTTTTCTGTTTATTCTTTCTGCGAATCTTATAATTTGACACGACATATAGATGTTCGCTCGTACCCCCCGCCCTGAAAATCTGTTTGCAGATTGGGGGTACGAGCGATCTATTTGTTGTGAACAGCGCCCTCTACCTGAACTTGGGGCGTTTAATTTGAAGGAAAATACAAGTGACGTTTTAATGTTATAATTTGGTAGCAATACAATTTCTACCAAATTATAACATCAAAATTCTTACTTGGATTCAAGATCGCATTCATTCCGTCTGGCTTGCTGAAGTTGCTGTCATGTAAAAGAAATCAAGAAACGACGTAGTGATTTCCAACAATCAGTCACATGATTGACTGTTGCTATTGTGTTTCGTGATCAAAAGGTTCAGTTGTGCATGTTTTTTCACGTTTTTTTCGAAAAATGTAAACCATGAGCTGAAAGATCAACAGGTTATATTTTGAACAGTCTTCTTTGGATTTTCAGTGGTGTTATTATTGGAAACGAACGAAATGCGTAAGAAGCAAATGAATGAAATGAAAGTTCAACAGGTTAGATTTTGAACAGTCTTTTTTGGATTTAAGATTTGAGGCTTTGCATGGTGGGGTATCGGTATCGTTTCGGTTTGCGGTAACACCATGTGGTAATAACTACTGCTTAGAAGATATTAGTTCTGAAAAGAACTTGTCCTGCTTATTATCAACTTTGCTAAGTAGTTTTTTTGTTCTGATAAGAACAGTCCTGCTGTAAGTTCTAAGATTTGAGGCTTGTCTTTGGATTTTCAGTGGTGTTATTACTGGAAACGAACGAAATGCGTGGAAAGCAAATTATCCTATTAATGTCGAGAGTAAAGTTTTGCCCTGCCTTATCTACTGGGCTACCGTATACCCCGGAGACTTATGGGATTATTCTGATATCATTTTCAGGATACGACTTTTTTTTTTACTTCAGTGTCACCTACCTAAAATGTGATCCGTGTTGGACAAGGTTTACAAAAACAACGGTGTTCGTGTTCAAAAATTCCATAACTGGAAAAGTACACGAGCGATTTGAATGATTCTTTCACTGAAAGAAAGCTTATTGATTGGGCTTTTTAGATCTGGAGCGCTATCTGCATGCAGAACCTCTTTAAAAATTGGGAGCACCATTTGATTTTTGTTTTTTTACTCACCCTGTACATGAACCAGCCATCATATTTTGAGGAATCCTCTCCGTGTATTTATCATGTATTTATCGTCCACTTTTTTTTCACGTCTGAGTTAGTTCATGATCTGCTGTATCCGGCCGGCTATACGTACGTCACGTCAGTCTTTAAAAATAAAATGTTGAAACCAAAATGAAAAAAATTCAAAACGTTTTGATCATCTTTCATTTTTCTTTATATGGTCAATCGTTTGTTTGTTTTCAAACTGTCGGCATGTGACTTTGGTCATCATGCTATTATTAAACTATAGCACTTTCTCTTATGGAATTTTTAAAAATAATCATTAAAAAAAATCTGTTTCGAATTCATGTATTGAAACACAAAATTGACACAAAAATAGCAAAAACAAAACGAATACGGAAATAAAAACTTCCGGGGGAGACTTATAAGTAACTTTATTTGGTATTGTGCATTGTTTGGTTGGTTGATTTAGGAAAAAGAAGTTAGCATACAAAATTCCAACATAATCTGCTCATTCATATTTTTAGTAGCATTATTTCATGTACTGTACACACTCGTACGATCGATATATAGTGCACAGACCACAATCGTTGGGCGATATGGGGAAATCCCTTGCGCCAAGCGCACAGTCGGTGACTTACGAAACACAAACGCTGCGCTGATTGGTCAAATCGAATAATACTTCCTCAGACGGTTTCTAATCACCCGCAATATGCACCCGTTGATTTATTCCTGATTTGTTTCTTTAAAAAGGAGTAAATATCAGTAAGGGGAAAATTTTGAATTAATACTTAATTTATAAATGGAGTGTGATGGAACGTTGTTAAAATTAGTTTTAGAGAGCAGAACTGAGCATTATTGGGAGTAGGGGTGTAGAAACCGTTCCCAAAACACGACGGGCCGGTCCGTAGTCATGCGTACTTCCGTCAAAGCGGCAGTTTAATTTTTTCACGTACTTTTATAGTTCACGGAGCTGGGATACAGATGGGAGATCAAATCTCGGGAAAAAATCTGACAGAAAGACGTCCCAATTCGGCTTTAATATTTCCAGAGGTAGGTCATCCTACTATCCCCTACAGTCTTCCGTTTTTGCTGGTTCCAAGTGAGGGATATACGTGGTTTAACGGAAGTTTTTTTCCCGTTCCTTGACAACATTCCATTCCGGAAGTGCAGTGTACATGTACGTGGATCAGTCTAGTCTGCAGTGCAGCCGGTGGTTATCGGTTGTCATGTGTTGAAACTGCTGCAGTAGAACTTAACCCATTCTTGAATTTGTGTCCCAACATTGTCTGTTTCTTCGGAATTTCTGCAAATGTCTTCAAGCATTCCTCCGTGTTTCAATCAATGAAGAACCCTGGAAGACTATAGACGCTGTCATTATCAAGGAGAACTGTTGAAAGTCGGAGAAACGAGGACTGAAAAGGGAGGATTTTTGTGCGGAGTGTCGGTAGAGTTCTTATGCCAGTACTCCGAGAACTCACCATGAATAGCCGTGTCGTCACGCGGGATGTCACGGGCCGCTTTCGGGAGGGGGATTTCCACGCGTCGTACACGGTCCAGAATGAACTCGGAAGGTAGGCACAAAACTCGACGGTTTGAATGTGTTAGTGGATTAAGTTTTGTCACCGGGAAACCTTTTGGAGAGAATGCTGCATCCTGACGCCACTTTTTTTTCACAGTATCTCAATGAACGTCAGTCATTTGTCAATTGTCAGTCATCATAAAAATGTGGGACTGAGAAATATTTCTAATTCAGTTAGTGTGTTAGAAAATACTTTGAAAATGCACTTAACACTCCATAGACTTTGTACACAACCAAATAAGGTTGGATAATGCCTTCTTTCCCAATTGTTTCGTAATATTTATGGCGATAATCATTCATTTTGGCCAAAAACTAATTAAATGTCACTGTGTTATTTTGTTATAAATATGTTATGATTTAAATTGATTTGTCATGAATAGAATAGAATTAGAAAAAGATTTTAGTTCATAAACCCAGCACTTGCCATTGGTGTGCAAAGCATAGCTCCACTAGTGTGGCCGTCGGTATGCTGCGCTGAACCTAGGTTCAAAGCAATGAGCCACAATTATTTGATTTTTGTTAATTTTCATCCACTTTTTTCATTATCCCTTTTTCTTGAAAAAACAATTTGATTTTGAGAGTGCTACAAATTGAACAATGTATGTTTATTTCTTTCCCGTTGTCTCTGCTAGTGCTCTTGTAGTTGTACTGTAGGTTTATAATGTTAAGTTAACAAAGTTTAAATCTTTGCAAAATTGTTTCATTTGTTCCATCGCCATTAGCCCTGCCCCAAGTGATGTAAAAACAAATCCCCCCTCATCGCTCATTCAATGGCAATGTGTTATTTGAACAAAATAAATTTCACAATTGTATGGTGAACAATCAAACAAAAGTAACCCCCAAAAATATTAAATTTGAAAGTAACAAAAAATTTACTTTGTATTTCCCAAGGGCTCAGTTAAAAAAACATGTTGAATTGGCATTAAATTGGTGAGTGTAGGCCTACAAAGAATTTTCTAAATTGTTTTAATTATTTATATTTTATGCTACAGTCATGCTGTAGTTCCTCTTGTTTTTAGCAGAGCGAGTTCTCGGCAATGTACTGAGTTTGACCCATACAACAAATTGCAGCTCTATAGTTTTAGTTACATTGTGTTTGCGAAAATGGGAGGGATGGGCATTGTGTTTGGAATTCCTTTGTAAACCACAACAACTAGTAATGGCATATTTTAACCAAAGCCTACTGTACCGCCCCATGGATAACAAAGTACTTTCAGTGGAGATCAATTTTGAACAATGCAGTTTTACCTTGGGCTTGTCAGATAGTATGGATCCTATAGGTCTACGTCAGCAAGGCCAAAAAAAAGTGAAAATTTATTGACTTGTGGTGGCATAATTGTGGTAAGATTCCTGCTCCGCACAGTGTGTGGTTGCATGGCTACAGTTCGGAATCTGACCTACAAAAGTTTGAAGAGATTTGTAAATTGGCCTTAGAATTCATACAAATGTACATGTTCACGATTATACACGCACTTCACATTGAATGATATCCAATGAAGTGAGAAGTGACAACTGAAAAAAAAGTTGGTGCAAAATGTATGGTCCATCAGTGTTCTTTTTGTTCTGAATTTTTCTTTTTTTTTACGATCTTGGTTCAAACAACATTCATACCGGTAAATGTACATATGTACGTTTTGTACTTGTGTACTAAAAACTGAAGTCTGTCATGCGCAGGCACAAATTGATGTGGTTTTCCGATGTTTTTAGAATTAGGCACCAATGTTTCATTTCCCGTTTGAAAACCCCGATATAGTCAAATTACAATTTTAAAGACCACTTCCCAATTTCCATAACATACAGTTTCCAACAGTGCCATACATGTACTGTATGGTACGTGTCCATTTCCTAACCTTTTAGGAAAAGGTCCATGTTCAATGTTGTACATTGTGTACAGTATACCGGTACATGTATTGTACTACATGTAAATCTCTGAGCGTTGAACCCCTTGAGTTTTACATTGTTTATCAAACGTACTTCAAAGGGTTTTTATTGCTCTGATTTTCGAGAAATTCAGAGTTCATGCCAATTTGTGTGTACCACTGCCTTTTCTCCCCTCAATTTGTTTCTTAATCGTGAATCATACTGCGAGTAAACATAAAAATCTGTGACCTGTTTTCTTTGATGTCATACAGAGATTTTAAAGTTTGTAAAATTTGAGGAGCCATTGGTCTTGCTGTTCTGAAAAAGGCCACCCATCCTAATTCACCGAGAAAAGGTCACAAAATGATCAGTGTTTAGTTTTATCAGCATACTTGCACAGTGTGAGGGTAGTTAAAATCCAATTAGTCATTGGTACAGAATTATTAACGGGGTTGTGATTATTTTTATATAAAAATGGGGCAAGTTATGTAGATCTTCCCACATTTGACAAAAATAGAACCAATTTGAAAGAAACTTGATGACTGTACAATTATGTGTAGGACCACTATGGTATTCTTGCCACATGTTTGTTGGATCTAATAATACAAAGTGTATGTTCAGTACTTGAATACCAATGAGTAATGAAATCTATCAAGTTGCTCTGTGTCTGGGCCTACAATGTTCCTCTCCCACAGAACGCCAAACACCTGAAACAATCATGTAGTGGGCCCATCGTACCCACCAGTTTTACACATTTTTCTCCGTGCAGGTATCACTTTGCAAAATTCAGAGAGTTGTTTACCCCAAAAATGTTGCACCCCATGCATGATTTCACAGCCCCGTTCAGCCCCCAACAATGGTCCTCCTTCGTCATGTGTGACCTGCGTTATTGCAGGCACTACTTCTTTTATGGGCCTATTGTAGCTATTTTGCATTATTTGCATGGTTTCATGCGTGGAATTCAGACGACCCTTGTAGACTCGACAGTCGAATCAACAACATGTGAAGTCTTTTAATCTGATTCACTGCCCAGTAGCTGCGTTTCACACGTTGAATGCGTCACACCAAAACTGTCCTTAACTTATGTCTTGTAACTTAGGTTGTCTAGTGTTTTTGTTGCAATTTTATGGACATGGTTAAGCACCACCACCAGAAAGGCAGATGGGTCATACGTTAATTTAGTTTAAATCCCCTTGCACAACAAGGGTCTAATGTGCGAGCAGATTCGGCGATTAATAGTGCAAATCAAGACTTGTGTCTTTACCTCGAGATTCTTCAGCGGGTACCGTACATGTTCTAATGGATCTATCGGTAACCCGTTGTTGTATTAGACTTGTCAGCCAAATTGACCAATCGACAGCTTAGTCCACATTTCTGATCGAAATGATGTCACAAATTCCGAAGTTGACTCCGGTTGGCTGGCTTGTCAGGTCGCATACAATTTGAATCATGCCAGACGTTGCTTATGGAGAGGTCTCTATTGGACAACGGGCGATGCTCAGACTAACGTAAATTTGGTTATTGATTGAAAATCACTAATATTGTATCTTTGTGTTGTCTTAGTAACACACTAGGAAAATGTTTTATAGCAGAGCAAAATAAGTGGGCTGATATTTTGTGGGCGTTAGAAATTTTTTTTTTTCAATTTTGTTTGTTGTTGAGGTACACGCACTGTGAATTGTGTTGTGCTGCAGATATGCGTGCAATGTACCACATCTATGTCAACACAAAAGTGCATGCATTCACAAGTAGAATAGATTTGGAAATGAAGCATGACAGACAGTTTTAACCGTTGGTGAACTTCGTACTGGAACCTAGTTATGTACAGTCTGACGCAGGCCAGAATGAAATCAATTTACAAAGCGAAAGATAATCATTCAGACAGTGACATTTATTAACAGTACACATTAATGTTTAAATAATCATAAATACACGTCTTTGTGTACCAAGGACATGTGTCAAACAGGTTTATCTTAATTTAAATTGTATGGTACAGAATCACTCTACTTTTGATGTACCGATATGCTGAAAATGTATTTGTTGGTATTTAGTTTTCATGTACATGTACATCATAATTTATACGTACATGTATAGTACATGAGCAACAAGCACATGTTCACGCATGTGCATCTCTGTTGCCAAGGAAGAGGGTTGAAAGTAAACAGTCTGGCTGCGTGCTCGTGCTCAACCTCATGTTTGCGGATTACGAGGCACTCTCTGTTTGCAGTAAATACTTCCAAGGTTTTACCAACAGGATACAGCTACCCGTGGGTTAACTAACTCAATGCCCTTGTCCCAATGACTTCCAAAGCATTTTTTCTCTTTTGTCTTCAAAGCGAAAGTTCTTAAAAAGTCATCCAGACGATTCCCCAAATCCCAGTTCAACCTTACTCAAAAAAAGGCTGTTTATTTTCACAGGGTTTGCACATCTCCCGCGCAAGGTTATGCGCTTTTTTATGAGCAATAAATGTCTGGCCAAAATCAGCCACCATTGAAAATGTCTTTATTGTTTGCTTGCATAATTTTTGGACCAACAAGCCACCCCCTGCATGGCGGGGCGCACATGTGGGGCAACGTGACTTTTTAATGCAATGTGGTGGAAGGTCCCTTTTTTTGATGGGGATTGGAAATGGATTTGTACCTCTTTTGTTAAACACAGTGGGTTGACAGGTTTCTTCATGTAATTGTAAGAGCTTCGTCTGATTCTGGTTGGACAACCTTGTTGTAGAATGCTGTCCAATTAGAAGGCATTTTCTGGTCCAAAGCATCTGACTTTTAAATCACATTAAAATGTTCACACTGCATGATACCTGGTACAGTGTATACAAAGCATACATGTATGTGTCACTCAACTGCTGTTTCGTAATTGAAATATAACAAGTTTGTGGTCTCTGATTAGTTTTGCCCATATCTTATTTGTTTCTGTTGTAACCAAATTCTTTGTGAAGTATGTACAGTAAAATTCTTTAAAGCTATAGTCAATCATTTGCAGCTATCCAAAAAGTAAATGACGTAATTATTATTGAAAAGCATACTCGGTTTGGGACTAAACTCCCTGTGAAATTGTTCTGTCTCGCAAGCTGTCATTTTGAAGAAATCAATGAAAGAAGGCCATCTTTCACATCGGCATGTGTACTTTAAGTACATGAAGCTTTTTCATTTTTTTCTGGAATTACTCTACCTCATACATATACATACATGTAACTTTGAAATCCTGTCATTTTCCATTTGCTAAAATGTTCAGCCATGCATGATTGGTGATCAGACAGATCAGGTCACGTGGCATACATGTATTGCTATAATATATTGCTGACTTGCCATAGGAGTGGCTACACATACATTGTTGTACATGTATCTAGCCTACTGCTAGGAAGTTGTTTCTGCTACATTGTGGAAATTGTGGAGATACCGGTACCTACCGGGTATCTTTATATCCATTTATCTCTGAAGAATAACCTCTTTCAGGCTTCCCTTACTTCTGTAGGAAACCTGACCCGTCCTTGTTAATAAAAAAAAGATAATAAAAAACCTTTCTAAAAAGAGATAGGAAAAATAACAGGAACTTGGGAAGTGATAAAAAGTTTAGATTAGTTTATAGTAGGTCTCAGTAATTAGCCCCCAGATCAGCCTCACTCAGTATCGGTCACCTTCAGTTTGTCCTCCGTAGAGCGCCAAGCTTTGGGATTGGAAGACCTCAGCAGATCTGTTTTTGCTGTGTACTTAATGTAAAGTGGATTTCAAGATGTTGCCCAAGGGTATTTCATCGGTCATCATTATTGTGATGGTCATTGTATTGGTTAAGGACCAACGGAATCTGTAGTTTGACCACTGGCCATTGTGTTCCGGACGGGTGCTGTTGGTCAATCCTTGGCCAAACTGCCTTTTAATAGGGTCCCACAGGGAGCCTCTGGTGCAGTCGGAACAAGGTCAAGCACACTATTAGCTGGTTTGGTGATTTCAAAAATCGGATGTAAAAAGTACTTTGTACTTTTGAGTCCTAAAATGTGGACGTTTTCTTGACAAAGTCAAATTAAAAAGTACATAATTAGGCCTATAGGCCTATGCAACTTGTACTAGATGCGTGCAATTACAATGTACTTAGTACAGCAACCACCAGCTCCGGCACGTACTTATCCCGCCAAATTAATATGTTAATTTTCTCCCTCCCACTCCTGGACTGGAGAGCCAACAATGCCTAATTGATCAAGTATTGATTGACAGACCGGAGCCACCATTATGCAACTGGGCACCCCTCGCTGCGCAAACTGATCAACTCCACACACAATGCCTGCCAAAATGATCGCGTGACTGTTGCAAATAAAAAAAAAAAAAATTACCGGGGCATTTTATTTGCTGACTAAACTAGAAACTGACTAGACAATAGTAGACCACCAGTATGTATACATTTGTGTGTGTGCACAGATAGAGCCGAGTGGAAAAAGTACAGGTACAGTACCCGGAAGTCGAATTCTACAGGACTGTTTCTACATAAATTCTATTACTAGGATAGAAAATATACCGCCACACCGAAAGAAAAAAAAAGAAAAACTATTGCTTAATCTGGAAGTCCTGTTTGCAACAATTTGAAATTTTAATTCGGAATTTGGTACAAACTGGCAATGGAATTCATATTAACCCTAAAGCCCGGTAGGCCCTATACTTTTTTTGTAAGAACTTTTACTCAGTCCTTCAGCATTCTCCATTGCAAGTTCTGTGTGCTTAAACTTATAAAGTTTTCTATCCCGGTGTTATTAAAATAAAAGTGGCAGGGCTTGTACTACAGTACATCCTCAATCCTACAACACTTGCGCACCTCCTAGTGGATTTTGGACTATCTTAGCTAGAGAGTTAGGGTTACAAATGTGCTTATTGCAACTATAAAATTACTCTTGAGGCCTGAGGTGGGGTGGGCATTTTATACCGATTGATGCCATCCTGGCTTTACCGCATTTCGGATTAATTATTAATCCGAGCGGAGCTGCTGGGGGTATATATGCTGTCTGGGGGAGATTAATTGATTTGATTAATCCGGGATGGAATGCGGATTATGAATCCGATTAGCGAGTAAAAGGTGCATGACCTTCAAAATGTCATATCCAGTGGAATGTACACAAACCACTGGCGTTTGGGTAAATATAATGACGGTCCACCCCCCACACCCCCCCCCCCCCAAAAAAGACGTTCACACTCAATATACAAGCATTTGAAATGTGATGAAATGTTTATCTCTCGTAAACCCAGACCCTCACATACTGGTGTCCTTCAAAATCCATAAAAAGGTTGGTTTTGAAGGATTTTGCAGGATACAAGAATTTTGCGGGATTGAAGCGTGTGTGGTTTCCCCTTGATTGTGCCTTGAGACATTTCAATTAATTTTCTTTCTTTTTTTTCCTTCTTTTTTCCCCTTTTTTTACAGCTGAGTAGTGGATTTTGATGATTTAGGAAGTTTTGAGCAAAAATGCTTCAAAAGATGCTGGGTTGAAATCAGAAATTGATGTGAAGGGAATAAAATTATTTAAATGGTTACATTTTTCTCAACTTGCATTGGGGGGGGGGTGGCTGGTATATTTTTTTTTAAAGTGTTTACTTATTTGTAGTGACAAAAAGCTTGACAAACAACATTTCCTTCAGTTGAAGGTGATGATGTTGTTCTCTGTAGCCACACTCTTTTGTTTTCAAGGACCCGTTTAGTCCAGCACCCAAGCAGCGAAATGAGCAGTATTCATTCACTCCTGGACCATTTCATGGCACATTACACTCGCGCAAATCGTCCAGAAAGGCTGTGGCTATTTTTAAATCCCACCACAACAAAAACACTAGCCCTGGGATTAAAATGTGCACTAACAGAGCCACTGGCACATTAGACACACAAAATACAACTTTGTCTGAAACTATGTTTCTGCTTCGAAAGACCCAGGGCTGCAAAAATGTAATTAATGTCATTCGTGTTGCTAGCAACACCAAGCCACTGTTCCTTTGAGAGGAAGCTTACAAGTAAAGTTGAAGCACTACAAAATCAAAAAGTAAACAGTGCTTTTTTTTCCTTTACACTTAAGGCTTCATTAACACCTTTTTGTGTCATGTGTCAGTTTCTTGCACCTTGTCAAGCCATTCCCTACAGACTTTCAGCAAAAGGCTATTTTGTTTGGGGGGGGGGTACTGGGGCACTGAGGCAGGCACGAAACCCTATTAAAGTGGGAGTTAATGGGGTCGGAATGCGTGAAGTAGCAATGGGGGAGGTTGATAACAAAGGCTGTTACAAAGCCTCACATTGCTAAAATTCCTGCAAGATTTACCAGGGTTCAGACAGACAGACAGTCTGGGTGCTTTACATGTAGCTAATATTCAGAAACCTGCCGGTACATGTACATGGTGATATTTTCTACAAATATTTATATGGCTTAGGCCTATTACACCATACCGGACCTGTATTACTGTGAGAAAGTCTCGTGCCTGCCTTCTTTTACTTTATCGCCGTTGGGGAACAAAGTTCTTCATTAGATAAGCCAGACTCCATCTGTCTAGTCGGAGTAGATTTTATTGTGATGCAGCTCTCAAAAAGAGAGGACAAATATTGAAGTGCTAAATTTTTCTGTACAATACTCTGAAATGCAGTTTTATAGGTTTATTCAAAATTGTTTCTTTGTATTCACACCGTGTGCACAGGGCACTTTTACGATCTTTTTTAGTGTTAATTTTGCTGTAGGTAACGTTTGCAGTGTGGCCAAATATTGAATTGAAAAAATGTGCATTGTTTATTCGGCCGAGGGCATTCGTTTCTTAACAGGTACAGAAACTTTTAGATTTTCAATTATGTGAAACAGGTTAACACTCTCATCTGGTCTGCATGGAAGATTGTGTTAACCACTGTGTTCAAAATGTAAATGTTTACAATTGTATTACTTTTTTGTGAACAATTGTATTACTTTTTGTGTACACTGTATTCATGTGGAGCATACTGTGACAACCACTTTGCATTGTGCATACATTTTTTAATTGATCAATTTATGGAGTATTTTGAAGTTTGTATGAGAATACTTACATGTACACGTATTACAAATCCGATGTTTTTTAATTATTAAATGATCAAGACTAATTTTTTTTCCAGTTTTATGAAATACCTGTAATTTTTTTTTGTATTGTTGCAGGGGCCGGTTTGCCGTGGTGCGCAAGTGCACCTGCGCGAACAGCGGCCGGGACTTTGCGGCCAAGTTTGTTCGCAAGCGCAAGATGGGCCGGTCCTGCCACGAGGACATCCTGAAGGAGATACGCATCCTGGAGATGTCCACAGATCACCCACGGATGATCAGGCTCCACGAGGTCTTCGAGACGTCCAGCGAAGTTATCCTGGTGTTAGAATTGTAAGTGTGGTGTTGGATTGTGTGGCCTATTTTTTTGATTGTGTGGCACTGACAAACTATCATCAATCAACTTTGTGGAATTTATTCACAGAAATTCGAACAAATAAGTACAAATCTTACATTGTTGCTTAACACTTCAGTGATTAATACATGTCTGTGAAAAAGGAGAAAGAATTTGAAACATCTCATCCGATTTCTCTGCGGTGACTAAAAAGCAACCACACAATATCAACCTTTATGCGCAATTTCCGGAACACACAACCCCACGCTTGTCACAATACAGTGCTTCCTTTATTGAACCCACTGGTAGCCAACCCGTACCCATAAACCCAAAGCTCGATCGTATTCTCCCCTGATTGTGGAAGTTAGGGCCTGTAAATGCACTTTTCGGCGACTGACCCACAGAAATTGAAGTCCCAAATTTAATAGGATAATGCTTCCTTTCAGGTTCGGTCACCCACTCCGCGACCTCGTTCCCCCGAGGTTCGGTCTAGGCTGAGCCAGCCAGGGCCCAAGCCTTTTCCCCATCGCGCCCACACCTCATCAGCTGGTGTAGCGCTTGCGGTTGTCTGGCACCCACTAGGCACATAAACATAGATTTGCGGTTTATCTGAATGGCCATGATCTTGCATGTGATGGGAGGCCCACTCCACTGGGCTTGTAAATTTCTGGGTAATTTAAGCCAGGCTAACGATCTAAGCCTAGGTCGTAATGTATCTGGTTGGCATCATCTAGGAGTCTTCCTCTGAAGACTTTTCTTGGCCGTAGATCATGTGAAGTTGAGCTTTAAATTTTATGGTCTACTGAACAGTGTTCTTGAATATTTGACCCAGTTGATTGATAGCCAGCCGAGTAACAATCAAGTCTCCATATCAAACAAATGCATACACTCACATGTAGCGCGACTACGTGCATTCCACCATGGACACCCTCAAATCACGCCAGAAAAAAAAAAAAAAATTGGGAAGAAAAAATAAATAACTTGGACTGTCTCCCACTCAGCCGTGACAGGGAGCGTAATTGGCACGGCTTGTTGGAGCAGTGGGTAGTTCACCAAGTCTGGTCCCCATGTGTGTATTGTGGCTCACACGTGCAGCAATGTGCTGGCCACACTCTGTTCAAGGGGGGTAGGGAAGGGAAAATACCCACGCAAGCCTTGGCGGCAGTAGGGGGCGCTCTGAGTTCTCGGAAGCCGCGCTGAAGGTTTATTTGGGGAGTCGCGTAAGATGTGAACTTTCCATGTGGCGATACCTGTGACTTGCGATGCAGGATGTGTGGTTAACATTTTGGCCTTTGATCTGAACAAAAGTAATTGTTCGTTCGGATGATGTGATCAGGTCTAGGGTTGAACAAGTTAGTTCAAAATTGAAATTTGGGTTTCGTTTTTGAAACCTTGCCCTCGCAGCTTGGAATTGTGTTGATTTTACTGAAAGGCAGCCAAAGATACGTGTGCTGCATACATGTATGTTCGTTTACATGTACTGCCCTATTTTCATTTGCTACATTTAGTTAAACTTTTCCTGTCATGGTTTTTGCCAGAAGTTGGAAATTTTCAGAGTGGCTCCAGAAAAAGAAAATCAAATAATGTACACAAAATGTAGGCACATATCGATGCTCTAATCCAAGCAGTCAATTCTTCCGTAAACTTTTGCACAAATCAAACATCTCCTCTCTGACCCAAAATTCCTGCCAGGGTCCACCGTTGTCAAGCTAATAAGACAAAAAAACCAAGCGACATTTGCGGTAACCCGGTTTTGAAGAAAATCCTCATTGTTGCCAATTAAAAAGTTTGTTACATATTATCCGTTGCATTCTACGCCGTCAATGTTATCTGCACCGCTCGAGTGCCAACTGACGTCACTTTTGATAGTGGGACAAAAACAGAAACTACCCCCCATGGCTTGATCTCTTTGTCAGGGTCCTCAACTCTTTAACATCACCCTCCAAACTTGCTCCCAATTTTTTTAAAAAGTATCAAAACAACTTTTCAAGTGTAGATGTTCAGAAACCTGTCAGTCATGAGATACGGCAGATAGCGTTCTAGGGCCGGTTTGAGTGCGTGGGACGGGAGAACAAAAAGAGGGGCTCGGAGAATTGGAGCAGGCTTTTGAGTGAGGTTTCGTTTTGAATGACAAAGCGATAGGGCTGTAGATTATGCTGTTGTGTTGGAAGAATTCTTCCAAACTTCAAAGTTTTACGTGTACAGTTTCAGCACATACATAAGTACCTGCAGTAACGCTTTCACAGTTGAACAGAAGTGAATGTGAATGTGCGTACATGTACAATAACTCGTCAGTCCCCACCTTTAAAACTTTACCAAATTGAAACTTGAAACAGTTGCTTACAAACATTTGGCAACTTTGTGCATTTACGATAAACACACAGTATAGTAAAAATCTACAGTGTGTATTACTGTAAAGCATAACAGGAAAATTTATGTCACTGAATAACTTCTTGGACACATCCGTGATGTAAACAACGTGGGCATCATGTTGCATATTTCCTGGTTCGCTGGCAGGTTATAGGCTCTCATCTCACGGTTGAGATGTACCGGTAGGCCGCTCACAATCGAACCAATTTGCGGGGAAATTACTGTGGCGTATCAAAAGGATATTGAACTTTTCCAACATTGATGACTGCCCCTGAAAACCTCTGATGTAGGAAATATGAAACTTCACTGATTTTGAAGAGATGTCTGCACCCCCCACCGCTATTCCCAAGCCACACCCCTTCCCTCCCTCTACCCCCAAATGACTTGCACAATTACTAGGCCAAGCTCAGTGGAACATTCTTGTTAACCTGCAGGAAAAGTGCTGTTGCTAATCAAAAGGATATGGAACTTTTCCTGAACTTTTCCAACATATGCTGAAAACCTCTGATATGTAGGAAATACCCCCCCTCCCCCACTGCTATTCCCAAGCCACACCCCTTCCATCCATCCACCCCAAAACCACTTGCACAATTACCAGGCCAAGCTCAGTAGAACATTCTTGTTAACCTGTTTTGTTTACATTTCTGCAAACACCTGTAGAAGGAATTGTTGCCACTACCACATGTTACATCCATTGAACGATGAATGATTTTGATTGAGTATCATTACAGCTGACATTTTGTTGTGTCTGAACCGATCAATCGAAATGCCAGTTGGCTTCTGTTAACGAGACTGATTTTTACTCCGGCATCCACTCTGAGGATTGTCAGACTGAAATGTGAAATACATTTTTCACTTGTATAATGTACATGTAAAAGACAAGAGGCCAATCGCATTTTCTTTCTAAGCATAAATTCTGCGCATATGATGACCATACACATAATTTGCTTAAAGGGAAGATACAACATTTGCAAACATCATCAAACGAAATGATCAAATTATCACGAAATACCTTACTGGATTGTTAGGGAATGACAGTCTCAAGCGTCCTGTAAAATCGTGGCTCCTGGTGTGCTGTCATTTTCAAGAAAAATGGTATTTTTCCAACGCTGGTCGGCTGACCAGCGTTGGAGAAAACTGGCGTTTTTTTTCAAAAACTGCTCCCAATTTTTCATAATTAGTTATTCCACGTTTTCTTTGCAATTGATTACTCACCTGTGAAGGGGTACAAGCTTGCTAGACTGATTCTCTGACCTTACAATTCCCAAAAGTCCATAAATTGCTCCGTTTCATCTTAAGTGGGGTCAGGGAACCAGACTACAAGAAGATGATTGGTTTTCTTGGTTTTCCAGCATGTACAAGCCTAAAACGTGAAACAAGTCATTTTAACAATATTTGTTATAATATTCTAATCCTCCAAATCCATTTATTTCTGAAAATTGCAGCAAAAGCAAATGTTGTACATTCCCTTTAAATGGAGTTAGCAGGAAGAAAAAAAATGTGCTAACCCTGTAAGCACAGAATCGTTTGTCACTCATAGGATAATGCACACACATGCGCACCTGCCCAAAGATATTGAAATACTACAAATTAATACACATCATTGTTCTTAATAAGTTTCAGAGTGGCTATAATAAATAAAACACTGAGTGTACATTCCATAAGTCGATGGTGATTAAAAACTAACATAAAACAGAAAGAGCCAATGTGTTTTGTTTGTCTTTCAGGTTTCATGCACTGTTCAAATACATGTAAAGTGTAGATCAGAAATGTTAATTGCAGTTTCGAATTCACAGTTCTTTAATTCAAAAGTTAATATAGATGTATTAATACAATGTATGATAATTTTCTTGCTTGTTCCAGAGGGCAAGTGCCCTCTGTGTACAAGGGGCGTGTTTTCGCGACCAAATTTAATACTGTACTAGGCTTTGTCTTATCCTTCTTGTATTTTTTTGTAACACAGTGCTGCCGGTGGAGAGCTTCATCCATACTGCGTGGCTGAGAAGGAAGACGCGTTCACAGAGCAAGACGTGGTCAGGCTGGTGCGTCAGATCCTAGAAGGGGTACACTACCTGCACCAGAACAACATCGTCCATCTAGACCTCAAGGTAACACCCTCACCTCATCCCGTGATCTTCTGGGTTACATTTCCCACCTCTTGTTTTTTGTTCAATTATCCTCTGCAACCTTGGCTTCAATGTTCTCCTTTCCTTTGGTGCAAGCTATTCCTCATTCTTCTCATTTGTACAACACATTTCCCCCTAAATCTGACATGTTTCATGTGCTCCTTTTTCTTTCCCTCTCTGAGGCTTTCAACTCATCTACCTGTTTCCCGTATTCCTTTTCCCCTTCAATTTCATCCTCTCCTTCCAATCCATCACCTACTTCCATGCTCCCAAGTCTTCCTTCAACGCCTTCATGTGCCTCATTGCTCTAACCCACTCCCCTCCCTTATTTCCTGTTTTCCTCCCATTTCCGCTTTCTGTGATCTTGTTATGTCTCCAACATTTTATGTCTTCCTAGCTTTCTCCCTGAAAGCACCATTAAAACCATGAAGTTGCATGGACGTGGGCTCCACACATACCCTCCCCCCCCCCCTCCTCTAGGGATACAAAGGGAGAGTTGGGGAGACCACTGGGACCGGGACATTTGAATGCATTGCTGACGACCCCTGATGCTCACGCGATGATGCTATGGCTTTCTGCACATTCAAAGTACAAATTAGCCACGTACCGGTATACTTTGCGCCACGCACGGGCAAACCAGCACGGGAACGCGGTGTACGCTTTCATGATTTAACCAAGCTCTCCGAAGTGGTTTAAAGTACTCCTCTTGTCAGAAGACGAAAGCCAAAAAATCTCCGCTCCTGGATTCTGACCTGGTTCAATATTTCTGAAGTTTACTGTATAATGATCTTGACAGTTATTCCCACATATCCCATAGTCCCTTAAGTTTTTTTTTGGGGGGGGGGGGAGGGGGATAGTTTAAAGGTGCATACCCTGTGCTTTTAAAAACAAATTGGTTCTAAGGCAAAACAAAAAAAGTCTCCGGTTTCTGGTATGGAGCTTGCCCAAAAAAGTGGTGCGGCGACGCGGCTTTTTTTTTTTTTTACCTGACTTTTTTGCTTCAAATGTCGGCTGATGACTGCAAATGGTGCCCGACTAAACTTAGTGCAAAATGTACGGGAGTCCAGAGAGTCCACATAAAGCTTATTCTCGATCACACCCCAATCTAAAAACACGTTAAAATTGTGCTGCAGCAGGATTCCAGTCAAACCAGTGAGTTTGGCGGTTTTGAGACATCATCTTTTATTGAAAAAAAAAACTTTTTCATTTTGCCGACGCGCATGGCTACGGCGACGAAAAAACTACTTTATTCCAATTTTGGTCGTCTGCAAAGTACAACCATCTGAAATAGGGCATTCGTTTTGCGCACAATTGAATCCGCCCCAGGGCCAGAGCCGAAATATTATCTGGCCGCCAATAATGTGAATTTTGTCAAGAAATAATTGAAACGTCTGTGGATTTTTTGTTCAATGTCTCATTCAAAAGTGAATAACTTTTATTTTGCTAGGGAAATAGCAATTGAAAAAAACAAATCTATTTTCGAGGTGAAACTCAAAAATAGCACGGGTAATGCATCTTTAAGTCAAGGATATAACATTTTTCGACTCCAAGTTTATTTACCTAGTCACGCGTTGTGGTTGGTTTTAGGAAGTTGTGCATAAAGACAGGAAACAGATGATATCCTCAACTAATTGAATCACATGTTCCTATAATACCCTGGGGCGACTAAATACATGCCTCTGGCAGTTGCCAATAGAACAGGAATGAATCACTGAAAAGGACCACTACAAGTAGGCTTGTTTCTTGTCATTCCTTTCTTCGAATCTGTTAATTGAATTTGAAGCAATAATTTTTAATAATAGTACTATTAACAAGACCATGTGCACGTCCTCCAGAGCTGTATGGTGAAAAAATGGCTGCGAACTCTAGAGCTAATAGTGGGGAGGCTTCTTGAACCAAGAAGTTACAATCAGAGACCATGAAGCAAATTGGGGAATGTTCCAGTTGATTTCTTTAGCCTGTGTGACAAAAAAATGGAAGGCTTATTTTTTAAGGGTTGGTTTGGAATATCTGGTTTCTAAAATCCAAACCCAAAAGTGGAATTCTAACCGAATTTTTAAAAAATCCAGAAATTGATCCCACCACTAGTACATGTTTGCAAGCCTTGTATTGCAGAGCTTATACGGTAGTCTCTAACCCTACATGCAGGTTCTCAGTCAAAGATTTCTTATTCAATTTTTTTGATTCATGTTTAGGTGTACATTTTGTACGTGTACCGGTATGCATACTGGTACCTTTCATAGCTGATAATCACATGCGATTGTAAAAATGTACAACAGTACGAGTTATATTGAGGCTCTACTTTTGGGATTTGTTTGCGCAAGTACACCTTGTACATGAGGCCAAAAACAAAAAAAATTGTTCTGCTTCCGATTACATGGCATTTGGAATTAGGGTAGGTAGGTAGGAAATTTTTTTTTTTGGCAATTTTTTTTTGTGTACGATCACATGGAGGTAAACGGTAGTACTAAAGGGTAAACGGTAGTAATTGATGGTTTTGGGTGTTTTTTCCTCATTTTTTCCCCATAAAAAAAAAATTAGGGTAGGGGCTGTTAGAATAGTGTAGGTAGGGAAACTGGAAGCAGAACTATTATTTTTTTTGGCCTGAACATACTCTATACCTGAAGGGTGTAGCTACTAGATTTCTGGTACCATTATTTATTCTCGGTAGCCTCTTTGCACAAAGTGTGTGTACATGTTGGGAGAAAGGCACCAGAGCTTCCAAAAACTCCTCCCAGGGCCAATATGAACAAGAGAATGCACTTTCCTGCACGCTATCAACAGCTGGCATCGCAGCATTGTCCCCGGTGCAGACATCCATTGTGGCAGGATACTGTACCCCTGGGGTGGAGGACAAAAGTAGCAGAGGTGGCCCCTGAATCTGAATAAGAAAGGGACCCTCGCTCCTTGTACAGGGGATTATGGGATACTGATGAGGCTTTGTGTGCAAAATTAAAGCGCAAAGATGGATGGGATAATAGCGGAATTAGGGGGGCAGCTTTACTTGCCTGGTAGTTAAATCTTCAAAGGGAGGTTTATAATTGTGAGAAATGGATAAAAAAGTGCAGTCTGGTGACTAAATCTTTGAGATTAAGGGGGCTGGGCTTGTGTGAGGAGTAGGCTGGGTGCTGCTATTGTGGGATCAAGTCTGGGCTTGCCTTCACAAGTCCGCCTGCTGTGACTGCATCTCCCCCAGAGTGCAGAAAGTGACAATGTGGTATGCGAGAGTTTGGATGCTTGGGATTATAGGCATTCTTGTTGTCAAACAGTGGGTGTAACATTTACCCGGTGTTTTCATGCTTTGGTAACTTGGTTCTTGGGATTTATAAATAATCGTTTTATTTTTGTTGATTCAAAGGTATGCACGATGCAGATACCAGTATAATATGCCCGGAGAACTGAAAAGATTAATTTCTCAGTCATTCATAAAAATAATAACTGGTACATAGACAGCAGTGGGTTCTTGCATTTTCAGATTTTATTGACTGCCAAAATACATCACAAGAGGGAGCTCACCAGTCACAGGAATATATCTGAGACAAACCTGGCTCTTTAAGTCCTTGACCATCCGCATGCATGGACAGTGGAGGAAGTTCCTTCATGTCTGCGAATCAGACAAGCTGAAAAATATCATTGGTCTGGGCTCGGAAATCAATGTTTTTCCAATGCAGCTGTCAGATGTTGTACACTGCATCGGTACGTTTGTTTTTGTTACATGTGTACCCGCTATGTACGTCATCTTTCTAGATATATACATTTATGCAAAGTACCAGATCTATATTACCACTTCAATGTGTAGATCTACATGTATGCAAGACTTGGAAAGACAACACACAACACACCAATAATATTTATTGGATGGCTTTGACTCTCTGAGGGGGATACAAGAATATATTACACAAGCTTCGACTCGTGCAATGTTGTTATAGCGTCGGCGAGTTAAATATATTCTTGTATCTCCTGAAAAAAAAGCCATTATGATCCAGTATTTTTAAATTATTTGTATCCGGCTGACTTGATTCAAAAGAAACAAATTTCTAGTCGCTGTCTTGTAAAAATCACTGACTTCTTCCTCATAACTTAAACATTACCGGTACCTCCAACATAAAATACCCACCACATCAGTGAAGCTACATGTATTCCAACGTCTCAAAATCCGTCGTTTCCTTTTCTCGGGCAGATACATAAAAAGTAAGCCTATTCACAGATTATTTTTTAATACTAGTGTCATCTCAGTTGCTTTCCAGGTATTTTTAGCGCCTTTAGTTCTCAAATTTCGCTGAATTCTTTGCTAACCATAGCGAAAAGGCGAAGCTGCCATTTTTGTTGATGAAAGAGTACCGAACACGCGTGTGCAACCACTGGTTACTATGAGTTTGAGCAGGAACCAGCGAGATTTGTTGAAGGAATATTGCAGTCATCCGGGATGATCCGGGCACTTTTCACCAAATCATACAATTTGGAAGTCTTAAATATTTCTGAGCAATATTACGCAGTCGTTGGAAGATTTAGGCCCAATGTAAAGGGGTTTGCAAATATTATAGGCCCTACCGCAGCATATTTCAGAGTGCATGGCAGGCTACTCACGTGTACATGTACAGTGTATGCAATATTGTAATTGTGAAGTTAAGCCCTTGCCTACGGTACCGATACATACATCTTTCACTTGCAGTGAACAACACGGCTAAACTCGGCAGGAAGATTGCGTTTCAGTCCGCCTAAAACAAATTAGGTCAAACACATGTCCCAGATCGAAAATTGCAATTTTTCAGAGTTTGTTTCAAATACTTTTTAGCATTGTGCTTTTTTAAATGGCTTTTTCTTTCTTTTTTTCAAGGTCTCTGCTTGACTGATTCTGCACAAAACCTGAGATCAGGGTCAAATCCGCCCGCCCCAATAAATCACGGCCGGGCTTCCCCTTAGGGTGTCCCTAAAAACTCCCTCTGAAAAAAAATTAATAATACCAGTCAATGAAAAAGGAG